GCGTGGGAGAGGTATAAGAGGTTGATCCCGTCCAGGGACTCAGTCAACAAGAATATGCAAAATGCACGCACCCCGCCATCTCCACAAGCTCCAGTTCAACTCGAAGCCACTAAGTCACTCACGTCGTCCATAGGCTCTTCTACTGGGGTTTGAGAAATTCTCAGGAACAGGGAAATGCCTCGATCCCGTCAATGGAGGGATGGGGGATCGCAAGTTCAGGTGGAGCAACAAACCTTCTCGGCTTATTCGGCTTTCTATAGCAATGTGGCTGGCAAGGCGAACAAGCTGCTCGGACATTTCACTCAGTTGTCCGAATTTGCCGACCCAAGAAGCACTAAGCGAGCGATGTGTTTGCGTGGCGCTTTGCATGTGGTTGCTATCGAGACTCAGGCAAGGCTGCAGCTCCTGGGATCAATGCATTCATCCCACCGCTAGCAACGGTTCATCCTATGACTTTTCCTTCCAAGATATGTTCGTCTACGGACTTTTACCGGCCACCCAGTATCTTTGCAGCTGACAGCCTCAACCGTGTCGTCTCTTGATGCGGAAGTCGTACTTTACTTCCCACTTCACATTGGTTTCCAAACCACGTACGCCCCGTCCTTTCAGTGCTTCTGAGCTCGCAGGCTCAAAACGAATGATCAAGTCATCCTTGACCGCATATACAGAATCGCGATCAAGGTACGCATCGTCGCTGGGGAATACCTGTGTCACGAGCCGGCGATGGGTTTCGCTCCCCACCATGAAGTGTATGTGTGCTGCCCGGAATGGAGAGCGATCCATCAGTTTCAGAATGTCTCCTGCAGGCCCGTCGTAGGGGACCGGGTAAGGGACCGGTTTGATGCAGTAAAAGTCATACCGGCCTTCGCTGTCTGAAGTGAAAATGCCACGCATGTTTCCATCAGGCTGGCTTGGGTCCTGTTGATCGTACCGCCCATTGGCCGCACATTCCCACACGTTCAATTTGGCGCCTGTCGAGCATCAATCCTAGGTCCAACGGAGGAAGTGAGGCTGAGAGGTTTGCTGACTTACCAACCACAGGCTTTCCGCTATCAGCGTCAAGAACAAGGCCATGACACCACGTAACTTCGCCACCAAGGTACTTCTGGATGATGCTGTCGCCATTCTCATAGACGGGCGCATCTGCTCGATAGAAAGGACCCAGTATGCAGGAGTTTGTTGATGTCTCTTCAGCTAGAATCTTGTGGGTGATCTCGTCCACCAGTCTTCTCTCGAGGTCAGCCGATTTCTTGACGAGAGATTTGGCATCATATGAGAGATACTGACGCTTCCACCCCAAGACAATCGGAAACCAGCAATGTCTCGTTCCGTTTCGCATCACTCATGCGTCCTGCACGACTGAGAGCGTCCAGTCCAATATAAAGCTCTTCGGTTGTAAGGTTGACTTCTCGACACACGGCATGGAGATGACGGATCAACGAGGTCAAGATTTCCTTGGCTCGTGGGGGAGCAGAGGGACCGAAGGAAGCGAGGACAGATTCTGTAAACGGCTCGTCTTTAGATGGTGCCATACTGGGAGAGTTTACCACAATTGAACGCAACAAGCTATCGCCAGGGGAGCTGTCGAAAGCTTTGAGGGCTGTTTGAGCGGCCACAATGGAAAGCTCAGAGGTTGATTTGTAGGCTGTGGCCTTCTTTTAAAGAGTTTGAATACATCGTCGGCTTGGTAATAGGAATGGTGCCACATCCGTATGGTCGGCCCTTCCCCATGAGTGTTCTCGCGGCCGAAGTCCATCCTCAGCCCGGCTATCAAACCAGGCTCGTAATTTTCCGACCTGATACCCTCGGGAGATGCTAGATTGCCTTGAAGCTGTAGAGGAGCAAAAGGCCGACATCGAATTGTATGGCGGTCGAAACCGATCGTCTTTCTCTTCGTCTCGGCTTCAAATGGGCGAACAATCCGAGACATCGGGAAGCAAACACATTGGCAACGCTTCGATTGAGATATCTAATTAGTACAAGTTGGTCTTTCAAGTCTTGCGAGCCATACGGACTCTCACCTACTCTCTGCACCCCAAGTACCTCTTTACTCCCGAATATCAGCACCCCTTGGACACTCAAACCAGTCGCAAGCACGCCGAAACAGGGCAACCGCATCGACCCAGATTAAGATGTCCGCTACCAGCCAGCCAGAGACGAACAAGCCGGTCATAGTCATTGTCCCTGCTTCGTTCTCTCCACCGAGCCTCTACAGTGGGGTGGTCGAAGAGTTGGATAGTCATGGCTATGATACCGTAGTGATCCATCTTCCTTCCGTTGGCAGTCGCAGTCCGCTTCCAGCTGCAACAATGGCTGAGGATGCAGGGTACATCACATCTCTCACGACCAAGTTGGCCGATGAGGGCAAGGAGATTGTCCTGGTCATGCACTCATACGGAGGCATATGTGGGACGGAGAGTACAAAGGGTGTTTCAAAGGCGGAACGCGCACAATCTCAGCTTAGAGGTGGCGTCGTTCGTCTCTTTTACATTAGCTCTCCCGTTCCACGAGTGGGAGACTCAATTGCCACACAGATGGGTGATAATATGCCCGAGTTCATCACAATTGACGTTAGTATCTTCCAACCTGGCAGCAAGGATAGCCTTACTGACTTCGTTGCGGTTGAAGGGCGATTACATGTCCACCGAGCCAGAGGGTTGTGCTCGAACAAACTTCTCAGATCTTCCTCTGGTAAGGGGAGTCGAATTGGCTAAAACAATGCTCCCACACTCGACAATCAGCTTTGCTGGGACTCTCACCCATCCCGGCTATCAGAATATCCCGGTGTCGTACCTGGTGTGCAAGGACGACTTAGCAGTACCGCTACAGGTTCAAGAGTCTATCATCAGCCGGATCGAGGAGGAGAGTGGTCGTAAGGTCGATGTTTACACCTGTCAAGCAGGTCACTTTCCCACCATCAGCCGTGTCGAGGAGGTCTCTCGAGCCATAAGGCGTGCAGGAGGAGAAACGCAGCTGTAGAAGCCTCTTCCTTTGTGACAGGAAGGAAATAGTCTTTCCATGAGTATATAATCTTCGCCATAATCTTCTGAGCTGGTCCTATGCGGCGATATAATCCCGAGACTCCTCATATCAATGAACCTCAAGACTTTGACAAAGTGCTTTGATAGCAGGGGATCAAATGCTAGAAGTGCCGGGAAAGCACACGTAACTCTATAGCTTGTCATACTGTCACACAGTGTTTGTTGAGACACATACGCTCATGTGAGAAGGCATTGTCCGATACTCAGCCATTCGGAATTTCCATGTCGGCTGAGAAATGTCCGAGCTGTGCTGGTCGACGTGACCCCGTGGGCTTCAAACTCTTACGTACATGCCGAGTCAGAAACCGGGGAACGGGGTGCTTGAGATCGGAGTCCCTTCAAGGACAGGAGTCCACTGAGGGCATGGAGGTGCAGCTTCCGACCCTCTCGGATGTCAAGGAAAACCAGGTCCCTATAAGGTGGCAGACCTTCTGACACAAAGCCTGGGCTTTACAAAAGCAGGGAGGAGCGAAGAGACGTCAAGTTCCCACCGACATGTCCGGGAAGCATATCATTATCATTGGAGCGGGCCCTTCTGGCCTCAGTCTTGCCGCACTCCTACAACACCACTCCCTTTCCTTCACTCTCTACGAGCGCGAACCAAACATAAGCTCTCGTTTCCAAGGAGGATCACTTGACCTGCACCCAGACTCGGGTCAACGTGCTCTCCAGGTCGCTGGACTCGAAGCTTCCTTCAAGAAGTACGCCAGGTATCATGACCAAGACTACCGATTCATGGACAAACATGCCAAAGACTGGCTCTTCCACCAGGCGCCTCCTGATGCGGAAGGTCGCCCTGAAATCGACCGTTCGGAGTTGAGGAAAATCCTGATTGAGGCCGTCGAACCCCAGAACCTCAAGTGGGACCACCATGTTTCCAGAATCACCCCGAGAGCGGACGGAAAATACGAGGTCCATTTCGTGAATCATGGTGCCTTTGCGGTCGGCGATCTAATCGTTGGTGCTGACGGGACATGGTCGAAGGTGCGGCCACTATTGACGAATACACAACCAGTTTATACCGGCTTGACGGTAATTGATTGTCGCATCTCCAACTTGGATCAGGAATTTCCCGAGCTTGGGAAATTCATTGGTCGAGGGACTGTGTTTGCCCTCAGCGACGGCAGGGGCATCTTCATGCAGCGAAACGGAGATGACAGCCTTCGAGTTTACCCTTGTCTGAAGGTACCGGAGAAGTGGGCAGTCGAAAGTGGTATCGACTGGACAGACCAGAAGAGAGCCACGGCGATGCTCTTGGAGGATGTCTACCACGACTGGGATGATCGTCTGAAAGAAGTCATCCGCCGTTTGGACCCCAAGTGGACACCGCGGCCTCAGTACAGGATGCCACTGGGCATGCGCTATGAGACTCAACCAGGATTAACACTAATTGGAGACTCGATGCACGTCATGTCGTGGTTTGCAGGTGAGGGAGCAAACCTTGCGATGCTAGACGCCTTGGATCTTTTTCTCTGCATTCAGGCAGACCCGGCGGACCTGGAAGCAGCAGTGCGCAAGTATGAAGAAAGAGTCATGGGGCGCGCGGATAGCACCAACAAAATGTCTCAAGATCTTTTGGAAGAAGCCATGGCGGATGACTCTCCCCGCGCATATGTTGAATCCATGGCCAAGGCAATGGACGTCTGGTTTGCTGACGGCCGCTTGTTGGAGGAAGTGGACTTATGAGCCCATTCTCACGGGCCGCCCGGCTCGACCGAGGACATAGCGACAATAGATTCTGAGCTGTAGCCACCTTGATATCTGATGGCGAAGGGTGCCAGGGGGAGATGAGGGAGATGCGCTAGGAAGGCTGAATTGGTCCTAAATGGCGAGATGGGTCTAGAACATTTCCTGGTATCATGTGACCTCCTTGTCGCACGTGACCCTGGTGCGACTTCGAACTCTTCATCCACGAAGAACCAGGAGAATTCTTCCACCCTCTATTTTCATATTTGCCGAGTCCAGTATGCCTGCCATAATGTTCGCCGTAGATGCGGCCAAATATCTCTCGCTCGGACAATTGATTCGGACATCTCTTAGCTTCGGAGGAGAAGCTGGAGAGTGTCACCGATCACGTTAAGTATGAAACGTCTTCATTCGTGACCTGCTATACTCTGGGAAATACCCTGGCCATCTAGATTCAACCGCCGAGTCTAAGGAGGAGTCCAATATCAGCGAGGTGACAATGGAGTCGTCAGCCCATGTATCTCCCTGCGTACAGCATCTCGTCGGCGCAGTCGCAATCGTCACGGGAGGCTCCAACGGCATCGGAGCACAGACGGTCAAACTCCTCTCTTCTCATGGATCGAATGTGATCATAGCAGACCTCGAGTCCACAGCTGGGGACGCTAAAGTGCTCATTGCCTCCCTGTCGCATCCCCAGAATGCCATTTTCTTGCCCACGAATATCCTCAACTGGCAAGAAATGAAGCTCCTGTTCAAGCGAACGATCGAACGCTTTGGGCGTGTAGACATTGTCATCGCCAATGCAGGGATAATGGAAAGCAAAAGCGTGTTTGACCTGGCAGCGGTCGACGACGAAGGAGAATTGCAGGAATCAGTCGAAGGGGGTAGAGTGTTGGACGTCAACCTCAAAGGTACACTCAACAGTAAGTCCATCTTACCTAGTTACAACCCCGTCATTCTCGAAGTATGCTTGCTCGCTAGCCATACTGACGGCTGGTTCCGTCGCAGCATTGAGGCTGGCGTTGTATCATATGCAACGAAATAAGCCGCGTTTCCAGAATTCGTCTCGAGGGTCCATCGTTCTCGTCACTTCAACCTCCGGATATTTTGGCAGCAGTGGTGTGGGGGCTTACGTCGCCTCCAAACACGGTCTGGTTGGCCTTCTTCGGTCATGCCAACTGACTGCCCAGGCAATCGGCGTGAATGTGAATGCCGTGGCACCATTCTACACCCCGACCCCAACGTTCTCCAAGCTGTCAGAGAAATGGGGAGCTTCTGGCCTGAAGGCGAATACCGTTGACGATGTCGCAAATGCAGTCGTCCAGACATGCCTAGCCTCTGCTAGTGGAAGATGTGTTCTTGTAAGACCCGACCTCTTCTTGCTATGGACTCGTATTGATGTACGGCAGGTTGCTGGAGGGTTAACGCGAGAGATGGAAGCAAGCAGGGCCAGACTGATATCTGCGTGGCTTGGTGAAGACATCGCCGAGCTTCTTCAATCTGCTGGGAAATTGTTCGCTGAAGGAGGCTATCCCCTTCCAGAGAGGAGAACCGAAGCATCCGTGTAGTCTTCGCTCCTGGGTCGCTGCTGCCGCATTGAGGCCCGATGCTTGTCATCCCGTACCCAATCCTACTGTGAGTGAGCTTGGAGGGACGCCGTGGTAGAACTGCGTTAGATATTAATCCTCTAGAAGGATAATGGCATCGCACATATATATGAAAATCCTCATGTCACAACCAGAAGGCTGCAGAAGCTCTTCGAGCATCGAGTGGACGACAATGCTGGAAGAAGCCAAACCACAGCACCTGATCAACTAGTCTCATCTTTCAGCCATGATCCTTGCATAACTCAAGACTTAGGTCACCGCTGCTGAAACTTTAGATTCCCTGGGTATGTCCCCATCATAGCTGTCGTTCGATCCTTATCGGTCTCTTCGTCGCCTAAGCTCCATCCTATGCGCCAAGTGCTGTTCCGCCTTGTCGACCCTGAACTTAATCTAATCCAGGCGACCAAGACATTGTGCCATCGGTGGTCTAGTCCGATGTTGGCGAAGCTGGCTACAAATTGCAAAGACTGTGGACGCGGAGCATTGGGGAGACATTATCCTTGACCGCCAGCACATGCGACAAACAATCCTTCAGCGATGGTGGAAGCGGCCGGACCTTTAGCCACAGCTCTGCAGCGGTCACGGTACCCGGTGTTCACAGACCACTATGCTCAGGTTGGACTTCGGCTGGTCGTCCGCCGCTCGACTTCTACCCGGACAAGGGGGCTGAGGGCGCAGACACCTGCTGGCCATGCTGGGCTGGTGCTCGGTTAGCAAGGTTTCTTGTCTGGCCCCATTTTCTCTCCAGATAATTGGGCACACATGGCCTAGCCGCATTGGCGTTCTTTTTTTGCAAGGTGTCGAGCTTCTGGGTCTTGGTGTCTGTCCAGCCCTACCGCTCCCAGCTACATCCATGCACGGACTTTTGTCAAGGGTGCAATGAGCCAACAGCCTGACCAAGGTCAATCACGGGCTGCTCCCTCATCCCATGTCTTCTTTATGGTGCCCCAGACTATTCCAGGCTGCTCCGGCTCTCAGCCGCGAACCACGCCGCCACCAATCGGAGAAAGTTTGATTGGGAATACGAGGGCGGTCGCTGGGAGGTGGCCACTGGCCAGAGCCATGGAAACAAGTACAGTCTTGACATCTTGGTCGTAGCCGCATGGCACTGAAGGGAACGCGCGGACTGCCTTCTTGATACGAGGACATGGGCAGAGAGGGTTACCCACGCCCCGTGTTCATGCTTCAAGCGTCCGAGATCTGGGCTGCCTGCGTTGGACTTGTTATACCACGGTCTGTGCTCCTCAGCCCACTCTGGTCCTCTTCTCCGGCTTTTGCTCTTTCGCAACCAGTTTTGCAGGCATGGGATTCCCATTGCTCGCCCTCGCGGCCCTGCTGTCTGGGGTAGTGGCTCAGGACACCACCACCACGGTTACAGATTTCACCAGTGCTGCAAGCACCTCTCCTACAAGCACCACTTCACAGCCAATCACGGTCACGGTGGCTGTCGGGAATGGAGGGAATACTTTCGTCCCAGACGTGGTTCAGGTTTCTCCCGGAAACTATGTTGGTATGGCTCTCGAGCAAGTCGCTGTGCACTGTCTGTGAGTGGTCGCTGACGCTGTCGTCGAGAATTCGATTTTTATCCCCTGAATCACTCCGTCATTCGGGCCGCATACGGGTACGCGTGTGTACCTTATGAGTTGACAGGTAGGTATATGCAACCGACGTCGTTCGAGGCCGTTGTTCTTTGCTCCAATACCCTTTCCCACAAGTCAAACGATGAGCTAACCACGACTCAATCACAAAGGGCCGGATCGAATTGGATTCTTCTCTGGCTTCTATCCTGTCGACGCCATTCTCAGCGATCCGCCCAAGTGGACGCTGCTCATCAACGACACCGAGCCGGTCTTCTACTATTGTGGCGCCCCGGGCTCGTGTATCAACTACCAGATGGTCGGGGTCATCAACCCCAATGCCACCCAATCCATTCAGGTCCAGAAGCAATATGCCGCAAACTCGTCCTTTATGCTGGAGCCGGGCGAGAGCTGGCCTCCCGAGGAAGACCCCTTCGCGACCACCTCTACATCCACATCCACGGCTACTGCGACGTACACGACGACCTTCACGACCTCGACTTTGTCTCCGACGCCGACCGCGACGACCGCGACTCCCGTAGCGAGTGAGTCTAGCCATTCCTCCCTGTCATCGGGAGCCATTGCAGGAATCGCAATCGGTGAGTCCAACTGATCTCAGGCTCCCCCGACACACCCTGCGGCTGTCCGTGCTGACCCCGAAATCAGGAGGAGCAGCCGTCGTCATCGCCGCCGCGGTATTGCTCTTCTTCTGCGGCCGCAGGTCCAGATCCAAAGACGGCGGCGGCGGCAACCAACCCACCCCCTCGACGCCCGCCATGGGCCCGATGAACAGTCCGCCAGCGTACCTCCCGCCCAACAACTACGGCTACATGTCGCCCACCCAGAAGCACATGTCCGTGACCTCGATGCCGGCAGCGACCGACGCATTCGGCAACGCCATCCCCAACCCGGGCGGCATGTACCCTTACCCCCCGGCATTCCCGCAGGGCTACCCGCCGCACCAACAGATGGCGCCCCCCCTGATGGCCAGCCCAGGCCAGGCGCAACCTCAACCGTCGCCTCAATGGCCGCCGTCCCCGTCCAACGACATCTTCGGCCCCGCCGCCGCGGTCCCAGTCCTGCACCCCGCCCCGGCCCCGTTCCAGACGCACGACGCGCAACAGCAACAAGCACCACAGATTCCCCCGGCCGGGAGCGGCATCGGCACGGAGAACGCCTCCCCGCGCGCAGGCAGCCCGAGCTCCGTGGCCGGGGCCCCGGCGGCGCCCGCGGCGGTGGGTGGCATTGCCGCGTTCCTGCAGCGCCAGGCGCGCATGAGTCCTCCGCCGCTCGAGCACGAGGTGCAGGCTCAAGCGCAGCAGCAGCAGCAGCAGCAGCAGCCCGCTCCAGGTTTGACGCCCGGTCCGTTTGAGATGTCCGCGACTGGGACCATGCACAGATATTCCTAATCCCCCCCCCCCCCCCCGGCCGGGCGGGAAGGACTATGCTCGTGTGAGCTCGCCTGCTCGCCTGCTCGCTAGCCTGTCGTCTAGCGAGCCAGGCGGCGTGTTGTCACCTAGTTGTCTCCCTGAGTTGATTGCCGCAAGCGGTGTCTCTGGTGCAGAGCAAGAAGGAGAAAGGTGTTGGCAAAATTATACCGTGCTCGTGAGATGGTTCATTTACGTTGGATGAAATTGAACGCTGTTCGATTGTAATGAGGTTGAGACTGGGTCTCCTCCACCCCTGGGGCTTCATAATCGACCATTTCTATGTCTCTAGATATGTATCTCATCCGTGTTCGGGATCGGCGTTCTATACAATCTGTCTATACTCGCCCATCCTCTAGCGTCCGTTCTCACCGCTTGCGCAGGTAGTCGCCGCCCTTCAACGCACTCAGCGCCCCGTAGACACCCGCAACGGGCCAGATCCGCCACACGCCCTTTTCAACCGGCATGCGCGCATCTCGCAGCACCTGGCCCTCGCCGTCGAGCTCAAAGATGTCCTTGGTCCTGACTTTCTCGAACACGCTCGGTATGTGCCCGTCGGCCTGGTATTTCGTCCTCAAGTCGTCGTACCACCTCTTGTCGTAAATGGCCCAGAATTCGTCTTCGGTGTAAAAGGTCTGGGCGTACAGCCACTTCATCCCGCCCAGAGACTTTAATTTGGCCTCGATGAGGCGGTTGATGGTGACGTGCAGGGTGGTGGGCGGTGTTTCGCCCCAGACGCCGATGTTCAGGAGCGCGTTGTCGAAGCCATCACCCTCCTTGCTCTTCGGGTCGGGATCCGAGGCTGGACTGGATTCTGCGTTCGAGGAGGTTCGGTTACGGAGGTGGGGGTTCATGCTCACGCTGTCACCATCCTTCAAGGGACACAGCCAGCGTGGGTAGATGTGCGGCAACTCCTCGTCCAACCAACGAGAGAATTCCGGAATGTTTTTGTTAGGAAGGGCCATGTCTTGGATGATGAACCGCTGATATAGGCCGGAACGGTGTAACGCGTGGTACATGATGCGCGTGTGCATGAAGTAATCTGCCAGCCAGCGGATCGTGCGCGTAAAGGGTATGCAGAAATACGTGTATGCAAAGCGACCCGTCCAGAAGGCGCCTCGGTCATAGCGGAAGAGGTAGTCTGTCAAGGGGATTAAGTCGCGCGGAGCGGATGCTGATGGTGATGACGGCGATGGAGATAGAGGTGTCGTGGCGTCAGTATCGTTCATTTTTTCCTCGGCGTGGAGATAGAACCACTGATCCCAAGGCTTGGTAAATGTCACGACTGGTAGGTCTTTGTTCTTCTCGTCTCGTTCAGCGAGTTGGCCAACCAATATCACTCCCTTCTCGGGAGCAAACATTATCCCGTCCAGAAAATCCGCATCTCCCCGCTTCGTGACCTGTTTGATCACTTCTTGCGCCCGTTCAATGCCTCCGACCCGGATATACGACAGTTCGACGAACTCCTTTGCCGGAATCAAACGCATCTCGAACAGGGTAATGACCCCCAACGTGCCGAATGTTCCGGCCATTCCGTAGAACAAGTCTGCCCTCTCGGTCGCGGAGGCTGTCACCACCTTTCCGTCCGCCAGAACCACCTCGAACCAGATCACGCTCTTGTCAAAGAAACCATACTTGAAGCTGCTACTCTCGCCTGCCGTCCCAGCAAAGCCACCTCCAACTGTGATACCCGGGAATTCTGGGACGACGGGGGGTACTAAGCCGTGCTTCAGAGTGGCCGCGACAAGGCGGTCCATGGGGACGTTAGGCTCAACCAGACATGTCCGCTTCGAAGATGAGACAGAGATGACATTTTCGAGTTTGCAGATGTCGACGGTAGCGCCCCGTGTCCGCTCACTCAGGCGAGTCGAGTTGGTGTTGCCATGGAAGATGCGAAAAGGAATTCGGCGAGCATGGAAGCTGGCGATGCGGTCAGAGACAGCCGACACGGCTTCCTTGTGCCGGCTGAGCAGCTGTTGCGAGACATCTTCCTCGTTTTGACAGTCTCCCATGACTGACAACCGCCTCGAAAGACCTAGACGCACCAAACAGCGCTATTTTCTTCCTTCCAGATGTTCAGACATGGTTCCGTCCGCGCGCACTCTAAAGGTAGATCCGATGGTATCAGGACAGCCGGGCCGTGGGGATCTCGGGCAAAGTCAGAGCTTTCAAGGGCGACATGCCACCGCGTAAGCAGCAGAGGCTAATGCCCTCTGGAGAGTGGAGAGGATCTCGACATTGTGCATGGTTATCGGATGAGACGGAGTTCTTCGTTGCACATCCACTTGCAGTTTATGACCTAGAGATCCGCCGTACCAGAGGCTACGGAGGATCATTGGGACCCAAACCCCTGAAGCTACAAGCTGCGTGGCTGTCTACCGGGCACATCTCCTTCTCACCTCCTCGCCTGACCATTCTCACTACCCAAAGGCACGGGCCTCCCACTCTCAAAGCTGCGATGTAGCATCTCCATATCGGACGTCTCTCTGTGGCCAATGTCCACTATCGAGAGCAAACTGCACCAACGTGCCCTCGCCGCCCCAATACTCGGTGCAAAACGCGCCCATGAGTTCCAGTCCATTGAGCAAAGCGCCGCTCGTCCATAACTTGCCGTCTCTGTGCCACCGCTTTTCGACCCAATTCGTCTCAGTCGTTGTCGCGCGAAGCTGTTGCAACAGGAAACGAGGTGCGGTCACAGTCTTGCCTTTGAACAGTCCGGCCAGGAACGCCGTTTGTAGTCCTGCACAGATGGTGATGAACGCCGAGCAGGCCTCGTAACTCTTGCGCACGAATTCGAGCTCCGTCTCATTGGGAATATAGCCGTTTAGGTGGGCCCCCATAACGACAATGTCAAGGGGTGGACACGTCGAGAAGTCGTCCTGTACCGCCGATGAGGGGACTGACTTGGAGGACGAACAGGGGCCGGACTCACCGTGGGCTGGATCGAGACACCGCCTGTCAATCTGGCAGTCTTGCCTGTCTGATTGACCCAATGAAATTCAATATCGAGGGCTTGGGCTGCCATGCCCTCTGGTGCAAACTCCTCCAGAGTTTGAACATAGTTCTTGGATACTGAATACAACAGGTCAATGGGAGCTACATCGAGAAGCTCCGTCTCTCTGTCGCCTGGACTCAGTTCTAACCTGACAAGCTCGGGATCCGCGTTACATACGAGTTCATGAGAAGCACCCCGGCGTGGATGGTGCGGTTGGGCTTGGACAGATCAAAGGGTGCCCCCATTTTGTTGCTTCTGGGACAACTCGAACGCTGGCTGTTACTGTCTCAAAGTATCGCCCAATGTCCAAGTGGGAGTTCTTCATTTTATAACCCATCTCGGACGAAATATCCTGCGTCAAAGTTCCACGGCTGCAATCTACTTCGTGAAACGTTGTTGCGTCGCCAGAGAGCCACCCAAAGGCCTATCGGAGCATTCACTTCTGAGATGAGCATGTTTCTTCTTGCCAGTGGCCTCTTTGGGTATTGGACGAATTCGCCGTTACCCATTCACAAACTCGGGAATGAAGCTGCCTGCCTTTGAAGACTCTCCCCGACTCACCGAGTCTTAAGAACGGGGTGCTCAAGGGACAACACCGCCGGGCGCTACTTCTGCGGAGCCTTGTGAGCTTCCAAATCGGGAAAGCCTGACCAAAGAAGAATGGCGTCGGATGAACAACGATCCATTCTCCATGAGGACTTCTGTTCGCCTTGATTGATGGTGTGTAAAAAGCAGTCAAACTCGCTCACCTCCTTTCCCGTTTCCTCACCAACACACTCCCTGTTTTCGACGAAGCCAAGCTGGACTTTCTGAAGTCTGCGTGGAGAGCAGGATTCGTTAGCTATTTCCACGAAGAGCTCATCCTCGGCCCAACCGAGGCATAGGGAAGCATTTCATCCGCGGCAACTATGACCAGAGAAGACACCCTTGGGCTACCCAAGGCAATCGACCGCTAAAAGGAAAGAATTCCACCTTTCCAAGCCTCCTTTGCAAGAGGGCTTTTGAGTGACTCGGCGACTCTTCTGTTTATCGATCTGCCAATTTCCTCCAGTACCTGCACGGTCACCCGGCATTCACCTTTAAATGCATTTTATCAAATTCAACATTGATTACCGACCTCGGCAATACATCCCTGATGATTGGCATTCACCACCACACTCGGCATGGTTGTCGAGGCCATCAAGGCCGTACTTCCCGATGATGTTGCATGAAAAGAGATCGGCTTTTGGTATATATTTCTCCAATAATGATTCCATCCCCTGCGATGGGATGTTCTTTCCTCTCTGCATAGCGCAAACCGTATGTCGACAGGCAGAGACAAAATTGTTGCGGCTGAGACCTCGCTTGATCACTCGAGGCAGCCCATATCCAAGAGGGTTAACCGAGGAATGGGCGAGCTATCCCTTGCAGCCCAACATGAAGTCGCCTTATTACGCGTTGCCTTCTCAACGTGGCATGATCAACAGTCACTACCGAGCGTCCCACGCCGTTGATGTGCAGCACCCAGGGGACTTCGAGGGAGGAGGTGGAAATTTGCGGGGAAGCCAACCGGGGGTCCCAGGACTACTCGAGAAGCGGGGCGAATAGGGACCCCAGACTGGGGAACCCAAGACCGCCTCCCGCCTCGTTCGCTTTCTCCTTTTCGTAAGTGATACGATATTTGCATGCTAGGTAGGTCTTTCGCGCCCTCAGCATGGGGTTTGCCTGTTGGCTCCGGACTTCGGACAGCTTACCGTGGCCTACAGGAGGGTTAGTCGGGGCTAACTCACGACGCTATTTAGCCACCTGCAGATTTGAAGAAGATCGATTCGCAGTTACTACTCAGGATCGCTGACTCGGTGGCTCATGCTGGCAATGAGGCATATCAACCTACCAATTAGAGGGGAAAGCTAATGTTTAGCACAACACACATAATCGAGAGACCAACAGATCATACCCGCTTCCCCCAGCATTGTGACTAACTAAACCCCTATGTTCCAACCCCAGATTCCAGCCTTTGTTGGCCCACATCCTGACCGAGGTATCCGGTACCCACAATAGCGTTGAATGCAAAGCCTCGACCAAGAAGCGGGGAGCCGTGGGATTTCAACAGCAGGGTATTTGATCTAGATGAGTCTTGAGCCGTCGGCTGTCCTCTTCAGAGCACCTCCTGCCCTTCTCCTCTCGCGAGTTCAGCCTTTGGAGATTTGGAATTTTCGTTGATAAGCCATCATGAGCGTGGTACCACCAGAGAACACCGACCGACTCGAGCACGAGAAGCAGCACGATGCTGAGCTCCGCCATGACAAAGAGATGCTGGAGCATCGAGAGCATGCTCACACTGAAGACGAGAAGAATCGAGCCAAAGAGGAATTGAATGCGGCAAATGGATCTTCCTCTGAACCCAGCAGCGAAATCACACCAGAGTATCAAACCAAGACAGTATGGACGTTGAAGACATTCGTCGCCACGCTTGCACTCAGTGGGCTCTACGTCGGCTCCCAAATTCCCCTTTACTTCGTCGGCGGCTCCCTTTCGTTCATCGCAGCAGACATTGGTGGTGCCGAGGCGTCCGCCTGGTTATCGGTGTCCTACGCTCTTGCCCTCTCTGCCGTCGCTCCTTTCTGCGGATATCTGCAAGATCTCCTAGGTCGCCGCATCATCACCCTGGGAGGTGGTGTCTCGCTGATGATGGGTTGTGTCATCCTCGGCACCGCGCACAAGTTTGGACAAGGGATTGTCGGCATGGCATTCGCTGGCGCCGGCGCCGCAATTGGTGAATTGACTGCTCTTGCTGGGTAAGAATGCACATAATGACCATTAATCGAGCTCGGGCAACTAATAAAAGGCGTGGCCAGGACTTCTGAGCTAGTACCTGTCAACAAACGAGGCATCTATCTTGCGCTCGTCACAGCCTTTGTGCTCCCGTTCACTCCATATCTGATGTACGCTCAGCTCCTGTCGACCTATCACACTTGGAGATGGGGCATGTGGATTTGCTTGTGAGTCTACTTCTACTCGTTACGAAATGCCCAAGCTAGGCAGTGCTGACCGATACAAAGGATGTGGAACGGTCTCTGGTGGGTTATCTTGTTCGTGGTGTATTTCCCAGAGTCCCAGACCCGAGCAAAAGGCATGGAAGCTCGAGCGATTCTGAAGAGGATCGACTACGTTGGCGGAGTGCTGTCCATTATGGGTCTGACTCTTGTGTAAGCCTCCCCTTTATCTACTCCCCTATTAGTTCATTTCTAATCCAAGAACATAGGCTGGTCGCTCTCCAAGCTGGAGGCTACTCTCACTCCTGGAAGAGCGCCTTTGTTATCGCCCAACTGATCATTGGCGTTTTCCTCATCGCCGCCTTCGTTGTTTGGGAATGGAAGATCTGCAAGGATCCTATGGTGCCTCACGAGATGTTTTCGGGACAAAGAATTGTTGCTATGGCGTACGGAATCGCTTTTATTGCAGGTACGAAAGCACGGCTAAACCCCCAATCCTTCCAACGTCCCAACCTGGCAAGGAAAAAGGTTCCCTTTGTCCGGGGTCGATCCAATGACGAACAGGAAAGACGGAATTTACTGACACGTTTGCGTTTTACTGTAGGCATGAATTTCTACGCTATGCTCAATTTCTTCCCTCTGGTGTATAGCACCGTCTTTGACCCTAATCCGGTCCATGTCGGTCTTCGAGGCCTTGCTCCCGGGTTGTCTACCACCTTCGGTGCGGTGATTGCGAATGCCGCGTTGTCTTGGTTCAAGGGACATAACCGGGAGATCCTCTTAGCTGGTTGTATCGTCATGAGTATGTGGCCCCAACCCATTCCCTACCGAGATCCTCTTGCCCACGTCCTCCACCTCAGCACATGACCCTCTACCCTGGCCCCTTCCTGACTCAATCTGTGCGTGCGGCGTTCATCAACTAACCGTGAGTTTCCAGCGGCATTCGGCGGCTCTCTCGCGGCCATCACTCCCGACCGTGAAGGCCTCGCGATTGGTCTAGGAACAATTACTGGCTTCGGGGTCGGCGCTGTCCTTGTGCCGGCGGCCACCGTTGCCATCACAGTGACACCCGACACTTCGATCGCCACCTGTGTCGCGCTCTCGCTCACGATCCGCGCCGTCGGCGGCAGTATCGGATACGCTATCTACTACAACGTCTTCATCAACAAACTCACACCCAACCTCATCAAGTATGTCGGGCAGTACGCCGTCGCCGCGGGCCTCCCGCTCTCGTCCGCCCCGGAATTCGTCGAGACCTTCCTGACCGCGCCCGCCAACATTACAAGCGTCCCGGGCGTCACCGCGAAGATTATCCAGGGTGGCACCATCGGGTCTCGCTGGGCTTACTCCGAGTCGCTCAAGTACGTGTGGCTGACCAGCATCTCGTTCGGCGGGTGTGCTATTATCGCGTGCTTGTTCATCGGCAACATTACAAAGTACATGACCAACCGGGTCGCCGCGAGGATCAGGGAATGATTTTCTCTCCGTCTCGAAGAGAGAGCTCGGGAGCGGGTATTTATGGGATGGGAAGTATTGGAATCCGTCAACCCCGTCAACCCATCCCATCTATGCATCCTCAGAGCCACTTTCATTCGAGATCGTTGAGCCCCACGATGGAAACAAGCTGGACTGGACTGGATCGGACTTTGAACTGGGTGTTGACCATCAAGCCCAGAGAGGTGGGAGCGAGAGGAATAAAGACCGAAAGCGTTTCGGCCTCGGAGAAGAAAAGAAGAAAAAACAAATCAAAAGGGACAAAACGAGTGTGGAGCCGAAAGCTGGTATATCTACATAGCACACAGAATATGATATACATGCCTCCCTTCTACCTGATCAAGCATACGCGGAGACAATTAGCGCCCCTGTTGTGTCTCATGGAGGAGAATCACGAATCGAATTTAATCATTGGCAAAAGAATCCTGAGATTCGATCGGCTTGTTGTCTGTTTCATCCTGTTAAAGTGATCCAGAAATCGTCTTTTGTCTGCCCTTTATCGTAGTGTACAGCTCTATAAATCTATCGGCAGCTTTTTGGCCATTCCATGGCACGACAGACAACATCATAACTCATCCCTAATCCTGTCATCATTTACAAGCTTCCTCTGGCTCTCGTCACCAGCAGCCTCGCCCAGATCTCCGTTGTCCGCAACCGTGGATCCCTGCTTCTTCTTTGCCGCCCCAATGACACCCGCGATCTCCTCGTCGTAGAGTGTCCATTCGGGGACCTGCCTCCTCGCCCTCTCCAACTTGGGCTCCTTGGTGAGCGGATTGTTACACAAATCAATCGTCTTGGCCTTGGCCAGACTGGCATCATCGCACCATGTCTCACACCAGAGCCATTCCTGAGAAAGACTGTGGATGGGAAGAGTGTGTTGCATGTGATTTGGCAGATCCTGGTCAAGGTTTGAGAGACTGGCTGGGTCGGCAGAGAGTGCTTGGTACTGTTGTCTGAGACGATCACCTGCAGCGAGTTGGCGGAATCTCTTGAGGTCGACAACGTAGAGAGCGGATATGTGGTAGGGTTTACCCCGGAGATAGGTCTCCCAGTATCCTTGTTTCCAAAAACGGAAGCCCTCCATTTCGGTGCGAGAGTCGCACATCGGTGTAAACCCATAGGGAGCTCCTTTCAGGTCTACTCTGTTCAATTCCATCATGTCGGTGCGCACAATTTGGTCGGCGTCCACGAAAATGACTTTGTCCAAATCCAGCGGGAAAAGTACGTCCAAGAACAAGATCTTGTAGCCCCAGATTTCCCGCTGCTTCTCCTTTTGACCTCGGAGCCAGTGAGGCCATTTATAGGTGACCATCTCGTAGTCAAAGCCGTAGTGGTTCGCAAGGACAGGGAGGGTGCTCTTAAATGACGGTGATAGGAATTGTTCGATGAACCAGAACTTGACGCTATGTTTGGTGTGCTTCATGACCGACACCATCATGATATTCAGCATCCTTTCGTAAAGGTGACCCGAAGCCACGGAGAAGATATTGATGTCGGCGTTGGTCGAGGTTTTCTTGAAGCCCAATGAGGAAAGCGCCGAAGATGCGAAAGACGCTCCCCTGCTGAGGTAGTCCATGGCTCCCCCGAGGGCGGAGGACTCGAGAACATCTTCATCTTCCATACCAGGCTTTCGGGAAAGTCGGGGGAACAGCGTCAGCCCCTGGAACGAGAGCAGAGCAACTGATGTGGTCTCATCGCCCGGTTGTGCGGAGTAACCATGAGGGCCAACGCTGTCGATATGGAAGATCTTTGAAGACCTTCCCGGCTTTAATGAGATTTGCCAGTACCCAGGATTGGTTTTGAACTGGAAGTATCCCAGGTTAGCCATGACGATGGTATCCGTGAAGTGCGGCTCATCCTCGGTTCCCAGCATCAACTGAACGCCGCGAGGTGGTGGACCATTAGTCACGTCCCTGGCATGGCCTTCTATAAGAATGTGCTCAAGCTCATAGATGGCGTCGATATTCTCACCCTCGGCTACGTTGCTGAGCTTGATGTTGTCTAAATCATGGATAGATTGTTTGGGCGCAACCAACCACGACGGAGGGACAATCATTCCCAGGTTGAAGAGTGTATCCCTAGGAATGCCGCTGAACGATGCATTAGGAATCACTAGCGAACCGTGGGCGTCGAAGCTGGGCTCTGCACTGATGACTTGCCGGAAAAATCGTTTGACGGGTAGCTCGGTCAATCTGTCTTTCGGGTTCAAGAAGATCTGCACGCTCACTCCACTAAGCTGGGACAAGGTCTGGAGAATCGGTACCCATTGCTGGACAAGCTCAGAGGCCGGGTCGATAGCGGCCACAATCTGAATATTGATGTCGTCCGAGTTCGAGATCTTGATGGATGTATGAGTGCCGTTCCAGATTTTGAATCGCTCCAGCCTGATCAAGGGGGCCGATTCCCTCAAACCCTCCGGCAGGTCGGACTTCAAAGATCGAGCAACGAGCGAGGTAATCTTTGCGAGGTCGAGAGCCCCAGTGAACCGGTCTTCCAGCGCAAGTCCAGTGATGGCAGTTGTGACTGGTGCTATTCTCTCTCTCCGTTCGAATTCGAGCAACGACTCGAAGTCAACAGAGGTGAACCTTTGTTCAAGGGGGCCCAGGAGACGACCATTAAGCCACAAGCCATTTTGACCTTCGGCAAGAGATAGCGTCCGAATCAGATCTGCCTGAGAACGCCAGAATTCTGCTGATGCATCTGTCAGATCATCCGTAAAAGAATTCAGATCGCCCTTAAGCAACTCCTCGAGCCGTTCGACGGTCAGGTCCCGCCCGCCCTCTTGCAAGAGCGCGTACAGACCGGGGGCAAAGGTGGAGCTCTGCGTTTCTGGACTAGGATTGTGAATGATCAGGAGCTCTGTTTCAGCATTCCGCTGGTGAAATAGCATCGCCTCCAAGAGCAAGGCCCGACCTGTCTCGGACTCAAGATCGATGACGATAAGAAGGTGAGCGCGGTCGCTCAACAATGTCGCCTCTGTCCCAGGCAGCCGAGGAAGGCGAGCAAAGCTATCAGCGAACTTGGCGGTTACCTGGCCGACGTCGACAATTTCGGTATCTTTGGGATCATCAGGGAAGACGATCTCATTGCGCCGCTTCACAGCCTGGAAGAGGAAGAACTCGGGGATCCAGGAATCTTCCGAAATGGCTTCTTGAAACACTGCTTGCTGCACTAGCTGGAGATCTGAGTACAACCGCGCACTCAAAAGCTCAAACCAGTTGTCTGTCCTTGGGAGGACCACACCATTGACAAGGAAGGGAGGATTGGGCCCTGCCAGTGCTAAGCGCTTCAGATACTCATCGCGTGCCTGCAGTCGGAGATGCAAACTTTCGTCGGTCAGTACATCTTGAAACGATAACGGCTCCTTCTCCGGTCTCGTGGCCCGACCCTTTATTGCGGTATTGAAGCTTTTCTCCGGGCTCGCATCCAACTTTTTAGATGCTACAACATCAGAAAAGAAGCTCATGAGAGCTGTCAGACCATAGGTATCTGAGATATAATACGCCACTTTTGAATAAGTGTTTGCTGTCTCCCCGTCCCCGGTGGGGATAAGAGCGATTCTGATGGGAACTTGTCGTCTGACCAGACTTTGTAATGAAGTCGCGGCAAGTTCAATATCTTTGATGTTTCCCATATCTAATGGCACGATGAGGTTATGGATATCACGGGACACTTGAGGGAGTTGCCCGGGATATGTCCTCTGGAACAAAGACCGTAGGGACGACGACCATCCAGCATAGCGTCTATCCTGCTCCAGATCATTCAGCCACATCAAGACCCCGCCAGCTTCGGAATCGTCGCGCCAGTCGAATCGCTGAGGTGTTTCGTTTGCTTGTGCTTCCGCGATAATCTCACTGGAAAGGAGGCTAATGGCTTCGGACGATGTCAGGCCTAGATTCTTGAGCTCGGCGATAATGCGCCTTTCTCTTCGCAAATGGTCGAGCAGAGAGTAGGCATTGATCTGGCGGGGTTCGATCTGCACACCATTGATCCATAAGACATTGTATCCTGAGGGTAGAAACTGCTCTCGATTTGCCCGGTGTTCCAGAATGAACTCCCTGCTGGCATTTGCCGCTGCAAGAAGCGACGAGTACTTAGGAAAATCGGAAGTGACTTGTAGCAGGGTATCCAGAGGATTCGAGCTTGAGAGGATGAAGCTAGCGGCATTGACACCCAAATTGGCAACCTCCGAAGTAGTCAGAGGCCTCAGATCTTTGAGCTCATCATCCTTGACGGTCTCTAACGACTGTTGGTCCGGTGTGGCATCCTCTGGCTTTTGGGCATCACGATCGTCAATAACGATGTAGTCTGTGCGCTTCAAAACGAGCTCCACACCATAGCCTGTAACATGAATCGGATTGTGAGAGGCCGACGCTGAGGGTCTGTAACGGACTTTGTATGTGGATCTCCCTTCACGAGCGGTCTGGCTGACCACACTGTGGAATTGGCCGAACAAAGGATGAGTGATATCTGCATAGAGGATAGATGGAAGTCCATCAGAGGAGGCGCCGAGGACGCGATCGAACGGGAGATCATTCACAGTATCGGGAATGGAGACCGGCTGTTGAGCACGGTCTAAGGCCGGGGAGCAGTATTGCTCACCATCCAAATAAACCCAGACGGGGCAGGCGGCATCTTGCGCAGCCATCAGATGAGGTTGAATAGAAGTGGTGTAGTACTGGAAGTGAGCTTCAACCCTTGGCGCCGCGGCGTGGAGGGCGAGGGCGAATTTGAAGGAAGAAAGAGACTCGGGGGTGGAAAGATGCCCATCTTCTTGCAAGATGTTGAGGAATCTAGTATACAGCTCTTGTTCCGTTTGCAAATCTGCAAAGGCACCGTCGGCGATGCGGTCAAGAAGAGGAAAGTAGGAGGAGGAGTTCTCAAGCGCAGCCGTTTCTCTGGTTGTATGTTAGCGCATGGTCGAAGTATTGACGAAAGCAGTGGTTGGAAGTGCATACAGCAGCTCGACCAGGTAAGGGCCGGCGGAGAACGAGGCCTGTAGGGCAACATTGACAGAAGGAGAAGCCCGTGCAGGGGCAACGAATGAGTCCCAAGACAAAAGAGGGAGGAGGGCCCATGTCCAGGGTATATTTGAGGTCCGCATTGTGACGAGGCTGCGTGGAAAGGAGTGTCAAATAAGAGAGCCCCTCGACAGGTTTCTGCTCAGTGGTGCATTCTGAGAGACATAAGAACGCTCAAGGCCGCATGAGCAGTGATTGGAAAGCCAGCACCAGCGATGTCGATGCGGTGGAGGCCAAGGTGCAGGAAGAAAGGTAATCAACTTAACGACAACGTGGTGGTGGAGGAGGCCAGATTGTACAGAAAAGGGCCGTGGAATTTCTATGGGGAAACTGCGCGTGTCTCGTGTTTCGCGTCTCCACCTCCAACATTCTTGGAGTTCATTGACTCTCCTTGTATGAGGGCGCATCGCACGCCTCTCCCTCGACCAAGACTCGATTTCATCCACATCTCTTTCACACTCTGGTGGACGTTGCGTGTCGATGAGCCTTCTGCATCGTCTCAGCGACAGTGTAAGCAAGACTGGCTCTTTCGGAAGAGTCTTCTGCCGCTCCTTTTCTATCTCAATCTCCAACTTCTCGAGCTCTACCACTTCTAGGCGGCAACCACTGGGTCATTCGACACCCAGATCCTGGCTCGAAGAGTTCTATCCGGGCTTCTTTTCTGAGACGCCTATCTATCCCAACGTCCTCGGCATCAAACCCCTCAGCTCCAATGGCTCCCTCTCTCAAGACCTCAGCTCTCTGCGACTTCCTCCCTTACCGTTCGTTCCCCTCCCTCAACCGAACGAGAACGGCCGCATCACCCTGCTTCAGCGGTTTAGGCACCGGTGGCGAAAGAGGACTGCCCTGAACACATTTTACAAGCGAGGCATAGCTCAGATCTCTCACAATCACAAGGAATATACCTCCCTGTTCGAACGCCTCCCCCGCGAGTGTGCTCTGCTTCCAGATTTGGCCGCTCTCTATGGCGGTTCCAATCTCAAAATCCAGGACCATTCCATCCCGATGCCCCAGATCTCCCGTCGTGAATTCCAGCTGCTGCTCCACCACGGATCGGACTATGCCCGAGTATCAGGATTTGCCTTGCTTTTCTGGCTGTTTCGTTCCTGGGCTCCTTTAATTGCCCCAAGGCTTCCTTCTACTTGCGAACGACCAGAGGACCGAAGTAGACAACTCAAGGCCTTGTGCAATCGCTTCGACTTCTTTGTGCGCAACCGCAACGATAATTTGGATATTGTGACCGACGACTCCCAGTTGAACACGACTGAGCGGGCCGAGGAGTTTTATACCATTTGGAGAAGGCGGCTCTTGAGGTGGCACTATGTTGTTGTCAATGACCCTTTATGCAAGCTCATTCCATGGGTCCCGTACGCTTGGACAGAATCCGCAGCTCGTTTCTTTGGTCGTCGGTGTGAGGATCACTATCGCTCGATCACTGCCGATACAGTGCTTATAATGCGCGAAGGCGGATTCAATACTCTCTCTGCTGACGATATTTACGACTACTGTGTCAGATGCGCCTCCCCAACTTTCATCAGTTACGCCAAACAAGCTCTCCAGAACGGCGTTAATCCTGCCAACGAGGCCATGAGAAAGGCCATGGTACCCGTTCTCGAGGCCCGCGCAAAAAGGATGTTGGCCATCGACTGGACCAGACTGCGTCCGAAGTCACTCGGTTTAATTGAGCCGCTCAGTCGATTGCGCGACCGTGAGGACCCTGATTCAGTCTGGGGACGGAGAAAGTGATGGGAAACGTGCTCTCCTTCCTCTGTGAAGGTGATCATGATAAAGCTTCGATTTACCGCCGCATCTAACCCTATGTTCGAAGTTTCTGAAACCGGAATTCCAAGGCATATAACTATGGTGACAAAACTTGTCGGCTATTGGTCTGCCTCCGTCGCCGCGGAAACAGCGACTGCATTTTTTCCCTGTTCAAACTACCAGACCAACTGTACAGACGAAACCCGAACTTTTGAGCGAAGGGACGGTCCCCCAGGGTCGCTCCTCTGCCCTGTTCATTAATCACAAACCAAATGGATAAGTTTCCGCCTCGAGCAGTGGTGTATGGGGCTGTTTCTTTTCCAGCGCTCCGACTGCCTGCGTCCTGTCGAAAAACACATACGCGTCGAACTGCTTGGACAACCTGGAGCCGCTGTAATGACTCCACAGCTCCGTCTTCGGCCGGTAAATCACGCCGATGAATCGTTCAAGCCGATTAGCAGCGAGGGCTCTGCGCGTATCTTCGTCGCAATGCCCCTTGCGCATATCAAGCAGAAATCTTGGCATGTTGGTGCTGTGTGCCACATACTCCCAGCTGTCCTCTCGCGACGGATTGACGTTCATGATTTGCATGTCACCATCCCACTCGTGTGCGGCAGCGACTGAGCCGTCATGTGTGCCGCAACCTACGAGGACCACATCGGATAGATTCTCGCGGCAGAGTTGACCGAGATTGAGTTCCTCGCGCTGCGTGCCCATGTCGGTGAATCGCGCGTCCCCGAGGTGGCTGTTGTGAGCCCACACCACGGCCTTGGATTTTCGGAAGTCAAGTAAGCGTTTCAAGGTGTCGAACATATGCAGATCCCTCAGATTCCAGCTGACCACATCACTGTAGTACATCTTGCGATAGTACTCCTCCGCGTCCACCACCAGCACGGCATTCTGCTCAGCACTGTGGAATCTTTCGCCGTCGTTGATTTTGACCGAGTACTCCAACCTCTTTCGCAGCAGTTCCAGCAGCATCTTGATGACGTCTTCCTCACAAGTCTTCAGATTCTCCATGTATTTGCTCTGGAGCATCTTCCGTCCATATTGGTGTTCCCGGTTGACCCAACGCTGCAGTCCAGCATATCGTTCTTTTGCCTCCTGGGCCATCTCTGGGTCGATATTCTGTAAGTACCGAATCACAGCGCTCATACTCGATCCCATCGAGTATAGATCCAATCCATACACACCCGCCTTCTCCTCCGCGGGTAATCCTTCATTATAGTCCCTCATCCAGTGGACCAAATCCTGCATTTCACGATTCCTCCACATCCACGTTGGGAATCGCTGAAACGGGCTTTCCTTGTCCCTAGCCGCCTGCACCGGGTCAGGATGCTGGCCTGGCCACCGTCGTACGTAATGATCGATTGCCTCGGCGTCGGGCCAATCCGCCTCCAGCGCTACACACTTGAATCCGTGGTCCTTGATGAGCCGCTTTGTGATTTCTGCGCGAGCGGCATAGAACTCTGACGTGCCGTGGCTGGCGTCGCCCAAGAGAACCACCTTATATTGGCCCAACCAGTCGAAAGCCTCGCCGAAACTGGCCGAATTGATGGGCGGCAGTGCCTTTGCGGCACGCCGCATGACTTGAGCCAGTGCGGATGTGCTAGACATTTTGATATTGCGATTGAGACGCGTGAAGGGAAGAGAATGGAGGAGGCGCGTCAGGAGGGAATCGTCCGTTTGACGAGCCAGATTGGGGGGGGGATTAGAGTCGATGTGATGAGAAATTGAGGGAGATCAGGGCGAAATGAGTTTCGCAGGGGGAGATTTCTGGGCCTTTTAAGAGATCCTTCGACTCTCGAAGTTCACGTACAATTCTTCTCAGGTGATGTCGCCATATATACGAGGTATCTCCTCGCATGTTGATCCTGAGGCAGTGACGTAGTGGTGTGATATAATATCATCAGGAGGTCGGTTTCCGGCTCTTTTCTCCCCTCCCCGCACACAGAGAGGCCTGCGAGCATGAGAGCATGAGAGCATGGCAAACTCTCGAGGGGGTGGTTCGAGGCCATATCGCCCGCTTCCAAGGGCGTGCGTGCGGAATCATGCGGACGGGCCCCTGCTGGACCGGAGAATATCACACTATCGCGGCACGCGAGGCTGAGCGAGCGAGCGAGCGAGCAGACGGGGCCGGCAGGGGCAGCCTTACGCCGCCACCGCCGCTGGTTGGGACCTTGACTCAGGCCCTTGCTGGGCACCCCATCACGCCGCAAGGCTGTGAAGCTGTCCGTCTCCGTCTTTGTGCATTGGGTCTCCCCTCGACACCTCTTTCTCTGCATACCTACGTACCATTCTGCGAGCTGGGGGAGGTGCGTGGACTTGTCGCCACTCGACCAGTCGCCATCCACCCCGGCAAAGACTAAGATATAGCTACCAGGAAGAATCGGGCACTGGAAGCTAAAGGTTGGGAATTTGATCCGAGGTATCATATACTAAGGTGTCGTTGCACCGTATCAATGTTTGGTCGACAGTGACTAAAGGACTACCCTGTATATAGGGTGGTCTCGAGGCGACCTTCTCGACCACACGACTTCGGCGGCCGACGGAGCCCTTTCGTCTTCATTCCTCATCATCGCTGCCCTCTTGGTCCAGTTTGTGCAATTTTCCTTTGTTACGACCGCCAATGCCTGGGACTGGGAGGCCCTTCAAAGTCTGGCTGCTTCGTATCATCGCCCGTTTCGCAGACTCGTTGATACTGTCCATGAAACTTGACTTGTTTTCACCGGACGCCTCAGAATCTTCATCCTCTCCATCCTCCTCATCCTCGGGGGATGATTCTTCATCCACGTTGTCTCCATCGTCTCCTCCATCGTCCTCGTCCGTGTCTTCATCCGTGGTTGCAGGATTATCGTCGTCGCTATCGTCATCGTCGTCATCTTCTGTTTCTGCCGCCTCAGTGTCGACGACAACATCCTCGTCTTCATTGGCAGAACCCTCAGAGGTAATGTCTTGCTCCTCATCAGTCTGCTGAGCTGAGCCCCGGTCATCGGATGTCTCATTATCACTCATTCCGCTCTTGCTCTCGTCCTCGTCGTCATCCTGCTCGGGGGCCAAGTCACCATTCTCCAGCACAGGAATTTCCTTCAAAGGAGACCTCGACTCCAGTCGCCGCTGCTCGATGGGAATGTTCGGCGAAGGTCGTTCCTGGCTTTCCTGCAGTCTTGCCTTCCTGCCGCTAGTTTGCGGAGGCTTCAGTGCTGAAGTATTGGCTTGAGTCTGCTCGAAGAGTTGACTTGACCCCAGAGTTTTACCAGGCGTCTTCGTGATTACTGGAATCCTTGTGTGAGAGATCTCACTAGCTGGCGACCCATCTTCGGCCGACGAGGACGACTGGTTCGCAACCTCGACGTCTCCTTCAGAGTCAGACCCACGTTCACTGCCAGTGTCCTCATTTGTAGTACCCTCTGTCAACTTGTCGTTCTCGGAAGCTTCATCATCTCCCTGCCCTTCTTCCGGACCTTCATCACCATCCTCGTCGTCATCGTCGTCGAGAATATACTCCTCCGACAGACCTTTCTTCGAAGTTCTTGTTCTCACCGTCTTTCCACTTAGCCTCAACTCCATCTTCGAGGGTGTCAGAATGCGACTCGACCCCAGGCTCTTCTCCAAGGCGTCAATCTTGATCCACCTGCCTCGTTCCTTTTTCGAATGTCGAGCGCGATAATGATTCGAGCACTGCTGCGCGGAACGTGTGCCCATTCTTTCGCTGACCTGGTTCCACGGGATGCGGTAATCCTGCAATTCCTTCCCGTCCGAGTCGTGCCGTAGCTCGTCCAAGATCTCGCGAAACTTGGCGTTCTCTGCTTTCGACCACTCACCGGTGTCCACTTCGCCGTATCGCAATTTATGCCGCCATCGTTGACTGACCGCATCGAGTGTCCTCGTCAGTCTCTTTGCAATCTCAGCCCACTTTGGCCCTAGTTCTTTGTGCAATCGAATCAGGTCCTTATCATCTTCAGCTGTCCAGTTCTTCGACCCCTCGACATTCTGAAAGTTTCGTTCACGATAGCGCAGCAGCGACCGTTTGTTCCGATTTGGGAGAACACCGAGATACTCTTGCAGAAATTCTGCTCGCTTAATGAACGGCCAGTTCCAACTGCTGCCTTTGTCCCGCGTCATGGTGTCAGTCATCATGTCGTTGAACTGGATCCGACTGATGTTGTGGTGCTCGCAAAACCGATCTCTCCACCCGTTCAACTTGGCGACCTCGGTCTGGCTGAAGGCGCCAGTGCGTCCTTGCAGGCCGTTACCCTTTCCGTGGCCCATGTCCTTCTCGTGTTGGGCGAGTGCAGTGGTCGCCCAGAATTCTTCTGAACACTGCAGACACTTATGCAAGCCCACATGCGCAGAGCGTTTCTTCAAGTGTTTATTGAGCAAATCCCGGTTTGCAAATCTTCGGTGACACTTGGTGCACTCGAGCGAATCTCCATTGTCGGATCGCTTGGATCTCGGAGCTTTAGTGACTCTGTCGATTCTCTCGGCTGATTCTGCTTCGCTTAAATCGACGTCGGACCTGTTAGTTGGATCCGCATCAACGTCCGAGTCATCGTGCTCTTCCTGACCTTGTTTTTGTGCTATTGGCGCAGGAAACGTCCTTTTGGCAACAGACGTTGCAATGCCGACAGGTTCGTTGTCGCTGCCGCTGTTAGAGACATCAACCTCACCGCCAGCAGAATCTTTCAGCGGAGTTGAGTAGTCCACATCAGGCTCTGCCCGCCTTTTGCCCTTTGGTGTCGCATAAGGAGCTTTTCTTAATTTCTTACGGCTGAGTCCTGCAAGGGCATTAGCTTCAGAGCGCTCACGGTCGGCACCCGTTACAGCGTCCGCCAGCGCGAGGTCTTTCTTCTTCGACTTCATGCTAGAAGGACCAGCCTGGCTTGTTTTCGGAATGACCACTTCCATCCGCTGCGTAACGGAGCGAGAGGGTGGTGATTTTGGATTGAGCGTTGGATGCCTGAGGCCTGAGCCTGGTGTGTATTTTTGAGCCCAGCCATTCATGCTCCCCTGCCTTTTCTGGAGTCGTGGGACGATCTTGTCCGTAACTTGACGGCTTTGAAGGGCATCCGCCACCCCTGACTTCAGAGAATCTGGCTTGGTCGTTTCATTAGGGGGGACGGAGGTAGGCGGGGAGTTGGGCGTTCCCTTCCTTCGTTTGCGGGTTCTCTCTGGGCTTGGTCGCTTGGGTTGGGGACCATCTCCAGCGTCCCGTTTACGTTTGAGATTCCCCTTCCGCATCGGAGTCTCTTTCACAATGATATCTTCTGCTTCATCGAAGACGCTGGATGGTGAGCTTGACTGTTGGTCGGACACAACTTCGGCGACATCGGCATCAGGCGGAGCTTCATTCATCTCGACCTCCAGTCCGTCATTTCCCTCTGGCTGAGGATCCAGATCGAGATTGTGACCATGATCCTTAGATCCCAGCTTCTCTGGATGAGTCGTAAATTCTATTGAATCCTCTTCTGGCGGCTCTCCGTCCTCGACCTGGGTGTGTACCTCATTTGACACGTTCCGCTGTGCAGATTCGGAACTCTCTGGCATCTTGGCTAGAGGATCTTCATTCGGCTTTGAGAAGGCTTCAGCAGATGCGATCTGCAATGCACTGTGCAGCTTCATATGCTTGGCGAGGGTGTCTTTTCGGCTCATCTGTTTCCCACAAACGCCACATTGAAAACTCGTCGTGTGGACATTGGCATGTCTCGTGGCTGCCTTGCCCGAGCCGAAGGTCAATTTGCAGTTGTGGACCTCCGCCAAAGGGCATAGAACCCGACCTTCATCGTTCACCCTGAGCGGTGGCACTTGTGTAGCAGGCACGCCAAAAGCCTCTCCATCCTTCTGACTTCCTCCATTGACTGCCGCAAATGCGTTAGACTCGACAAGTCTCTGGCTATCCGCATCTTCTGCATCGCTTGCATCCGACGTCGCATATATGTGATAGGTTTCTGGTTCCGTATCTCTCAAGGGTCGGCTGTCGGATTTTATTTCTGTAGCGTGGGTTAAAGGAGGGGACTTGCGGTTTGGGACTTCGCTGAGCGCGTCGTCGCTCGGTATGTTCTGCGACAGCCGCCGCTTGCGACTGCGCTTCTTGGATTTTCTTCGTGATGCATCCGCGCTCTGTGTCACCGCCAGAGTCTGCCCTCTGTGGTGGCGGCCGGAGCGCTTTGCCATGCCTGCGGATTCATCAGGAGCAGGTGCCGGAGTGCGATCAGGCCCAGCATCAGAGTTGTGGGCCGAAGCGTGGTCTCGGTCGTCGGGGATTTGAGAAATGTCAAATTCTTCTGAACGCGCAATTAATCGCTTTGCCTCAAACGCGCCAATAACATGAATGAGGGGGATCCCACTTACGGTCGTCGGGTTCAGACTCTGGAGGCGAGGCAGACTCGGACTCTTGACTTTGAGTTTGTCCCATAATAATCGCACACCGTGGAGAAGTGCTTCATATTATGTGAACAAGCATGGCCAGCAGAGGCCACGAGGGATGAGATAAGGATTGAAATGCGCGTCAAGCGAAAAATTGTGCATGGCGGACGTGCCGCATCGGATCGCAAACTGCGTGCGGAGTTGAGGTTTGGAAAGAAGGTGAACCTCAAGTGAAATATCCCCACCAACACCACGCGAAGCGACTTTACTCGTCCTTGCAGCTGCCCACCTCGCGGCTAGTAGCTAGAAGATCTACACCGTTTGGCGCGCCCTTGACAAGCGGGGGAGCTTTGCTAATGAGCTCCTAAGAGACCCCAGAGCTGCAGCCTCGTGAGCACCTCGGTAATCTATCTCCAACTGCAAGGCTGCTTCTGTTCATGACGGCACGAAGTCGTCACCTCGAATAAACGACCGACACTCAGCTGTTTCCTGCAGCATACATGGAAGATAAGACAAGATGGTCCTCCTCACAACCACACCTCGCATTCTCTCTGCCATCTCCTCCCTCTCTTCCGATGATCGCTCGTCCCTCACAGATCTGCCCACAACATGCGGCCAGGCAGTCGAGCACACTACGCTCATCGCCATGTCCCGCCTCAGTAAAACAACCACTCTCAACAGCCTCCTCCGCGGCACCCACATCTATGTCCCTCCGCCACCGCCAAAACCTCAGCCATCACCAGAATACGTCGCACTCATGGCAAAATTGCGGCGAGAACAAGAACAGCGCGAATATGCCTCCCTCCTTTCCAATTCCGCGTCAAGTTCCCTCAATACCGACCGAGAAGATGAAGATGACGACATCTCCTCTTCGCTGGTCCTCAATATCTTTCTCAGCATAATCCTCTGTGCGGCCGCAATATTCTACTTGACACGATGGTGGGCCAACGACGGCTTACGAGTGCTCTTGTCTCTAGCCACGGGGATTGTGGTGGGGGTCGCTGAAGTTGGCGTATATGCTGCCTATCTGAGGAAAGTCAAGATGAGCAGGGACAAGGAGAGAAGGAAGAAAGAGCGGAAGGTTGTCCTGGGGGAGTATACGGGTTCAGAAACAGGAGGAATAGCCTTGGACGCCAAAGGCACACCTGTCTCTGTCGATGTGGGTGCAATTATGGAAAAGGAAGAGATATGGGGAAAGGGAATTAACGGCGGGATGAGAAGGCGCGTGAGGGAGAAATGGCAGAGAGATCAAGAGAAGACCAAAATATGAAATAATATGAGATGTATTAGCGACAACAGAGCACCTTGCCTGGCACCCAATTTATATGTAGCCTTTACGACAACTTCTTTGTTTCCTCGCACACCCATATCCAGACCTACCTACGTACTAGGTAGTATCTTCAGGATAGTTCTGTGGAAGAAAATGGTGCGGGGAAGTAGATTTCACTCGTTGACCGCGTATTTTAGCACCTAGATATGGGCGGTAGAAACACTACCTCGTACCTTTATTTTATGTGTATACGACAGAAGAGAAAAACAAAAAAAAAAAGATGCGGGAAACATCTGAGAGGATGCGACGGGATTCGAACCCGCAACCACTTGATTCGTAGTCAAGCGCGATACCATTTCGCCACGCGTCCTGGGTGTCGGAATTTGTCGGACAACTCGCTTCACGAATTGTTGATGAAATTTGGAACAACTAAAATATATAAACCCAATATAATTCTCCGTAAAGCAATTGGCACCACTATTCAGTCACGTGGCCTTACCGGATCTCATTCGAGCGGTGAACTGACGAGGAAATTACCACGTGACGTTTTTTCTTCTGTGGTTGGAAGGGCGCGAGAGAGAGCGCGTAATTGTCTGATAACTGGCCAAAAATACACAGTTTTGAGAGATGACTGGATAAGCCTGCCACCTACCTGGGCGGCAGGCTTATCCCTAAAACTCTGCCGGACAGTATAGTTGAGCGCTGGGCCCAGAACTAGGGGCACTAGGCCAAAGCCCCGTACCAAAACAGGCTCGCGGGGATACCCTCCCAAGTTACTCAGATGCTCCTTCTCTAACATGCTCAGTGAGCCCTGCTTAGGTGTGCTATGCTCCTGTGATGCTCATTTGCGCGACAATGATGAATCCTCGCCTAGTCCGTTCGAAGGTTTGGCGGAAGATCAGCCTTGTGTTACAGTTGTACCCGAAAACGCCGCCACTTTCTTGCACCGTAAGCTAAAGATCTGGCGAGGCTGTACCGAGTCCTGAGGTGCTCTGAGCCATCTCGACAACTGCTTCCGAGAGTCAGGCTTTTCAAAGACTTCTGGTTTATACCACTCGAAATCTCCATCTCTTTTCCGCAAATCAAGGACATAGAAACCGGCCAGATAAAATCGATAGACGGAAACACCACCAACGACTACGAATGAATGCAATGAATATATTGCGAAAATCATTGGGCCCACCGCTTGGCTCCACATGATAAAGCCACGAGTAAAGGAGGTAGACACCAAACCCAACCACATAAAGCAAGACGGCTGAATTTAGGATTGCTTTAGGTAGAGAGTACCCTCGTGGCAATAGAAAAAGCAGCTATTGCATCCATAATGAGGGCGATACACACGTCTGTTCCCGGGGAGGTTCGATTGGATAATTGGAAGTTTAGCCAGAGGCAGCGAGTTGTTCTAGCTGCCAGAAATTGCTGAAGGCCTTGGTAGTTGGGATGACCAGGGAAGTTGGAATGGCGAGGTGGGGGCCGTATCTCGCGAAGCTCGTACTTCGCAAGACCTGTGACTGCACGACAGCCTTCGCATACCGCGTACCGCATACCGTGCATCGCAATCAGGTGTTAGGATCTCAAGTTATCTAGGTATTCGTTCGAAGAATGTCTACAGTCGTCACGTCCGAATCTCGTAAAAAGGCCCTCAGAAGCTCAGCCGTCGAAATCATAAATCCACCTCCTGAACCAACTCTTGACCTTCTTCAACTCCTTGATCCTTGGCTCCAGCAACAACTGTCCCTCGCAATCCTTCCCAACAAACCCATTGTTCATTCCGTCCCTCACAAACACCTGTCTTCCCCTCAACCACGTCTCTTTGACTTGTCCAATCATGGTTTTACCCTGATACGGAGAGCATTTGTTCCGGAACAGCATCGTGCTGGGCTCTACAATCCACTCCTTCGTGTCGTCAAAGATACAGATGTCGGCGTCAAACCCGACGGCAAGGTCACCTTTCTGCTTTTCCAAGCCTACTTGTGCAGCAGTATTGGTGCAGCACCATGTCACCACGTCGGTGATGGCCGAGTCTGTTCCCGTCAAACCGCGGCGGGTCATTTCTGTCCACAGGATGGGCAGCCCCAGCCCAACAGACGAGATACCTCCCCATGCAGAGAAGAAGTCGCCTCTGTCAGTCTCTAACTGTAAGGATTTGACGCTGTCCTTGGGTTGGCAAATATGTCCCGGGATGTGTGAAGGGAGAATCTTGAGATCAGGAGTGCAGGGGGAATGATCCGACACCACCGTCTTGATCACGCCTTCCACGGTATGCTGCTTCAGCTCTTCCCAGAGACTATCTTGATTTGACTGGGTCCGGATGGGTGGGCAGCATTTGTGTCTAGTGTCACCCAGAGCAACCTGTTCCGCAGCCAGGGACAAATAGTGCGGGCAGGTCTCGGCGGTGATATTGATTCCCTGTGCACGTGCTTTCCTCAACAGAGGAATCGCTTCCATGGCTGACAAATGGACGATATGCAACGGTAAGTTTGGCGCGAGGTGAGCCAGTGAGAGAATTTCCTCAATGGCATAGGTCTCAAAAGATGGCGGCCGCGACTCGAGAAAGGTACTGTACGCATTGAGGGGTCCGTGTGGTTGCAAAGGAGGTAACGATATCTGGACGTCATCTCCGACAGAGTCTGCAATTGGCGGTATCATCTCTGCATGGAACATGACAGTCGTAGGCTCATCCGCCAATTCAGCAAAGACCTTCTCAATGTCGGTGGATGAGACCGCAGGAAACTCTTCGACACCGCTGTCAATGAGGAATCCCTTGAAGCCCCTGACTCCTTCTCGGACTAGAGCCTTGAGTTCTCCTTCGTTTCCAGGGATGATGCCCCCGTAGAAGCCAACGTCAACCCAGCATTGGCCTTGTGCTGCTTTGATCTTCTCTTGCAGCCCCGCCACGGTGGTGGTGGGCGGTACAGCGTTCAATGGCATGTCCACGACAGTCGTCACTCCACCAAAGGCGGCGGCCTGCGTCCCCGTGTAGAAACCCTCCCATTCTGTGCGGCCAGGTTCGTTGAGGTGGACATGGGCGTCGACCAAGCCCGGTAGAAGTATATGCGGCGAGTAGTCGGTATATGGTGTGTTGGGAGGGAAATCGGACGCAGGAACGATCGAATCAAAGGTCGCGGTGATTTTGCCTGTAGCATTGGATACAACAATAGTGGCCGCGGAAAGTCGTCCAGATCGGATGGCTCGAGACGAAGCGATCACAGTTATCGGAGACTCGCCTGCCGCTTCCAACAAGCCATTCGGGGGAGATCGTGGAGGTGTCGGATAAGGATTAAAGGCTCTGGTCCAGCTAGTCATTGTTACGGTAGGCGACAGAGCACCAGCCGCTTGTAAAGGATCGATATGAACAGCACAGGGCTTGTGGGCATAGGGCGGGTGGATAAGAGACGCTGAGCATGTGAACTGGGGAGTACAGTCCTTATCAAACGAGTTGATAAGCAATGCGCAAGTTCAACCGTCGTCCCAGCACTTTTTGAGAACGGAATCGGGGCGAGTTTTCAAGCAACTGGAACAAAGGACGGGGACAAAAGAGAGACATACCACCTTTCAACGACCACTGGCGTACATCCCTCGCATCAGCTCGGGTCACCCACAGCCCCCGTCGGGAGACAGCACCTGCTGGGAATCCCCAGAAATATCGCAGGAGGGAAGTGTGGAAGCCATGCATGCGGAGGAGCCCGATCGACGTCTGGAATGCCGGGACGCCCAGAGAGTTGCCATTGGTGAGAATCGGCACGCGCGCGGACGCTGAGCGCGTGGGCGGTATCTGTTACTCGATCATATCGAGTAGAGATAAGAGGAGACGTCTCGCCGGAACATCAAGTTTGAATTTTGGTGGGATGGTGGGCATGAATGGCGCTGACGTACACCTGTTATCGTTGGGAAATGGAGACATGTGCCTGGACCAGGAGCCTCTGCGCGACGACGCTTTCCCCCATGCAGCTGGCCGGAATTCGGGACTCGGGAGGCTTGGTGATAAGGGTCCTCGGCCGTGTTCTAAGCCATATTTGGCCTCGGCAACCTCTGGAAGTGTATGTCCATTACTCGATAGTAAGCCCATTTTTACTCGATCAAAACTCCTGACTGGTACCTTCTGTGTCTCTGTCTCTCCTCTTGCTCGATTTTCGCTCACATAGCGTAAAGCCGACGTAACACCTTCGCTGTGCTCCGGTGAAAATTTGAGGTCATTCGCGCAGGAGTTTCCGCGGCCTGCGCAGGCAAAGAGTCGGCAGCGACGGAGTCAGTGCACAAGGCAGATCCGGTGGCTGTAGTCACCAATGGAGAGTCGGGAGAAGGTCGGAGGCTCAGAGGTTCATAGGAGGAAAAAGCAGGCAAGTAAAGGCGACGGGAATCGAATGATCTTGACCTCGAGTCGAAGGTTAGCAACACACAGCCGGGCGTAGCTGCTTGGAGGCTTCAGCGAAGAGGCGGCGAGCCTGTGTGCGGTCTCCCGTCAATTTGCAACGGTGACCCTTCATATTGTGGTAAAGGGCAGTGTTAAAGACGAAGAAAGAACAAATTTGAAGCACTGAGGAGAGACTGTGAGGGCTTATGACGAAGAAGATGAGGAGGTTGCTTCTGCATTTCGCGGTCACAGGATCAGAGCAAAAAGCACTATGGTCACGTGCCATTGCGCCATACGAGGAAGCTTCCTCTCTCAACCTGCGTTCCTCTCCTTTTCCTTCTTCTGCCTTGTACACCGATGTCGAGCTCCTTGTTCGGTTGGATTGACACAAGAAGTTACTTGTTCCGCTCCCCTCGGCTGATCTACTCTGTTTATCACTCAAGCCCGCTTGGGCAACTGGTCAGGCCGCGGATGCCACGCGCCCTCCACCTGCTCTGCCCCTTTGATGGGAGCGACCCATTCTGGACGACTGCTCGTATAGATCTCGACCTGAGGCTTGCTGGCGTGTAACATCTCATCGCCGTCAACACCACCAACCATCACGGCCACTCCATCACTGATTCCGCTGCTCCTACGGTACAAGGTCGACCCGCAATGGTCGCAGAAGAAGCTGGTCATCTGGTTTCCAGACTCGACGTCCAAGGTGAATGTCTTGAGGTTGCCCTTCACCACCTTCATCCCCTTGAGAGGTACCAGGATATTGTTTGTGTTCGTCGACCCTGAGAACTTCTTGCAGTCCACACACCAACAACGCATCTGGATGAGGGTTAGGACCTGAGGTTCAACGGGAAAGCATGGCCGACATACCCTCAAGAAAGGCTCAGCTTCCCAGCGCAACCGATTAGCGCCGCAAAGGCAGCTGGATTCAAACATTGTCCTTTTCTCTTCCTTTTTCTTGTCGATGGTCCTTGTCCAAGTTGTCCATCCCACCGTTGTGAACAAGCGACTTTATATACAGCCCCGTATCCTTCTTCTATGACGCCTGAAGTGTTAATTCCATGGTTGAGTCTTCGTTGCCGACAAGCTGGCAGCATGCAAAGCCCAAGTGTTCATTGTATCTCCTAAATCCGACTCTCGAGCAAGTATCGGGCTTCAGGCTTACGTCTGTAGACCCCGACTGTCTGACTAGAGAGATGCAACGACTATCCAAGACGACAAAGAAATAAGGTTGTTCTTAAGCATTCACAGGAGCCGAGACCCAATGCCGGTGAATCAAGCCAGTATTACGGGGCGGATCACTACTCCTGTCTCGTCCTGGGTGGTCAAGCGGCTCCGAGGCTACTGGCTGCCTGTGGAATGAGCCAGACGACAACTACTTCATTCCGTCTTTACATGGATCAGGCTCTTAGGCAAACCTGTCACAGACCAGGCCCTTGGGCAGTCTGCTAATGTATAGCAGCCTTACATCCAGGCTCTCTTGGGTTGTCGCGGGCCAGAGATTAGTTGTGTCCGGTTGAGCATAGCAAGATCATGGCATCAGACTGTTCCTCCTTTCCAGCCCACCAAGGACTTTCTCACTACCAATCTGCGGGAGGAATGCTCGTCAAATGCCATAAAGGGCGGAATTCATTCTACCGCTGTTCAAGCGCGCCTTTGTGGTGACCGGTGGCCTCGGCGTATGCCGGGGTTACGCGGACGGCCGTGCCGTGATGCAAGTATGCTCCGATACGGTCATGTTGACGGGCTGCGAAGGCTGGCATTCGCCGTGCCACGCCTCGAAGTGTGATCGACGAGTCGCCGAGGTGGAGAAGAGTCGAAGAGCCTTCGTTCTCAGGCCTTCGTCTGATGGTTCTTCAAGGGATATTGCTGGGTGGGTGTCCTTCGATCAATCAATGCCCGTGTCATTCCAGCATAGTCTTTGGGCAAATATCGATCGAACAGTTCGTCCCAGACACTTCGCTTTCTGAAATTCGGTATCCCAATATCTCGGAGCAGTAAGTCTGTGTACAGCAGCCCGTCAAAAACAAGATCTGGACATCTCTCGCCTGCGCCTCCGCCAGCAGGCGGATGCCTCAACCGACAGTGTTCACTGTGAAGGATTGTTTGATACTCAATATCCCGATAAGTGATTGTGGAAGCGTTCAGATTCGGGATCTCTTGCTGGAAGAATGCCGTTATCCACAATGCCTGCGCCTGTGCCACCGTGATGGCATTGAGAGCAAGGTGAGCCCCGATGAAAGCTATGTTGCGTTGGTCCAGAAAATACTTTGCCGGCGGCACCATGAAACGGTACAACCGATACGGTCCGTGGGCCAGGGCATCCCTTGAGGTCTTGATGGGTACTAGTCCATCCGGCAGAACTTTTAGAGGGCCTGAACGAAGTCCTGGCACGGCTCCGAAAATCTCCTCATCCGCATGCCTGACAACACACTCACTCTCGGCCTTTACTTGTCCTGGGAGTCCAAGTTGCGCTGCCGCACTCGGTGGCATGAACTTGATCGGCGGAACCACCCTCCAGCCAGTGCAGCAGACGAAAGTGTCAGCATGAAGGACTCCGCCATTTGAAAGATGGACCTCATCACCCTCCAGAGACGTTATGTCAGCGACATGGACGGTTATCTTTCCCTGCTTCACCAATTCGAACCAGTTCGTTTCATAATTGTGAACACCTAAGGAATTGCCCATCCAGAACATCGACGTCCAGGGCTTCAGTTTCCTCAGCTCAGGGTGCTTGTGGTATCCGTTTGCTGAGAGCACAGGACTTGAAAGGACCTTCCAGAACAACTTGACCAACTGTCGGCCAAGCCAGGTTTGGTGCAGCAATCTCCGGGCCAGGTTGAACCCACTGCCCTCTGCCCAGATGCAGGGCTCAAACAGGGTGAAAAATCTTGTGGTTGCCATTCTTTGGATGGATAGCTTGAAAGGAGAAAACATGACGGGCCACACCCAGCTGGGGCCACCACCCTCTGGTCTGATCACCATGTTGACGTGGGCTCCCGAGGTCGCAGCAGAATAGCAGACATCCCATGCCGACTTGTTAGCCCCAATTACGACGACCTCCTTTGAAGTCTCGATGTCGTTTGCACGATCTCTCAGCTGGCGTGAGTGAAGGAAGTTTCCTTTGAAACTATCCCTTCCTGCATAGTCAGGCACATACGGTTCAGAGGTCAACCCCGTAGCCACAACAAGCCGCTTAGCCTTCAGGCATGACGTTCCATCTTTTTCAGCTTGGCCACACACTCGAAGTAGCCACTCACCAGTCTCTTGCAGTTCTGCAGATTCAACCTTGGTCTGAAGCCTCAACCGCGAAACCAGCCCGAAGTGCTCGGCAAATTGACACAGATACTCATGCACAACTGTGCCGGGGATATGCTGTCCTGGCTTGACACCAAATCTCTCCGGGGTCATGGGGAAATCGCCGAACTCGTACGAGCCGACTATGTTGTTTGTTTTGAGGCCGGGATACAGGCGTTCTTTGGCCCATGTTCCGCCGACGGATTTGGCGGAGTCTATGATGAGCAGGCTGGCGTGTGGACAGACCTCGGAATATGTCTTCGCCATGGCGAGTCCATGCCATCCTACGATGGATATCGGATGAGTGTGCAGGCTTCTACAGAACTTCTGACAGAATGAATCAACTCACCTGCCCCAACGATAACCAGATCGAAATTCTCCATGACGCCCGGGTATTGCGCATTCTCCAACATTCTCTCATTGATCAAAAGGCGAATTGTCTTGTTGTCGGTATATCAAGCCCAATGCTCGACGTCCAATGCAGCATTCCCCAAGAACCAGTCACATTGCATATTGTGAGTCCAGATTCCAGGTGACAAATCCCAGCTTCAAACCGCTTGCACCCTGTTCTCACTTCCCGCGATCACGGCACTGGTTGTCGGCGTAAGGCCAGGCTTGGGATAGAGGTGATCGGCTCCAGTTCTGATGTTCTGCAACTGAGTGAGCGGTGATCTTGGGTAGCGTTTCCGTGCAAAGCAGGATTGCACCTGAATCCAGACTCCTGTCCAATTTATCAGCAGCCGGGTCGTAGACTCCGCTCGTACATGTCTTCTCGTGCGTAAGAAGTCACCCACCCAACACCGTGGAAAGATTCTCCTACAGGCCACCAGTCTCAGACTCGAGTGTCTTGGTGGTTTGTACGCCTTACCCAGTCAATAAGATGATACCTTCCTGATCTAGGTCCACGCCCTGCCAGAGAAATAGACTCTCAATCCAGTACGAACGAGAAGTAGGACATACCAGCAGGCCAAGGGGCCTCGTGCAACGTATACGATGGGGTAGGATGTCTCCAACCACCGTTCTTCACCTTGACACTATTAGTGCCGTCGGTCCTCCTTAGGTACACAGGTATGCGTGTAATAAGCCGACGAGGAACCTGATACGTAATTCTTTGGAATGTAGTATGCCGTTTGGAAGTCTGTCTGTGTGTAAGACATCAACCTTGCTACCTGAGGGTCCTGAAGTGTATGCAGCACGAACGTCCCCCCATTCCCCTCGTCCTCCAGATCGGCAATCAACTCGGCTTATCTGGCCCCAGGCGGCATGGTGACGGAAATGTCCTACCGGCGGGCGATCACCCAGACAGTAGTACAGGGTGACAGGCTTCCCTCTCCACGGCGGAGGATTTTCCTGGGGCATTATTGGGGGGAACGTATGTACGAGATACTGGTGGGCCGAACGTCGTCACGACTCACGATTTACATAAGCCCTTGGTACAGACACATCACTTGTCATCTGGGGTCGATTGACTACACGATACATACCCTACCTACCTACTTACCTTACCTACCTTGTCGGCCGACGTGTCTGTATTGGATGACATGACCCGTAAGGCGCTGAATTAATTGGTAATACACCACCCGGTTTACCGTTCCCTGGTTGAACACAAGGCGCGAGGACGAAGGGATTACGTTTCGCATCGACCCCATCGGCCATCTGAGGCAAGGGCGCTATTTGAGGGCGGGGGACTGCATCGTCCAGATAGGGTTGCGAGGTTGTGTGATTGAACTATTTAAGACTCGACTTTAGCCCGACCCTCGAGGGCAGTTTTGGAGTGCTCTCGCTACTTAACGGCGAAGGATCCGATCATCAGACACACAAGCGAACGACCAGAGGAAAGTGAAAGACGATCGAGTCAAATAACAACAGTCGGTTGCTCGCTTGGTTGCAAAAGAGGATATCGTCCCTCCTCGTCTCCTACCACAGCACAATGGCGGACGCCCCAGTCCTCGATCTCGAAGCATATCCCACCGCAAAGGAATTCGTGTCCAAATGCCACGAGTTCTTCAGGGAGGTCAAGAACCTGTACGCAAAGTCCCCTCCCCTATCTTTCACCGTGCGCTTGTCTTGAAAGAGCCCTGTGTCCGACGCACCCTTCCACTATCGTCATCACACCAACTAACATCCCTCTGCTTGCCCAAACCAGGACCCCGGGTAAAGACCTCGAGGCCCGACTGAACCGGGAGTACGGCCCGGGCACGCCCTTCTACGAGGCCTTTGCGCACTACATGCGCGTGGGCCTCGAGGAAGGCTGGGTCGCGCGCGACGAACTCGACGGGCCCAAGTACCGGCGCGGGCGCGTCGCCCCGCCCACGCCGGAGAGCAGCTTCATCTCCATCACGACCGTGTACATGGATTCGAAGGAGGTGTATCGGGGCCAGTACCATCAGCATCCGTACGGGGAGATCAACTGCGTCATCTTGGTGGACGAAACGGCCGAGTTGAGAGGCATGCAGGGCTGGCAGGGGGCAGGTTGGACCAGCCCGGGGCCAGGGACGCACCATTATCCCGAAGTAAGAGGCGGTGCATTGGTGGCCCTGTTCTTCTTGCCAGCGGGCAGAATCAGTTATGAGGCGACGCCGGATATGCCGCAGCCAGCGTCTTTATAGGACGGCTCTGCAAGCTGGAAGATGGCGGTAGCCTTGGGTAGCGGGGCTTCATTGTCGATGCCGCCACTTTATGGTAGCTGGATGCATTGGTCGTGAGAACATGGACTGACGAGGTGTAATAAGTTAGCGTTTTCAATCTTTTGGGTCTTTAACATCCAGGACGAAGCTGCCCCAATGGTACTTGGGAGGCTCATTCATAGGCATTGCACTTACCGAATAGTCCGTGGCTGGCACCGGTGCCCTGGGGTCGACCTGCTCCCACTGCAACAATCTCACCACCGTCGCAAGTATGGCTCCCAGCTGGGCATACGCAAAGGTCTCCCCGACGCACCGATGTCGACCAGCGCCAAAGGGCAGATAGGGGCTGTTCACTGCCTTCGAGGAGACCGCCCCATATCCGTAGTCTATCGTATCCGCGTCCTCGTCTTTCTCGTTCCGTTGGTGTTGCTGCTCCGCCTCGTCGGGCTTGTCCCATCGGTGCGGCTTCCACGCCATTGCATCCGGAAAGAATTCCTCGCATCGCGAAGGCACCCCGGGAGCGGCGAGTAGAATGTGGCCCGCGGGAACGACGACGTCTGTCTCGGGAATCTGCATCGGCTGCTTGACCTTGCGCATGATCGAATGGATAGGGCTGTGCAGACGCAGCGTTTCCTTGATGACATTGTTGTGCAACGTGAGTTCCTGCAACGTATCGTAGGTCGGGGCTTGACCGCCGAGAACGCTGAGCTGCTCTTGGTATAATTCTTCAATCAAGTGGGGACGATGGGCGAGATGGAGCATGATCCAGGTTCCAGAGGCTGCAGTATTGTGCTGTCCGCCCATGAGCAGGGCTATCATGAGGTTAGCTATCTCCTCATCTGCTAGGGGAGTGCCGTCTTTGTAGCGGCCGTCCATGAGCGCCCAGAGCATGTCGTGGCTGCCGTCTTCGTTCCCCGTTGAACGTCGCTTCTTGATTATGTCCATGTATAGATTGGCCATCATCTTTTGAGCACGGTCCCGTCGCAGGTTCACAGGTATGGGCAGCCACGGAAACATGAAGTTGATGGGCGCAAAGCCGTCGTCGAGATGACGGTAGTAGGTGGCAAATGAGGAGTCGAAAGAATCCCTGACCTCCTTTCCCTGCAGCGAACCTGCTGCGGCATACAAAGAAATTTCAGAGAGCACGGTAGATATGTCGCATACCCCACCCTCACCCTGGAAGACCGCATTGCTATTGATGTACTGTTCGGTTTCTTTGATGAATTGGGGGACATATGCGCGCAAGTTCTGGCTTGTGAAGCCTTCTTTCAGCAGCTGAACGATCAGTAATATCAGCAATAGAAGCATGCGAGATTGGAATCTCCGCGAAGGCCGCAGAGGGACTATTGGCCGTACCCTTTTTTGGTCCATGAACCTTGCATTGTCCACATCGTACACCACGCCGCGACCAAAGACCGGCACTGTTAATGGACCATATACTTCCTGCGGTGCCTGTGAGTACTCCGCTCGTGATGATGGAAGATGTTGCGCTCTTACCTCCGCATTGAGATCCTTCAGCTTGCCATTCAAAATGAAGTTGTTGCCCTTGGCCCCCAGGTAGACCGTAACTTTCATCCCGAGCAGCCCAAATGTGAAGAAGTCGCCGTACTGGACGCGGGTCAGCGACAGTGAGCCATTGAACGGTATCAATCCCAGCCAGCTTGTTTCCGAAGAAGATCTTCATACTGGGTCGAGGGTAACGCACCTTTTCTCGACATTTGAAGAAGAACCTATACGGGTCTTGCCCATAGTCCACGGTGCTGCCAATCAAGGGGAACCAATGCCATACCACCGGTGGCCTGTGAGGATCTCGAAAAAACAGCTGTCTGAGAATATTGGTGACGACCGAGATCACTGTGAGCCAGAGCAGTGTAGTCAGTATCCTCGCAATGAGCGTCGACATGGTTGGGACCTGCTATGGCAAGCAGGTATGGGCGTCTTCGGAGCTTGTTCAAGGCTGTATGTGCCTATGTTGGAACATCATACGCTGGAGACTGATCCATTGATAGGAATTTCAGGCGATGTGACATTTTCTATGTGCAGCCTTTGAGATTGTGGTTGATTCCTGGGCCAGGAAATCAGGAGGTCGCAGTTGGCGGTGAAGAAGAACGCAGCGCCAAAAGCGGCGTTAAATCTGATGCACTCCGGGGTCCTCTCTCAACACATCTACTAGGTACTTATGGCACCATCTCTTGTCCAAGGCGCTTACAACCTCTGCAAGTTCTGCTCCAAGGCCATCTATACTGCCTTGACCAAGAGGAGATACTCGTGACCATCAGGCAGGTCGCCAAAAGGCCAACCAAGTCCTCGCGCTTTGACTGCTGCCAGAGCTTCCGCCGGTTCCATGTGGTCGACCCAGAAATTCGTGTCGGCACAGCAGAAGACTCTCTGGGACGAGTCCTCCTCAAACAATCTTCCTTTCAATGTAGCTGACCGAACATATCTCACAGGGCTAGACGCCATAACACCTCTCGCATGATCTCTCACAACCTGTAGATTGACATCCTCGAGCCCACGTCCGAAACTTCTCAGCGCCGCAAGAATCGCGGCAGGATGCGAACTCAGTATACCGAAAGTAAAGTTCTCCCTGCTTTCTCGGAGCTTGAGTAGAAGCTGAAACCGATTAGGATTGTCATAGTGTGGCTGGGAGAGCGCTCTCACCCTTGTAGCCAGCCGGCGACGCCTATGTTGCGGATCCACGCACAACTGCGTAACCCAGCAGACTTGACGGCCATCAACGTCCCAGCAAGTAGCGAAAGCATGGCCAACCAAGCTATTGCCGGCCATTGCTCTGACAAGATAGTTCTCTGCACGATCTGCCAGGCACTCTTGCCGCAGACGCTCGAGGCTCATACGAACACGGCGGCCTGTTGCAACGATTAGCATTTTGGCTACAGCCACGGACAATACTCAGATACCATGCGTCGCAAAAGGTCCGATCCTTTCCTCTGCATGCGGGCCCCAGATGCCATATGCCCGCGAGAACAACGCTGCCGCGTCTTTGATCACGTCGTCGGTGATCTCGTCTGTGGCCAGAATATCGAAGGTGAGAAGTGGCTCGCTAGGATGTGCAATCTGTCTGTTCAGGCCCTCACAAGCCATTGCGAGGACCACTTGTTTGGATTCAGATCTAAAGGCGTGATGATTTCCGCAGCGAGGAAGCGCCTGAGCCAGTAAGAAAAGAAAGTGGACTGGGTGAAATAGAGATCTTCAGGTGGCTTGTGAAAATGTCATATTGTTGCAACCGACCTTGTTGAATGTGGCACGAGCAATCCCCCGAGGATCATCCAAACTCTGCCTGTGCCTGGGCCATGCGGTAACAGGTATCAAAGTTCGACCACAGGCGGTACCAAAAGATTTCAGCTTCACCCCATGGGGGCACAAACCTGCCCTTACCTCGCATATGCCGATGGAATTCTTGCCATTGTAGCTAACCCTTACCAGGACAGTTGTCTTGAGGGGCAGGAGGGGCATAATGGCTGTTTTATCAACCTCTAAATGATATGGTCCTCTTTCTCACCCGTGTCGCTATTTGGCCAACCCCCAAGGAATTGAAAAGCAGCCGGGCTCCTGGAATCATGCCTGCTATCAACTCTTCGACACTATTTCCTTAAGTTCCTTCGTTCCAACGTATCACGCTCCCAAGGTATAACCATCTCAAATATTTCCCTCCTCTTTCCAGAGCTTTCGTAGGGATCAGCTGTAAGGAGACGAACTGCCGCCATCATTGCAGCAAACGGTAGAAGGAGGAAAGCGTAGGCAGACGCAGGGGGTAGAAGCGAGACAGGCCGAATTTAGGATCCCATCTGTCAGAGATTATGGTGCAGCTGTAAAAGGCTGGTCCAAGAGCATTAGGGCGCAGGCAGCACGACCTGCCAGCGGCCAAGCAGCATTGTATAAACGTTTGCGAGGGTCACCTAGGATGTGGAGTTTCACGCCAAAGTGTCGATGCGGTCTGGGTATGGTTCGATATGACTGTGAGAAATCGACTTCATCCAAGACCATGCTTGCTCAGACGTGATAACACATTCAAAAGAGTCAATGGCAGCCTTGAACTGTGCAGTGGGCAAGTGAATTGCTTCCCGCCCACCCCACCACTCTTAGTGGCCCGCAGCGAGCTTGGCACAAAAATCCATGCCAAGATTTCGTCTCGTCTGCGGTTCGCTGTTTCTCCACTGGCACCCGCCTGTCGAGTCGCTGGACCTTGAGATCTGAATCTTTTGCCTCTGGCAGAACAGACATACAAAGGCAACGACGAAAAGTGTCGCGAGGAAGTTGTGAAGGGCCTTGGGTTGAATCGGAGTCTGCCAGTCATCATGGCCGACGAATTGGCTGTATGCCTCACCGCCCCGTGCCCGATGGAAATTTGACTGATTTTGTTGCAGGAGCGGCTCAAAAGCCACGCACGGTCCTTTGACAGTTTATTGTCTCTTATACCAGCAAAGCTATACTACGGAGAGGATGTCAGCGTACGTACTGCGAAGACTGTCCCATCTGAAAAAACCCGCACTCACGTTCCATCCAGGATCAATGGAAAAGAAAAAAGCAGACTCCGGAACAGAAGCGGGCGGCAAAAATGGCCAAATTAGACCCTGATAACTGGAAAAGCGCAAAGGACGTTATCGATGAAAGAGCAGCAGCCGCAGCCTCGAAGCGAAAACGAGACGCTGAAGAAGACGAGCCTGATGGGACCGCCGACCTGCCCGAGGGTAGCGAGATGGAGCAGCCGAAGGCTGTCCAGGACGCCCAAGCGCCAAAACCAAAGAGGCAGAAGACCGACAGAAAAGATTCAGGCGAAATGACTGATACCAAGGACATTGACGACACTCAAGAGGACAAACGACGCAGGAAAACAGAGGAAAGGGCCGCGAGAAGACAACGGAAGAAAGAGAAGAAGGACAAGGCCAAGCAGAAGCTGGAACGACAAAAGGCCAAGAAAATGGAAGCGGAACAGCTCAATGACCCTCAGAAGGAAGCCCTGAAGAAACAAGTGAAAAAGGAACTAAATCTCCAAATTCCGGTTGATCTTGAAGTGACCAACCAGCCGGACCGCTCCCCCCGTGCAGAGTCGCCGTCGACAGTTTCTTCAGAAGACGAACCAGCAGAGGTCTTCTCCCCACAGCACGAGTCTGGCACATCTTCAACATCGTCCATTCAGCCTGCATCAATTGACGAGACCGTTAAACTTCTACATTCGGATTCTCTTCCACCAACGACAGTTCTGTCGAGCAACGACCACGATGCGATGACCAAAACACCGCGAGAACGACTACAAGAAGCAATTTCTCAATTCCGTGCAGAACGAAAGGCCGATGGCGGCGACGGCCGTCAACCAAAGAACCGTCAAGAGCTGTTGGAGCAACGACGACGGAAGGAAGAGGCTAAAAAGGCGGCCAAGAAGGAACAAAAACGTCGAGAGAAGGAAGAAGAGGCTCGCCGTCAAGATGAGGAGATCGCGAGACACTTCTCGCCCGGCGGTTCCGGCTCTCTGCTGGCGTCACCTCGGTCTCCTATGATCGGGGACAATAGTGGCTCCTCACCAAACTCGAATTCCGCCAACAACTTCACGTTTGGCCGCATTGCGTTCGAAGACGGCACACATTTCGAGCCCTCATCAACCTCGGCCGTAGAGGAACACAAAAGGAAAGGCGTCCGTGACACTGCCTCAGAGCTCAAACTCGCAGAATCCAAAAGGGCCCGAATGGCAGGTCTTGACGAGGAGAAACGCCTTGACATTGAGCAGAAGGATATGTGGTTGAACGCCAAACGGCGTGCTCATGGCGAGCACGTCCGGGATAACACTTCCCTGCTCAAGAAAGCACTTAAAAGGCAACAGGGCCAGAAAAAGAAGAGCGAGAAAGAGTGGAATGAGAGGTTAGACGGAGTGAAGAAAGCCCAAGACGCGAAGCAGAAGAAACGAGCTGAGAACTTGTCCAAGAGGAAAGAGGAAAAGAGTTCGAAGAAAGGAAAAGTGAGGAGGCCAGGTTTTGAGGGAAGTTTCAAGGGAAGGACAGGCGGAAAAAAGAAACCGTGATGAAAACGGCTAATGATCTAGTGGTTTGTAGCAATGAATACTGTGGCAAAACTGTACAATTCTCGCTACTTGACTTCTAAGTCTCCGATTGCCGCATGCGATGGGCAACAGATCGACGGAGACAGTTGTATTTGCCTCCATTGCCACCTCCACTAGTGCCACGGTACCAAGGCATAGCTGACTAGAGACAATGGCGACGATCGGGGTAATGGTACAAGGCTACATGAGCTCATGCACTACACAGGAAGAGGCGACGAAGTCGAAAGCGAACGGGATGTACTGCGGTATCTTGAGACTGCCCAAGCGGCAAATAGTGCCATAGCACGGCGGATTCGTAGCATGATATACATGCCCCTCTCGGCTGTTCATTGTTTGGATGCCGTTGACTCCTCGACCTTGGACAGGAGCTGCGAAGGACTTCTCAACACACGCCCAGCACCCTGTCAACGGGCGCCTTTCCATGGTGCGCCATCAGCAATAGCCTTTGGAAGGTATCAGCTCCTGGGTCAAACGGAGCTCTGGCAAAACTAGATGCGAATTCGTGAAAGGCAACCAAGTCCGTCGCGTCGTGACTCCCAAAACCATGTTTATTGTTGCTGCCATCCAAGAGCGCTTCCCATTCTCTTTCGGACCTAGCAGCCCACATCCCAGGGCGAACGTCGAATGGCAGCGCTTGGATGAAGAGCTCGTGGTAGCAATATCCTCGCGCCCGACCGTGATACACGCCTTGTATGAGACAGCTCATCAAGATTGCTCGTCGTACGCTTTCTGCCAGGATCCATGCTTCCCATCGAGAGAGGTTGGTCGGCATCATACTGGGCGCTTCCTTGACCAACCTTATCGCCAACCTTCTTGTATGGCCAAGAAGTTTCTCCTTGTGGCGAGGTATGCTCTGGGGACTGGAGAGAAGCAGGCGCATTACGTGCCCGAGGAGGATTTGAAAGGCTTGTAAGATCTCGGACAGAGGCTCGCGAGACTCGTATAGTGCGCATAGCAGGTCGCAAATCCTAGTACACTGAGTTATATCACTACCAACAGTCTTCCGATTTGTAACCTCGAAGTCTGGTCCGACAAGTGCTGGCCGAGGCCGAGGCTTCCTTTGGGGGTGTATGTATGCCGCCGACTGGCTCAAGGCCACCGAATTCGCCATGTCCAGCAATTCACGGGCCACGTATTCGACGGTGAGGAAATCGGCGGATATAGGAATTTTCCAGATGACAGGGCATTGAGTGGTTGGGCTCTGATAACACTCGAGAGCGACCCTTTTTGGATCCATGTGTAAAGATGAAACGTAACGAAGGAACTTCGAATTGTCCCGGGGGTCACCATCGTCACCGGCGACCGTTCCGGTGAGGGTGTTACTGGGCCTTGAAGTACTGCCCACCAATGGTTCGAGGTCGTAGACACAGTCGATCTGCCGGGTCCGGCACCGGGAACACTGAGGCAGTTGCACGATGCATCGCCGTTTGGCAGCGGTGCAGGCTCGACAGGCTTTCCGTAGGACCCTGATCATCTGGTAGGGGGCGGAGCAGAGGGGAGTGTTTCCACGGAGGAAGATTTGATCGATCGCTGTTCTTGAGAAGAATGAGGAATAGATCCCACCGAAGGAGCGTGTGTCGTGACGGGAATACTTATCCTTATACTGACGCACGTGACCGCACCTGATACACCCTCGGCACCTTGGTTCATCTCGCCACGACCACCAGGTACCCACGACAACAGCCACCGCCAATCCCTTAAACCCAGTCGAGTTTAGTTCCCACTGTATCATGTTCTGTACTGTATAAATACGAACACAACATCGACGATATCAGGGGGGTCAAACACCCTCCGCATCGAGAGAATGTCACTGACAGTCTCTGGCCCATGGCGCAGGCAACCCCATACAATCTTGGAGTCGTGTCTCTGTGACGGCGCAATCGCGCCCTGCTGATGCGCCCTCCAGCTACCTTTGACTGCAAATGGCTTAGTTCCCCCTCTTGCATACTGGTAATATCTCAACTGATCCTCACCAAGACCTAGTTTCGAGGCTGCTGCTGACCCAATATCTCGAACTTATCTCCGCTTATACCACTTTCAACCCGAACGAGGGCGTAGAGGGGAATTAATGCTGGTATAAAAGGAGGAGTCAGTCACTCATGGCAAAAATGGATTCTGTCCAACTTCACCGTCACCAGCAAGCCGACACTGACTCCGACAATGGCTGTCCGGCGTATGATTCGAAATTCTGCCTTGAGCGCGTTCATCCGCATATGTCTTCACGGGCATTACTGGCCTCAGCATTTCGGCGATCTTGAAAAGGGGGAGAGAAACTCGGTCGAGACGGCGAAGCGAGCTGAGGAGACCGAGAAACCGGTGCACCTTGTCGATTGGGACGGCCCGGACGATGTCGAGAATCCGCTTAACTTTTCTGGCGTGCAGAAGAGTGTCATCACGGCAATGACTTGTATCTACACGTGGGCAATCTATGTCGGCTCTTCGATTTACACGTCCAGTCAGCCTGGCATTGAGCATCACTTTGGCGTGGACAATTTCCAATCGTCCTTCGGTCTCGCCATCTACGTCCTGGCCTACGGTCTGGGAAGTCTCTTGTTCTCCCCACTCTCCGAGGTGCCATCGATCGGACGCAATCCCCCCTATGCCATCTCCGGGGCTCTGTTTGTCATCTTGTGTATCCCAACGTCACTTGTTGACAATTATGCGGGTCTTATGGTCCTCCGATTCTTGCTAGGCTTCATGGGATCCCCTTGTCTGGCCACCGCCGGGGCAACACTTGGCGATATTTGGGGCCCGACTCGATTCCCATACTTCATCGGGCTCTGGGCGTGCACTACGGCACTGGGACCGGCTTTGGGACCGATGTTGTCGTCCTTTGCTGTCGAGTCTCTCGGTTGGAGATTCTCCAGTTGGGAGCTCCTCATCATTTCGGGCTCCGTCTTCGTCGTCTTCGTCGTCTTGGTTCCAGAGACGGCGGCACCAACCATCCTGTATTACCGGGCGAAACGACTCAGAGAGTTGACGGGGGATAAAAGGTACATGTCGCAAGAGGAGATCAAACAGTCACATCTCACGGCTGGCCAGCGCCTGTGGAATTCAATCATCAAGCCTTGGGAAGTCAACATCAAGGACCCGGCTCTGTTGTTCATGACCTTGTATATGGGATTGATCTATGCAATTGTCTATTCTTTCTTCGAGGTGCGACACCAGTACTCCATCCCCTGCACTCCAGCTTTTCTACCGTTGCTGTCACTCAATTCTGGCTCTAACTCTGTTCAGTCATTGCCCCTCGTCTATCCGCCAATATACGGGTTCTCACCAACTTCCACGTCCCTCATCTGGCTAGCAGTCATTCCTGCCGGGGCGATCGGCTTTCCACTCCACTGCTTCTGGCTGTCCAAACGTGTCGAGCCCAAGCTTCTGAACCAAACGTTTGGCGACTTGGAGAATTTTCTCGAAACCGGCGTTGCCGCCAGCCTGTTGATGCCAGCATCGTTGTTCATGTTCGGTGAGTTTGCATGATCCTACTCTCAGCTGTCTTCCCTGTCAATGTCCTCGATCGAGATTTTGATGCCACGTGTGCTAATTGTAATTCTCACATGTGGCGGTGATATAGCATGGACAGCTAGGGCCTCAATCCACTGGATGGTTCCCACCACTGCCATCTTTCTCTACATGGTCGCGCAGTATTTCCTCTCCAACTCGATCTTTTTGTACATTCCGGCCATCTATCCGCGCTATGCAGCGAGCATTTTTGCGGCCAACAGCGTGGCAAGGGCTCTTTTGGCGTTTGTGGCGGTGCTGGTGGGACGATCAATGTTTAAGGGCATTGGCATCGACGGGGGTGTGAGCTTGTTGGGAGGCCTTACAACTGTTTGTGCTGCCCTGTTGGCTGGGTTGTATTGGAGCTGGGGAAAGAAACTGAGGGCCAGAAGTCGCTTTACTGCTTGATTTACCGGTACTGGCACTATGCTTGCCATGGCGTAAATAATACTGGTACCGCTGGGATTAAGATTTTAGAATTAGCTAGATAGATAGGATTACCTTGGACGAGTCGTAAGGATATTGTAAGTGCCTTGGAAGCTATTTGAATCTCCCGTTTGCCAACCGCGTTCAGATTAGTTCAAGATTGATGGAATGGAGGTTAGAGGCAAGTACAAGACTCTGTTCAACCTGGAGGGAGGGATAAATGTGGCTCTGAGATGTAGAGGCTCTCGCGTTCGTCTTTTCCTTCTTGCAACTCTGATGAGAGCCCTGGCTTCCATGTATCCAGGATCGTTTCTGTGAGCGTAGACTAGACAGGCACTCTCGTCGTACTATGTCCCTGGAAATCTTTTCGTCATAGTCTCGAAAGAAGTTGATCGGGTTCCGTTGTTGAATCCGACCCCTCTTTTGTGCTAACCGGGACTTTTGGCTCATGTGGGACCGCGCAACCGAGGAGATGCTTGCGATAAATCAGATCATACGTTGTTAACCCTGCAGGTCGGTGAGACGTTTGCAGCGCAGGGGCGCGTAAGCGGAAGGACAAGGCCTTTTACCGCAAACCGCCGCCTTGCTTACCCGGCGCCGCATGGGTTGAAGACATCCTCTCAGTCTCATGCCTGAAATGGGCTCAAATTAGACCGGAGAAAGCGTGGTTGCAGGTAAGCAGAAGTCCTTCGAGGCCTATAGGATAAGTGACCAAGGTCTCGTAGCACGGCGACATGGCCGGGGTTCCACGGCTCTTGAGCGGTAAGCCCAGAATGGGAGTGCCACGCGATGGTCGAGCGCTGGGGGGACAAACAACAAGGCCGCACATAGAGTTTGCCTTCCTTGTGGAAGGTTGTTGGTGAAGAAAGAATGAGAGAAGATGTCGTCATTCCGCCGCTGTGTGTATCACGAACATCCAAGTCGTTCCTGATGCGGGCATTGAAAAGGCAAGGCTGAGATGAAGCCTTACCGACTTTTGCGTTGCTGCTGCGAACACCCACTCTATGGTGCTCAAGCCATTTCATTCAAGCTTGATGTGTTGCTGACCACGAAAATGGCACAACTAGCTATCGAAGCATGGCTCTCCTTGGCCTCTGTTCCGGAAGTCCGTTTCTTGGGCTAGACGAGAGGCTTTGGTTGATATGTGCTTCGAGCCATACTTACAACATGCTCGGTTAAGGCTCATAGCTATTCGGAAGCTGAAACTTGCATCGGTGTCCTTGGAAATGACTCTTGGGATGTGATGCATGGATTTTGCCCTTCCGCTGACGCCAGACCGGTTTGCAAGTAACCGGCTTCGAGGCTCGGGATCCATTCGGCGGTGAATGCCACACTTCGCATTCGCAAAGCTGCATCGAAACACTGAAAGGTCCAAAGATCTACATTTTCTCTCACTGAGAGCTGCCTCCTACACCACCAATTCTAATCACATGAACCAAATCGCGAAGAGGCGATCATGCAGAGTGCAACGGACTCGCTTTCCAAGAGCCAAAGCCTGCCTCAGTCGTGCAATGGTTGCCTCTTTCATCAAACACGACCACAGGTCAATCTTAACGACCGGTGAAGCGAATTTCCCAAAGAACCAAACCTTCTGGTCATGAGATATTGTTGATCGAGCTCGTGTGCGGCTGATAGAGGAGACCAGGCATCCGAAGGTAAGAGATATTGCGGCTTGAGAGTAGCATCTCTCGCGCGTATATATATCTGCTTCTTTCCTTCTATTCTCAATTCCTCGTCCATCAGACTTTTTCAAGACATATCTTCATCACTTATATCGAAATATTCTCTCGGAAACGACAGCATGGCAGCCGAAGCACCACTGAGCAACAGCCAGATGAGCTACAAAGTAGCTGGCACCTTGATCAGCTCCTATAAAATCCAAAGCGGTGACACTGTCAGTGCCATCGCCTCTCGTCAGGGGTTAGACCTCCACGCCGTGCTAGCCGCCAACCCAGGCGTCGACGCTGACCACCTCGAGGTCGGAAATATCATCAACTTGCCCATCAAGACGCTGGGACTGGTATTCAACCTGAACGATGTCGCGCATGCCCTCGGTGTGTCCGTTCAAGATCTTCGGTCCGGCAACCCTGGTATTTCCACCGAGATTTCCATCAACGAAGTCATCAAAAGCCCCGGCTCTTCCCCTGGAGGCAGGGAGCTGATCGCCCAGCAAGTCGCTGCAGCACTTCCAGGAGGCAGCGGTGGTGGGAATGGAGGCGGTGGCTACGTCAACTACAGCGGGCCTGCCTCGAACTTCCCGCCGCCTTCGCAGTGGGCGTCGTACTCTGCGCTCTGGAACAGCAACTCCAAGTTGATGAAGTTCAACGACTCGGACGCCGAAATCGCCGACATCAAAACCGCCATCGAAGCGGTCGCCCGCGAGTCCCAGGTCGACGTCCGCGTCATTCTCTGCACCATCATGCAGGAATCTGGAGGCAACGTGCGTGTGCGCACCACCGTGTCGCCAGACGGCACTGTTCGAAACCCGGGGATTATGCAATCTCACAATGGGGCGGAATTCAATCCCCAACAAGCGGCCCAGAGTATATTGCAGATGGTCAAGGACGGGGTCGAGGGGACCAAGTCTGGAGACGGATTGAAGCAATGTTTCCAGCACCAGGGGAACTGGTACGCCGCGTTGAGGGAGTATAACTCGGGAAGGGTGGACGTCAATGACCTCAACGACGGGATGGGAGCGACACCCACCTATGTCAGGGACGTGGCGAATCGGTTGATGGGGCACGTTTGGGATAGGATGTAGGAGGGGGACTGTGCTAGCCTTCCAGCGAGGCGTTGTATGCGAGGTTGACGAGGAGGTAGGAAATGGAGGGAGCATAGACAGGATTGGGGCGTGGATATCGCGCTGGTCTCTCTTTTTGCCAGGATTCTGCTTCTACATCATACTCAGGCATTTTGTCGCTTTCATCTCACGGTTCTGCTGTTTGAATTCCTGGGCTGTGCCGGCTGTGGAGTGTGTCCAATATTCCAAGGTGATGCGTCTCTGGGCGGTCGAATGCCCACTGATCCTCTCCGACTGCCACTGAAGGCCACAACGCCGACTACCGAGTTCTCGATACTCGGTCGACCGAAGAGAAATTTTGCTTGTGTCGCCGCTGGCCACGGCAAGGACTATCGCCGCTGTCATTTCAAGATGATTCGATGGAAATCTCATGATTCTCCGACAGCCGGTCTTGTCGTTTGACGACATCCGATGCTCTCCACCCAGCGAACCTGCTGCTAACCACAAGTTCCTCTAGACCTGAGGTACCCATCTCGGGGAGCAATACATTCTAGATCGAATGTGTTCGATGCTGTCCTTCCCTGAAAGAGGAAAATATGCGCAAACTCATATTGCACTCCCCGACGGCCAAGACAAATGCCATGTCTAGCGCCAGCGGACACCGACCGCCTCAGTCCACCCGGCGGAGGCGTGCCCCAGATGTATTCGATAATACACTCATACTAAAGCAGGCAGGTGGGCGGGCTTTGTCAAAGCGAGGGAGAGACAAGCATAGAGCGATCAACACGGCCGGATCAGTCTGATCAAGTGTTCGTCCCACCGCAAAGATGAAGTTGTATCATCGGTTGCAGAGGCTTTCGCAGTCTTTTCTGGTTGACAAGTCTCAGCAAAGTGCCCGGGACTCTCTGGGAGAACTTGCAGAAAAGACGAAAAACACCATCCCCGACATCTATCTCGAGCATGAACCATCCGTATCTGAATGGCTTACCTCGCTCGTGCCGACCAAAGAAGGCACCTACCAATACCTCCACAGCCTCTTCCCTTCCATCGGCTGGGTTCCTCGCTACAACTGGCGATGGCTGTTGGCAGATTCCATAGCAGGACTTACTGTCGGTCTGGTGGTTGTGCCTCAGGCCATGGCGTACGCTCTGCTGGCCACTTTAAGTCCAGACTTTGGCCTCTACACGTCGTTCGCTGGGGCTGCCACCTACTGGTTGTTTGGCACTTCCAAGGACATCGTCATTGGTGTATGTAACAGCCGAATTTATTTCTTGTGTTCTCTCTCACATGCGTCTTAGACAACCGCTGTCGGTTCACTCCTGGTCGGCAACGTGATTACTAGCATACAAGACTCACACCCAGGGCTCTACACCAACGTCGAGATCGCGAAAACGCTCTCCTTCATAACTGGCGCGATGCTCCTGGCAATCGGTCTCCTGCGACTCGGGTGGATCGTCGAAGTCATACCGTACATCCCCATCTCTGCATTCATCACAGCGGCCAGCATAACGATCATGTCGACCCAGTTCCCTGTCATGATGGGCATCCCTGGGATCAACACGCGAGAAGAGCCGTACAAGGTGATTATAAACTCGCTGCGAAATCTGGGCAACACTCAACTTGACGCCGCGATCGGCATCTCCTGTCTGATACTGTTGGACCTGATAAAGAGAATCTGCGCGAAAATGGAGGTCCGTCAGCCGTCACGCAAACGCGTGTGGGCAACAATTTCGTGCCTGCGGCTGTCGTTTGCGATGCTCTTCTACACCTTCGTTAGCTGGCTGGTGCATCGTGATATGCCAAAGGGTGAGAGTAAGTTTCGGATCGTCGGGGTGATACAGTCGGGTATGTCGCGCGCAAGCGTCCCACCTCTGCAGCAATTCTGACTAGATGTTCCAGGTTTCAAACACTCAGGAGTCCCAAGGTTCGACGCCGAACTAGTCCGCCTTGTTATTCCGCAGACCCCCATCATGATGGTCATCCTGGTGATCGAGCACATTGCCATCGCGAAGAATTTTGGCAAACAGTTCGGCTACCAGGTGATCCCATCCCAGGAGATCATGGCGCAGGGCACGGCTAACCTATTGGGCCCCTTTCTGGGCGGGTATGCCTGCACGGGATCCTTCGGTGCCTCTGCTGTTCTTGCCAAAGCCGGCGTCAAGACTCCGCTGGCCGGCCTTTTCAGCGCCCTCATTCTCCTGCTGGCCTTGTACGCTCTGACCGCAGTCTTTTACTACATACCCCGAGCGGCGCTCGCTGGCCTGATCATCCACGCCGTGTTGAACCTGGTGGCGTCTCCGAAGACGTGCTATAGATACTGGCGGATCTCGCCCTTTGAGTTTCTGATCTGGGTCGTCGGAGTGGTCGTCGCCATCTTCACCGGGCTGGAGACATCCATCTATACGACCATCGGCCTGTCTTTGTTCCTCCTGCTCGTGCGAATCGCTCGCACGAATGGCCAATTCCTCGGGCGTGTACCGATCTGGCAGGTCGCGGTTGATCTCGGCGCCGATGCTGATCCGCAAAACGAGAGTCCTCGTCAGACCCAGTCCGAGATAGAAGTTCGAGACGCCTACATTCCCATGGACCGGAAGGACGCCTCCAATCCCGAGGTGATAGTCCAGTCCCCTTATCCCGGCGTGTTTGTCTACCGCTTCCCAGAGGGCTTCAACTACCTCAACAAAACACTGCAACTGAACAAGCTGACCTCCTACATCCTGACGCACACCCGGCGCACGACGAAGCAGGACGACGTCAAATCGCACCAGCTGCTGTGGTGTGAATCCAGAGCATCGCAGACCGCCACGGACACCAGCCTACCGGTCCTGCGGGCCATCGTGCTGGACTGCTCGTCGGTGAACAACATCGACATCACGGGGGTGCAGGGGCTGATTGACGCGAGGAACGCGCTGGACCGCCACGCCGCCCCGGCCCTGGTCGACTGGCACTTCGCCGCGCTGTGGAACCGCTGGTCCCGCCGCGCGCTGGCCACGGCCGGATTCGGCTATCCCGCACAGCGGAACCAGTTCGCCCTGGGGAACTGGACGCCCGTGTACTCGCTCACGAGCTCCTTCGCGGGCGCCGTCCCCGAGGACGCCTGCGCCGAGGCCCGGCGCAGGGAGCAAGTGGCCAAGACGGACTGTGAGAGTAAAGTCGTCGAAAGAGTGAGGACGGATGATGACGACGAAGACGAGGGTCGTGTCGAGGAGATTCGAAGGTGTGTGAAGCAGCGGCAGATCCCATCGCTGGAGAATACCGGCCCCCATCCCAAGGCGGTGGCGCCGCTCAGGCCCGTCTTTGGACTCGACCGGCCGTTCTTCCACATTGATCTGGGACAGGCTGTGTCAGCAGCAGTGCGATGCGCAAGAATGAGTGATTGACGACATGACGCTAGCGATGAAGAGGGTAAGGAGTTCGTCGTGATTCCTGTGATTGATATTTTGCCCCTCGGGAGAGATTATATAGACCGTACCGAGAACCTCTTCAGCCGTCATTGGCCACCGTGGCTTCGACATCTGCGAGCGCTGTGGCTACAGGTGATCTCTTCCAAGTATTTACCCAGCATCACATAGGAAATGAGCATGTTCCTCCGCGCACAGCAGCAGGCACTGGCATTAGCAAGGCTACACATAGAAAGGGGGATCGGCAAGGGAGGTATGGCGTGATTCGCGCTAACGAGCACTAGCGGCTCTAAAGACGCTGAACTGGCCAACCGATCTGCTGGATTTCCCTGGAGCTGGGGCATCTGGGGTATTCAATGCACGGATAACGCAAAGCGACGCTTGTATAGACGTCTTTGATATATCTGTGCGTATATCCTGCTGAAACTCTTCATTTATTGTCCCCCAGACTCGAGAATCGCCCTTGGGAGAGACGCAGAACTTCCAAAACTCGGCAAGGGGATGCGGAAATTAAGCGACGGAAGTATTTCCGCCAAACAAAACAGCGAGGGATGTGCGCCCAGGTTGGGCAACAGCTGGCTCAACTCCGGGAAGACTCGCGCTGGCTTTTTCTTCGGGGACTTTGCCAGAAACTTCTCGTGGGTAAGCATGGATAGCGCCCTGCAGCGGACGATTGTCGTTTCGGGGACCATGAAGGTTCTTGGATCGAACTCTCCTGTGGAGACTCGGGGATTCCTTTGATGTCTGTTCTTTTTTCAGCCCTCCCAACGATAAGGGGCCGCCATCCGTGGTGTGACGATCTCCCTATTTTTCTGCCGTTCGTCCTCTGGACCTCGGGTTGAGTGGTCGACTTGTTTTCGTGTGTGGATGCCCAAGCAAGCAAGCCGCTGAAGACAAAGCCCAGCAGCCGCCCAGTGTTGGTTTGGAGGTAAACCTGAGCAAGTTTGAGAATGGGGCTCCAAATGCAAGGTGCGACGGAGTGCTGCTTAGTCGATAAACTCCACTTTCCCCAAACGCTTTTGTTTCAAGGGTGTGATGAGCTGGATCTGCGCCGACTGCTGGACGATAAGTGAACTCTTCACGGATGTCCGGGATCTAACCACGATAATCAGTCCAGGAGCTACCATCACAATGATCGCTCCCGATGCAAGGAAAATATCCACCATGACACGCTGGACAAACCAGTGACTGGTCTCGCATTTGCAAGGATAGTGGGGATTGCCATTCAGCATGACCAAGACTGAGTCAAGGATAGAATTTCAGAGATAGGCATGCCGGTCGAGGAAATGATTCATATGGTGTGGTCACATTGCTATCCATCTTCGCGATCAGCTCCGCCAAAACTGCAGAGCAACGTCACATAGTCCTCGTCGTATTGTTCGTTTCCGTAAAGATGATCCCGTAACGGGTATCGACGCCGATCAGACCCGACTGCATTTGCTGGGACCAAGTTGGCTCTCTCTCCTGAGTCTGCTCGGTAGCGGTATCCGCTACTCCTCGTCTACGCGAGGATGGAATTCGTCAAGAACGACCAAGTTGAAATTCAGGACAGACCAAGTGTTACTCAATATGTGATCGTCGCACCACTAGATTCGCAAAATTGCGCCCTCGTAATTAGTGACCATGACCTTCCCATCCGTTGAGGGCATGGAAGAAGCCTAATTCCTCAAAAGTGGAAGGAGCGGCGAATGAAAAAACCCCCCACGCCATGAATAAACAAATTCCCAATGTAAAATTAGCATTTCAGCGTACACCAGCCCCTCCAAGTCACCACTCCAAAGTCTTCGGCTTTAGCGGGAGATGAAGAAACCGAAACCCCGCCTCCGTCATCCTGGGAAGCCTGCCTGCCCGGATGTTCATCTGTAGGGACTGGTGGATCAGCCTGGGCTCTGCGAGCCCCGCGTCCCGTTCGTTCCGCATGGCCACAAAGTCCTCCTCGGTGGTGCCGTCCTTCAAGTGCTTGTTGCGCTGCTTGTGCTGCTCGACTGTCATATACGGCACAGGAGCGTCGCGACCCGCCGGCGGGTAGTCATGACCGGTCCAGATTTTGACGTGGTCCGGCAACGAAAGCAGCTTTCGGCCCGACTTGAAAAGATCGCTTGCACTGCCGCCGGGGAAGTCGCAGCGCGCGGTGCCGATGTCTGCGTGGAAAATGGAGTCGCCGCAGAATACGTTGTCTACAGAACTGTGTTAGTCAATTTGTAGGCAAGGCCTATGTGGCAGACTCACCTCCAATCTTATAGCCAAGATGGTCCGGGGTATGGCCAGGCAGATGCAGGGCCGTTGCTTTCAGATCCCCAATGTCAAACGTCTCGTCATCCTCAAATAGCCTGTCGAATACGCCTTCATATTCCTCTGTGGGAATGCCGTATCTGTTCGCAAACAATTCCTGCACCCGACCGATGCGCTTCCCGATGCCGATGATGGGAATTTGATCTTGCTCTTGAGCCAGGCGGTTCTGGAGATACGACGATGCGGTTAGATGGTCCGCATGTGCGTGTGTCTCGAGGATCATGTCGATAGTGTAGCCCTTCTCCTCGACCAACGCAAGCAAAGCGTCGGCGCTCTTGGTGGTGACGAGGAGAGTAGCCGGGTCATAATCCAGGACCGGGTCGATAATGACAGCCGTCATCGTGGCTGGATCTGCAACCACGTACTGCCAGGTACCCGTCATGGTCTCGAATACATCGTGAACAATGGGTTGCGGAGCCCCAGCGGCTCCGGTGCTGTACGCAGACCGACCTTTTGTTGCCCACGGAGTGGTTCTGGCAGATCGAGGGCCGCACGGTCCACAAACTGGCGCTCTCCTCGAGAGGGCCTTACGGGGCGTGACTTCGACCAAAGACCCGTTCTTGGCCGAGACCTGGGTGGTGTATGAAGCTGTATGCTGGGCCTGGTGGGGAGAAAGGCGAAGCTGCCTGCTGGAGTTGACAATGGCGGAAGAAGGGCTCGCAGTTGACACCAATCTCCTCGTCGCCTGGGAGCCGCTGGTGATGTGAGGGCGGAGAGACTGCATCATGGTGTCTTTGAGATTGTTGTGGTTTCTTGACCCTGAATCAGCATGGAGCGAGGACGTCTTAGTATAGTATTTGAAGTCGGGCTGATAGTCCCCAAAGAGGAAGAAGATGACGAGGGGATCCACACCCCGACATCAGGCACTAGCCCGAAAGACGCTAGACAATATTAGGGGACACTAATAACGATATTACGCACTTGGCCATCGCCGTCATTTCACCGGCCTTGGCACGGCTGGTCATTACACGGCGATCACGGCGCCTCCTTGCGTATTGCCACGTATTGCCCCCTGGAGGCCTGGAGCCTCGCATATCGCTTCCAAGGGCGACGTCGTGGCAAACCACTGATCGAACCACCCGGTGATCAGATCCTGCTATGGTCTATCCTCGGCGACTAGCTGAAGCATCCTTGCGGCCGTTGAAGGGCGTTAAGGGGCCACTCTCCCGCTGAAATGTAAAGTATAATACCTGATGCTGACCCCGAAAAGCCCGTCACATGATTTGACATTTCTGCCTCGCTGACTTTTCGAAATCTTCTCTCACTTCTTTCCCTCGTGCCTTTTCCCTTCTCACCACAAGCCAACACGACCGGTACTTCAGTTTCATCATGTTTCGCACCACCTTAACGTCCAAGGCTTGTAGCAATGGACTTTCGATTCTCACCGCACAGGCTGTCCCGACAAGCAGGAATTTTGCGACAGCCTCCGCGGTGAGTCCAGCTGCTCGAAGTCACAAAGTCGTGGTCGTTGGTGGTGGGAGCGCCGGTCTCGCTGTCAGCCATCAGCTCCTCCGCTCGGGCAAGTTTGCCCCAAACGACATCGCCATTGTCGACCCGGCCAAGTGGCATAACTACCAGCCCGGGTGGACGCTGGTGGGCGGTGGTCTGAAGACCAAGGAGGAGCTGCGGAAGCCGCTGGACACCTTGCTCGACCCCAAACTCAAGTTCTACAACGAGGGCGTGAACACCTTCTCCCCCAAGGAGAACTTGATCACGCTCAGCAACGGCGACAAGGTCAGCTACGACCAACTCGTGGTCGTGCCCGGCATCACGATCAACTTTGGCTCCATCAAAGGCTTGCCCGAGGCCCTCGCCGATCCAAACTCCCTGGTCTCCTCAATCTATGGCTATGAGACCTGCGACAAGGTGTTCCACACCATCACCAGCCTTCGCAAGGGCACCGCGATTTTCACCCAGCCGGCCGGCACAGTGAAATGCGCGGGGGCTCCGCAGAAGATCATGTGGCTCGCACTGGACTATTGGAAGCGGGCGGGCCTGTACAACGCCAGCAAGGGTCCCGAGTCACCCATCCAGATCAGCTTCGCCACCGCCCTGCCCGGCATGTTCGGCGTGCCCAAGTACAGCGCCAGGCTCAACGAGCTGCGGCTGGAGAGGGGTGTGGAGGGGCTGTTCCAGCACGACCTCGTCGCCGTCGAGGGCAACACGGCGACTTTCGCCCGTCTCGACCAGCAGGACCAGGTCACGAAGCACTTTGACCTGCTGCACGTCGTGCCCAAGATGGGACCGCACGAGTTCGTCAAGAAGAGCGAGCTCGCCAACGAAGCCGGCTTCGTGGACGTGGACGAGGCGACCACGCGCCACACCAAGTACGCCAACGTCTGGTCCGTCGGCGACGCGTCGAGCCTCCCCACCTCCAAGACGGCCGCCGCCATCACCGCCCAGGCGCCCGTGCTCGTGCAGAACCTGATGCAGTCCCTCGAGGGCAAGGCGCCCAACGCGACCTACAACGGCTACACGTCGTGCCCGCTGACGACCGAGTACGGCAAGGTCATGCTCGCCGAGTTCAAGTACGGCGGCGAGCCGCACGAGACCTTCGGCCGCCTGCTGGGCGTGGACCAGGGCACGCCGCGGCGCGCGTTCTACCACCTCAAGAAGGACTTCTTCCCCTGGGTCTACTACAAGTCGATGGTCAAGGGCACCTGGGCCGGGCCCAAGGGCTGGATGAATTAGAGACTCAATTAGAGAAAATGCGTCGACGCGGCAAAAGTGTCGAGCATATTGCGCCCTGTGTGAGGCTTGTGTACTATAGAGAAAAGTTTCTGGACTGCGGGGTTTTGCGTCCGTCCATCCATCTTTCTGCGGCCTGGCTACATACATACATACATCATGTGGCGCTGCAGTTACGATCTAGGTTTTAAGAGCAATGGATTTTTTTTGTGATAGAAGTCAAACAGCGTCCTTCGCTGTAGGAGGTGGCCATGCTCCGCTCCCCTGTGTGCTGCTGTTTGCCAGCCCGGAGGAGGAGGAATTACCTCAGCCCCCGCTCTAGTGGGTGCGTCTTCGCCCACCACATGCCGTCCCGGACCCGCAAGGCTGCAGGCTGGGTCAGCCAACGCAAGAAAAATGTGCTCAGACCCCGAGGCGAGCGATTCTTGATCGGGGCTAGTCTGATGATTAATTCATCTCAATCAACATTGGCATCTCCGGCTGGACCTCGTAAGGGGATGATGCCCACGGCGTGTCCATCTGTCTGCTAGGTAGGTACCTACCTATCAAGTACATACCAGGGAAACAGTGTGACAGGAGCCAGAACCCTATCACCTATGTACCCTTCGCCCGTGACTGCGGTCCTCACCGTTTCGCTCTCCCACGCCCTTGCCGCTTTTCGAACCATCTACGCCTTCATTGCCACTATACTGACCTTTATCCTAACATTCTTGCACTATTTCGCCCTTCTGCTTTCGTTCTTTCGCCTCTAACCTCTTCCGAATTTAGAAATATCCAAAAGAGAAGCGATGAGAGGTTAGGATTGACTTCATTACCTATGATATCAGAAGATATCCCCGGCATCCTGGGTCATCCGACTTCTGCATCGATTTGCTCCTCCAACGATTCTGCCAGCTGTCTTTCTAGCCTCGCTTTGCTAGCGACCTCGTCCGAGTGCGCCGTTGTTGCCATCGACAAGATCAGTTCGTCCGGAAATGGCTTCCTGACAAGTCTCGTCACGGTTGGGCTGGTGACCAGAACCTTTACTGTTGCCTGGCCTTTCTGCTCCGAGATCTTCAGCAGTGTTACCAGCACGAGTCCCATGTCGTCCACAAACTCGTTTCTCTCATAGTAGACAATGCCGTCTATTATACAAAACAGCACGACCGTACTGGGTAGTTGCTTGACGAGCAACTCAAACAGGTCGCATAACTGGCCGATATCTGCATCCCGGATGCGGTCTTCATCCACGTCGACCACCAACAATTCCTTGTCAAAGTCGAATTGGCATAAGAGTTGGCAGATAAAGCTCTGGACCATTGCCAGACCTCCAGTGTAATCGTCAACATTCCGATCGGTGTGGAGACCGCAGAAGAAAAGCAGAGGGATATACAGCGGAGCTCTGGCAACAAGCGACTGGGCAAGGTATGAACATAACAGGGACAGGCCCGATATGTCTTGCTTGCCCTCGTATTCTCCGTGGACCAGAAGCTGCGTTGATTCAGGGGATACCACCCATTCCTTGAGCTGTCTCGCTTGGATGAGCTGTTCCGCGCGTGCTTGCTCGTTCATTGGGACCCGTGTCTGTCTCTTCTCGTTAATGATCTTCAGGTCATACTCTACCACATTCGGAATCTCGATCCAGTCGAGAAGGTCCTGCGGGTCTATGTGGCTTTCGGCAACGCTCTCATAGGGAGGGGGGATGGGTGACGCCGGGCGTGAATTCGCCTGGATGGCGACATAGAGCAGGTCCAGGTCTACACAAGTGCGTTGCTGTCAGATTCTTCCCTGCATGGTGTCGGGTTTGGTGGCTCAGCCTACCCTTTTTGTTGGCCAGGTTGGCCGCAAGCTGCTTCAAAAGAGTATCAACCGCGGAGTCAACCACGGATTTGAAGAAGTCTTTGCCCTCGTGGTGGAGTTTTTCCTGACGGGCAAGAATCCGCCGCAGTCCCTCACTCATGAGCAACAAGCCAGAATCTTTCGCCTGGCGAAGAAGCCGCTGACTACTGGACTCGACCTTTTTAAGCGTGTCTAGCATTTGCTGCTCGTATGTCTCTCTGCTGAGGATGGCCCGGCCCGATCGTTTCACTGCCAGAATGAGTGATTGCAAAATAGAGACCGGCTAATCAAGTCGTCCGCCGATGTCTGATGGAGGGAGCTTACGAGCAGATTTTGTGAAGAATCCAATGACTGCTTCAATGGCAGAGAATGTTGCCGTGATCAACTCGACGGAAGCCTGGACAATGTGTTCATCATCCGGAAACGCCTGAAGGAAAAGCTCAATCTCAGAAAACATCATATCGATGTCATCGAATGCGCATTCCATCTCCTTTCTGACCTCTGCAGCTTTCTTGACTGCCTATTGTTGAGCAGCGATGTGAGCACCAGTCTTCACCAACGCTTGACAGATAGTTCCCATACCTCTAGGATGATTCGGACAGAGGCTACGACAGGCGTCACAAACACACTGTTCATGTCTGGAACTAGCTTGATGACATCGAGGGCGACCGGGGCAGCATGATCAGCCAGCTTGCGATAGCTGGGCCTTTTCTTTCCCGAGTAGAAGTCGCGGGCCTTTTCCAACTGATCGAAAACGGCAGCCCAGTTGGTTTTGTCCCGGATAGAGAATCCAGCTTTTTCGCGGCCCTTTGGTTCTTCAGAGGCCAGCTTAAACTCGCCCATGGCACGGTCGAACAGGAAGTTCCAGAATTGCAACGCCGCAACGGGCTTGGGGACCGGCCTTGGACCAATGTGGACATTGCCTTGTTGCGGGGTAGCGAAAGTCTGCTGTGACTGCATGGCATCCGCTGGCGGAGACGAGATGATGAAGCTGTCGAGGGCCGGATCGTACCGGGCAGGCGGCGTCGCAAATCCGGGGTGATACTTTCCTAGGCGATTGTCGATGAAATCAACAGCTAGCGACTGCCGGCCAAGTTCTGGGATGTACGCCTTCGCCGGTTCCATCAGTCGCGCAATTGCGAAGCAGACTCCGCGGTCTGTGAGGGGCCAAGAGGATAGCTGTATTAAACCCCCTCAGTTCCCTCAAACCACGTCGCCTTGTCGGCCTGCGCGACCTGCACTAATCGGGCGCTGTGACTTCGCAGATGTGCTGCACTATTTCAACAGCAAAGGCAGCCAGGCGTCCGCACCGGTGTGCAAGCGTCAGCTCTGATTCGAGGTCCTGGAGGATGGGGGTTTTTGGACTAGGGATTGCTTGGTCAGTTTGGCATGATATATGCTACCCCTGCATTCGAGCTGAAACGTCTTCCCCCACTACTTCTTCCAGTGGCTTAGCGAGCCTAATGGGCTCGGCGCCTAGCGGACGTCGAGCTCTCCCCCTCGCAGTTGCCTAGAACATGTGCGGCTCTGTAAGGTACTATGGATCGAAGCCTTATCAGGACGTGGTTTCTCTTCCCACGCCAGCCTGTGTCATTGCCAGGCTATAGCATCGCATTCCATCACGGTTCACTCGGAAATTGACGTCTTCCTCAGAGGCTTGTGCCTCAGAAGGCGAAAGCAAGCTGTGGCCAGCAACCTAATTTCAACCTTGTGTGCGCCTGCAAAGCCACTTTGTTAGAGTCGAGTTCGAAGGCTGGACAAGGCTGGAGGACCCCAGTTCCGTATCATAATGGCATCATTTCCCGAGAGCGCTACGGGTATCCCATCTCTCACTCTACCAGCCGCTATTTCCGTTGAGGCTCCGCGGGATCCTGCACACATACAGCCAGGGGAGAAGATTGAGAGGAACAACGTCGGTACTCAAAGTTCTAATCAAAATGCAGGACAAGCAGCTGACCTTCTCCAGAACGAACAGGCTAATGATCAAACCCATGATCACGACACAACTACTCGAGCACGCCCGGACACAGATACCGCCACTTCTCCCTTATATCTCGAGATTCAAGCATTGCAAGAGAGGCTTAGTCAATTGCATCAGCAAGCAAGACGCGAGCAAAACATCAACACCCAACACTTCGCTTCGGACGAGGAATCTCAGGCCCAAAATGATTCTGAAGAGAAACGGCTTCGAAAGCAGATAAGGAGGGCTCGCTCAGCAAAGAAATGGGTAAAGGACATGGAAGAAAAAGCTGAAAAAGGCGCAGCTGACCGAACAAACTATGGCTACGCAGGGTCTTTTATGACGCACATTCCAAGCGAGTACGTCGTAGAGCAACACGGCAAACACGATCCTTTCACAAGGGATTTTGCGCACTGGGAGGAGTACGCGAACTGGACAGAAATGACACGAACCGGACCCGATCCTACCGTGCTGAACCCACCTCGCGCTATCCGTCCGCCCACCTCGCTTCGACCAATATACTCTCGCAAACTCGGGCCTCCTAACCAATGGGATACATCTGACAGCGAAGAATGGAGTGACGGTTCAACACGCTCGAGGGATTTTGACTACTTTCGTGCAAGACTACGCGGCGACTTCGAATGGGAGCTCGACCGGCTTAATGCCCAGAGATCGAGGTATCTGAGACACAAAACGAAAAAAGAGACCCAGCGCAGACAAGGACAGAGAAGAGACAACGCAAAAAGAGCCAGAGAAGCGCTGGGAGAGTCCATAAATCCTGGCGGTGATCGTATTTTGACATCGACTACATCAACCCAGCAAATGATGCTGGCGAAGCTGAATCGAGTTGGGTGGGAAGCATTCAGAGCCGTTCGCTTCCTTCAAGAACCGCCTTTTGCAATCGACGTTCTCGTTGAGGAGCCGAGGATTTCAGCTACGCCGTGGAGATTTTCCAAGAGTAGCATCCTTGCCCCTAAAGCCATGGATGTTCCTGGGGTCAAGCTCGAAGAGGGCCAAGCACCCCTACCTGAACGAATCAGGATCCATTCAAAGGAGCTCATCATGATTCTTTGCCGTATTCATGGATCCGAACTGATCACCGACCAAGAGGAGCAAAATGAGAACACCTCGCTCGTGTTGCTCCGACCATTCAAGATGCTGAGATACTATGATAAAGAGATACGAGAGTGGCATTCTAAGTTATTGTGTGATCATGAAGCCGCAAAACTCGACAACAAGGCCTTACCTACGGCAACAGAACCTCCCGATCGTAACGAGCGCGGAAATGCCGCTGGAGAACAAGACTCGCCAGATGCACAATCAATGGAGAAAGACAAGTCCGGGGTGGAGGATCCGAACGGCTACAGCACGTCCAGCACAGCTCTAGAGCATTTACCTTGCCTGCTGGAATTTATGGACAATTACCTCAACTCGAAGCATGCCTACCTGAACAGTTTGGCATGTGACAAGATCTCCTTCTCAGATATTTGGTATTTGTTCAAATCTGGAGATGCTGTCGTCTCCAACGATGGTAGGCAAGCATACCTCGTCGCCAACGTTGCCACGCCTCCGCACAAGGGTGCTGATCGTTGGGCTTTCTATGCCAAAGAAAAGGACAACGAGGAATCTCGACCCAAATCGGACATATCTGTTTCCTGTATCTACATTCACTACGATGGGAAGCAGCTCGGACCGGTCTTAAAGGAATTCAAGATCGAAAGATTTGATGGCGAGCGACCTTTGACCAGTCTCGAAATCCTCCCTCTCCGCCTCTATGTTGCGAGCAATGTAAGGAGACTCACTCAGTTGGCCAAGGTTGGAGCGGCTGAGTACGAGAGTCAGGTGGAGGCTGGCGTTGCTCAGTTGCGAGAAAGCCTCATCGACCGTGGCAAGAAGTTTGTCGAGGTGGCTAGAGTCAAGCACATGTATTATGCAGGCCTGACCGTCGATACCAGAGATGAGATCGAGAGCCAGGTCGTTATCGATTTCGAGGAGGCCTTCGCAACCGAGAAAAACAGGGAGAAGTGGTGGCCAGAGATTACGCCCCTCGTAGGCCTGGCAGCTGACCTCGCAGGAAACGAGAAATCCGATGGCTGCACCGCGGAGTGTTGCTGGCAAGAGAACGTCCACGACGATTCCTATGTTGATAACCATCACTGCAAGAAATTCATCAGTGATATTATGGACGAAATCGAGGACAATCCACGCAATTTACCTTCGGTGGCCATCTATCCCCGGCTTTTGGAAAGTATCCAGCCGGACGAAAATGATCTAAAGGATGAAGAGCTACTTATCATGTCATATCGAGTCTTCGGCTTTGTCTTGAGAGATCGCACATGGGGTAAGTAATGATGGTAAACAGTCCTACACCTGTCCACTCGCATGCTCACATTGTACATAGCACAGCTCGACCTGTCGTACCTTACCAATGTAAATACTTCTGCTGTCAAAGACGATATTAAGGAAGATGAGAACACGGACGATGACCCGGATGATGACGAAGCCGACAAGACTGCCTTTGGACGCCTTGTATTGCCTCCAGGCCACAAGAAGATGGTTCTCTCGCTGATTGCCCAACACTTCCGAAACAAGGAGCTACAGCAGGACAAAGATGAGCAGGCCGACATTGTGCGTGGCAAAGGTACACTTCTTGCATGTCGTGACCCTATTGTTTCTATGGCTGAACCTTTATTAGGGAAGGGTTTAATCATCCTCCTCCATGGTGCCCCAGGAGTCGGAAAAACAACAACTGCTGGTACGAAATCTCCGTTTTCCACAATCGTTCGATAACGTGGCGATCAAGTGGTCTATTTATACGTTTGAGATTCCCCAATTGAGCGTGCATGAAGCTAACGAAACGTGCGTGGCGTCTTCCAGAGGGTGTTGCAGAGAGATTTAAGAAGCCACTTTTCCAAATCACCTGCGGTGAGTAAAAGGTTGACTTGCGGCTGAGACAACGTAAAGGCCAGCTAATCAGGGTTTTCGACATCCAGGGGATCTTGGTTCGGATGCCAAACAGGTCGAAACTGCATTGCAAACGAACTTCGCTCTTGCCAACAGATGGGGCTGTATCCTTCTTCTCGACGAAGCAGATGTCTTCCTGGCTGAGAGACGGCACCAGGACTTCACTCGAAATGGACTTGTTGCTGGTGAGTAGACATGGTCGAGATTGGTGTCTCTTTGAGCGCATCAAGAAACGAGTCCCGTCATACCAGATACAAGCTAATTCGCTCAACTTACTGTTCAGTGTTCCTCCGAGTGCTGGAATATTACGCTGGCATACTCTTCTTGACAACGAATCGGTGCGTGCTGTCGGATTTTCGAGGCGCGGTTTATCGGAGACATTCTAACACTCGATAGAATTGGCGATTTCGACGAAGCTTTTGCCTCCCGAATTCACATGAGCCTCCATTACCCGCCTCTGAGCCGCGTATCAACCAACAAGGTGTTCAAATTGAACTTGGACCTCATCAAAGAAAGATACGACGTGAAAGGCAGAAAGATCAAGATCGAAGAGTTCGAGATCCTCCAGAATGTTGGGGATTACTTCCTTCAGAACGAAGATGCTCGATGGAACGGACGCCAGATCCGCAATGCGTGCCAGACGGCACTGGCCCTCGCCGAGTTTGAGGCCCAGCCATCGAACAAGAAGTATGACCTGAAGGCGCAATCCGGTACCAAGGTCGTGCTACGAGCGTCGCACCTGGAAGTCGTGTCCAAAGCATACCTGGAGTTCATGCGGTACCTCAAGGAGGTTCATGGCGCCGATGCAGAAACCCGTGCTAAGGAGTCGGGACGTCGGGCTCTCGAATCCGTCATTGCAGCCATCAAGATGGACAGGGACAAGGCCAGGGGAGGCAAGTCTTCGCAAAGAGATGACGACAACCGCGGCCATCATCTCGAGACTTTCCGGCTCCAGGGACGTCCACGAGCCCAGAATCCGGGGCCCTCGTCCTCACCACCGGACGAGAGTCATTAGGATGGCCCGAGGTTTAGAGCTGGATAGATGGCGAGCTTCTCTCTAGGTAGTAATGAATTCACGAACTTCTATCGATGACAAGCAAGGATATTGGAGCGCTTGCGTTGACAGGTAGCCTGCAAGGCTGAACCAGGACAGCGCGGGATGCCATTTTTAGTTCTTGATCAAGAGCCTCTGTATCTCTCTGCAAAAAGAAGGAAGAGCAACAAGGTGCCAGAAGGTGGACGGCATGTTGGACAGGCTCGGTTGGAGGCGATATCTGGTTTGATTCGACGATGAACGTGCATGATTCCTTCGTCGACAGAAGGGTGCTTCCATCCCTTCTCAACGCTAGATGCATATGATATGAAAAGGAAAAGCGACCAGAGCTACGAGGCGTGATTGAAGTAGCCAGCTATGCAGCAAGCCAATACCAACTTTTGGTACCCATACATTAGGTAACTATCTAGGATAAAAGTAGTATTCAAGGTGTCGAGGTCCATCTTTCTCTAGAACTTTCGGACTTGATAGAGCCCTAGAAACCCCCAAAAAGGAAAGCAAAAAGAACGGGAAGAAATGACAGGTGTGGGGTTCGAACCTATCCTTCTGTTAATGACTGTTTGTTGGGCGATGGCATATTGGCGAGGTGTCTATGTATGTTACTTACCCACGCTTCCTCTCGGAAAGCAGAGTTCTTCCTTTGAAAAAAGGGCTTAAATCTGCCGCCTTGAACCACTCGGCCAACCTGTCGGACTTTGTTGGTGAGGGGGATTAAATTCCTCTGTTGCGTTTTTCGAGCATAAATTTGCTCATTTTTGGGGATTTCAATATATAACAGTAAATGGAAAAGATGGGCTGAGTGGGGGCTGATGGCGGGGAAAGAACCAATAGTGAGGGAAGTAGGGCCGCCAGCCAGACATGCCCGGCTGAGCGCCTGGCGAGCATTCAGCCTTGCCAGCCCCGCCGATACCATCACCTGCCTAGGCATTGAGCCTGCTCGTTCTCACGAACCCACTGGAACGGATTTGAATGCTCTAAACGCCTCTCACACCAAAGACATATATCTTTTCAAGTCGATCGGGCATGCTATGGCAACGGGCGCCTTTACTTCAAGAAAGAATACGCGATCTCAACCATTTTGTCTCATCATACATCATATACGAAGTACTACAGTAGCAACGGAGAGAAACAGAATACCCGTGGGCGCCACTCAGATAAGTTCTCCAGGGAGCTTGCCAAGGTAAGGAGTCAATAGTCCTTTGTGATCCTTCATATTCATCTGGATGAGAGTCGGGACACGGCCGCAGACCTCTACGGCAGTCCCAAGACATCCTTCAAGACCGCCAGCGCCCCAAACAGCTGGCTGTCGTGGTACTTGCGCGCCACGACCTGCAGGTTGATGGGGGCCTTCTCGAAATCCCCCTCCTCCCACAGCTGCTTGACGTGCGCGCACGCGTCGCTCAGGGGCGTGTAGTCGGCCGCGTACGTTTCCGCCTTCTCGGCCGTGATCGGGGTCGGGACCACGACGCCGGGGTAGTCGACGAAGTTGTACAGGGACGTGTACGTCCAGTAGAAGGCCGTGTCGTGCGCCGAGGCCGGGCCGACGAAGCAGGGCCCGATCACCACGTCCACGTCCTGGGCGTTCCAGTGCGCGGCGAAGGCGATGCGGAAGGCGTCGCGCTCGCCGCGCATGTTGCTCACGTCGACGCCCGTCTGCATCCCCAAGGGTTCGGCGTCCTTCCAGATCCACGACGACAGCGGGTGGATCGGCTCGCCCGTCTCGGTGATGTGCTCGGCCATCCCCTGGCCGCCGTCCGGCCAGTACATGCGGCGGATCTTGGCCCACGCGCCGGCGGCGTCGTACGGCGTAAAGTCCTTGACCTCGATCACGTCGGCGTGCTTGGGGTCCGAGAGGAGCGCCTTCGCCCAGGCCACGGCGCGCTTGACCGGCGGCTGCGGGTCGATGAAGCCGTCGTGGCTGATCACCCCGACCTTCAGCTTCCCCGGGATCGGGGTCTGGAGACCCGTCCACGGCAGGGGCACGATCCTGGGGTCTTCGAGATGGGGCTTCGCCGCGATGACGTGGCCGGTGAACAGGTCCATGTCCCTCAGGCTCCGGCACATGGGCCCGATCGAGCACAGCACGTTGAGCTCGGCGGGGAACGGCGCCGCGATCATGTCCTTCATGGGCAAGGTGTACGACGTCGGCTTGAACCCGTAGATGCCGCAGAACGCCGCGGGCCCGCGGATGCTGCCGCCAATGTCGGTGCCGACCCCCAGGATCGACCCCTTCATGGCGATCAGGGCCGCCTCGCCGCCCGTCGAGCCGCCGGCGGAGAGGTGGATGTTGTAGGGATTCAGCACCCGGCCCCAGTGCGAGTCCGACTCCAGGTGCATCAGGGTCTGGGGTTGGTTCGTCTTGCAGTAGAAGACCGCCCCCAGGCCGCGCAGGATCGCCACCAGCTGGCTGTCCGTGTCGTTGTGGACGATGCTGCCAAAGGTGCCCGTCGACGAGAACGTCCCGGCGATGGGCATGTGGTCCTTGATGCTGACCGGCACGCCGTGCAGCGGGCCCACGGTCTTGCCGTGCTTGGCCAGGTACTCGTCGAGCGACTTGGCCTGCGCCAGCGCCTCGTCCATGAACCACTGCGTCAGGCAGCAGGTCAGCTGGTGGGCGACGATGGCCCGCTTGCAGAAGGCCGTGGCCACCGCGACGGCCGTGTACTTGCGGCCGGCGATGGCCTCGGCCAGGGTCGTGGCATCGGCGGTCTCGGTGATGGCGATCTCCTCGGGCGTCAGGATGCCAAAGGTCGTCGCGAGGCCCGAGACGTCCTGCGGCGGGCTGGCGACGACCTCCTGCGGGATGTAGTACTCCTGGGGGATCTTTTCGTTGAAGGCTCGAAGCAAGGCCGCCCGCTTGGACTCGTACTCTGGCGTGCCCTCGGGGACGTCCTTGGGCTGGATGACGTTGAACGGCCTGACCACCATATTTGCTTTTTGCTTTTGTTTTTCTGGACCTGGACAAGAGTTTGGCGACCGAGATGACTCGAAGCGATGATAAGGGACGCTGGACCGTCGAGGGCTATTTACGCGGCAGGTCGTCTGTTGGCCAGAAGCTCTCGGCCACGTTCTCGAGGTCGTTTGAGATTCCACGCGCTCTATCAATCCGTGGCAGCGAGGCTAGCGGCGTTGATCGTGCATCTCCGCTTTGCGCAAATGCTTCTCGCTGGCCACAGATATCCCCCTGTGTCCCCCAGTGGCTTGGAGGCTGGCCGCAGCCCTGCTTCGGGTCAAGCGTCGCGCACCAAAGCCCAAGCCAGCTTGCCCATCTCCCCGCAAGGTTCGAGGGGATTGTCCCCCCCTCTCTGGGATGGCGGAATTAATGTGGCAAAATGCCAGACCGGCCCCAGCCAATCCCCCCCATTTGCGCAACTGGGATCCGAGATAGGCAGAGCTGCGGATTGGGCTCAGGGACCAACGACCAGCCCAGCCCAGCGTTTGCCATGTCTTGTCCTAGTATGCTCAGTCGGCGAGAGCCACGCACAAGATACCGAACAGGACAAACTCGGTGGATGTTTATCAGCGACAAATCGGAGATTGTCCGTATCTCTCTGGGTGGGCGTGTTTTGTATGGGCCTCTATCAGACGCTTATTCTTCCCTCGATCTGCAACGAATAATCAGGAAAGGCTTTCCAGGTACCGGGTCCCTTGACTATCCTAGAACGTCCTTCTGCACACATGGCCCAACCACCACATTTCCGCACCGTTTCCCCAATGCAACGCAACGCCATGGATCTTGGACCGTCCTTCCACTATCTCCAGCCGGGGCGCCGATAGCGGCATTCGCTGGGATACCGCCACTCGATGGGAAACCCGGTCCTCTTGACCGCATGCCACGCGCAGTGGAGATGTCCACCCGGCCCCCAGATTTGTGGCCGTCGAGCAAGACGAAGCCTTACATGGACGAAGCGTCTAAAAAGTTATAAATGGGGGATGGGGGGAGGTCGACGAGGGTTCCGTGGTAAAGGGACTTAGAGTCTTATGTGCAGGAACCGGAGAAGAAACAGGGAATAGTAAATAAGTAGGGCCTGGGTTCCCCTTCTTTGTCGCCAGTCACCGGTCTATCCATCTCTCTCCCCCTCTCCCTCTCCATCTTCGCCTCCCCTTTGTTCCCTCGAGACAGGCCTCGCCTCGCAGCTATACCTTCAGCTAGACCTCCAGCTCCAGCGAAGTCGACACCATGGCCGTCCTCGCCGAGACCACGGTGGAATCCATCCCCGGCACGGTCCACCTCGTCGACCTGGACCATACCATGCACACGCGCCATGCCGACGCGGGCGCCGGTGACATTGTGCTGGTCCCGACCCCTTCCAACGACCCTGATGATCCGCTCAACTGGTCTCCGCGAAGGAAGATCCTGTCGACCATCTGCACGAACCTGTGAGCCTTTCTCTCTGTCCAAACCCCAGACATGGAACCCAAATACTGACGCGGACGGTGGTCAAACAGATACACCTGGTTCACTGGCATGAGCGTGTCGACCGTCTACTCTGTCTTGGTGCCTCTCTCGTCGGCGTCGGGCGTGTCCGTGTCGACACTCAACCAGGGCACGGGCTACATGTTTCTGTTCCTGGGCTGGAGCTTGCTCTTCTGGCAGCCGTTCTCGCTGAGATACGGCAAGCGCATGGCCTACCTGATCTCCATCCTCGGGTCGCTGGTGAGTTTTCGGGAACATGGACATGCAGTGTGGGCGGTGAGAGCGTGCTGACCTTTTCTTCCCCAGGGCACCAGCATATGGAGGTAAATGCAATCCATCCAGACCGCTCACAACCCCATCCTGACTGACCCTGCAGCGCCTACGTGACGAGCAACGGCGAATGGATCGCCAAGTGCATCATCCAAGGCTTTTTCAACGCCCCCATCGAAGCCCTGCCTGAGATCTCCGTCACCGACGTGGTATGTGCCTCTTTTTTGGATGTCATTATGCAGACCTGATGTTCGGGCGCACACAGTACTTCACCCACCAGCGAGGCACGTACATGGGCATCTACGCCTTCACCCTGGCCGGCAGCAACTACTTCACGCCCGTGCTCTGCGGCTTCATCGCCGACGGGCAGGGCTGGAGATGGGTGTTCTACTGGCCGGCCATCTTCCTGGCGGCCGTCTTTGTCTTCCTGTTCTTCTTCATGGAGGAGACCAACTACACGCGCAAGACGGCGGGCTTGATCGTCGAGGTCGACACGCCGCCACCGGAGCTCGCTGGCCCGATCGACGCCGCCGACAAGGAGAAGGGGTCCACGGCCGTGCTCTCGACGACGACGACGACGACGACCGCCCCGTCCGCCGCCGAATACGGCGCGCCCAAGACGTTCGCACAGAAGCTGTCGCTCTGGAGCCCGCAGCCCGGGCAGCCCATGCTGCAGCGCGCGTTCCGCAGCCTGACGTACCTGAGCTGGCCGGTCATCTTCTACGCGGGCTTCTCGTACGGCTCGTACCTGATCTGGTTCAACGTGCTCAACGCCACGGCCTCGATCATCCTGAGCGGCGCGCCCTACGACTTCAAGCCCTCCATGGTCGGCCTGTCGTACCTGTCGTGCACCATCGGCGTCATCCTGGGCTGTCTCATCTCCGGCCGCCTCAGCGACTGGCTGACCATCAAGCTCGCCCGGCGCAACAACGGCATCATGGAGGCCGAGCAGCGCCTCTGGCCCTTCATCCTCTGCGTCGTCCTCGTCCCGGCCTCCTTGATCCTGTGGGGCGTTGGCGCCGCGCACGGGGTGCATTGGTTCGGCCTGATCTGCGCGATGGGTTCGCTGGCCTTCGCCACCACGTTTGGCGTCACCCTCAGCGTCAACGTAAGTGCCGACTACTTCCCTTTCCGCATATCCCCCTGATCCAGTATCTGGGGAAGGTGTTTTTTCCCCCTTTGACCGTCGAAACCGCCAGACTGACGCAGCTGAACATGCAGTACATGATCGACAGCTACCACGGCATCAGCGGCGACGCCATCGTGACGGTGATCCTGGTGCGGAACACCATGTCCTTTGCGATCAGCTACGGGTAAGAGCCCACATCCCCCACCCCTTCGGGACCGCTGAAAACATGATCGACTGATCGACTGACTGGCTGCAGCATCACTCCCTGGTTGACCAACCTGGGCTACCAGAACTGCTTCATCTCCGCGGCCTTCATCGGCATGGCTGCCTCGTCCGTCTTCTTCTTCATGATCGTGTACGGCAAGAAGTTCCGCGTCCAGAGCGCCGCCAAGTACTGGAAACTTGTTGGCGCAGACAGGGAGAAGTCGGAGGCGCATTGAAGAGAGAAAAAAATGGGCTGGGTATTCGTGTATTCGAAGTGTTAGAGTCAGCACACCTAGATACAATACAATCAATGTGTGGGCTCGATGATTGCTCTGCCGTGTACAGCCTTCGTCGCATATCATCAATGCTTGGACGCGAGCGTCACAACGCCAGATTGCCGATCCGTAGGCTTTCGACGAATGCCAGACACAATATCAAGCAACACTGATGTTGGTAACAACGGGGATTCTAGTATGAATTGACGCAAGCCAACTACAAGTCAGAACTTTGGTCGTAGTCGAACATTTCCCCGGGCCGATCCAGAGCCTCCTTGTGATATGCTTGACATCGTGCAAGCTGGTGATGTCCAACTTGATAGCACATCAAGAGCAGTCGAGCAAACCATGTGATCACATGAAAGAGGAATGTCTGATGTGGCTGGCAATGCCCAAATAGGGGACGAGCCTTTCGGACCGCTCCTCTTCTCCACAAAACCATCCCTGCTGGATCCTCGCTCCCCATGTCATCTTTATGGGTCGAGCTTCCTGCCTGACGCCGCGCGTCGACTGATGGACCTGTAAGCGCTACAGTTGGGTGCTAGCAGAATCAGCCAGCATCTAAATTTGAAGCATGTCGATCAGAGAGGAATGGATGAGGTGCTTAGCAGGAATTCGCCAGTGCATCTTTCGGAATAGCTGGGGATCGTCCGTCCATAACAAGTTTGTTCAGGGCGAGATCTGAATATGATCGAGTAAAAAGCCCAGGCCGGTCGGTTTGAGGACAACCTAGACAGGGCTCAAGCACTGTGGGATAATATTGAAGCACCGGTGGGTAGCCAGCGCCGGAGACACAAGCCACATCGTTACGTCGGTCAAAGGTCAATTTTGGTGCCAGAATTTCCATCTGAAGTAGTCCACCTTCTGTCTGCCGTGGAGTTCGAACTCTGACAGCCGAAGATGGGTCGCATTGTACGAATGTCAGAGTGCTTCACCTGCAGATGATGGTGACTTCGCCCATTTCGCGACTCTTCAACCTCTCCGTCAGATCTTTCTCGCTGATCCCCAACTCCGTACAGATCTCGTCGAAACAGTGGGTGCCGTCCAGAAATTCCACTATCTTGGCATTTAGGGTCTGATTCTCCGCGTTGGATTTCCCAACACTCCTAGACTGCTTGTGCAGTTTGTGTCTGGTCCGCGGCGAGGACTCCTCAGCGAGATGTCGTTCGCTGGACATGCTCCGCGTCAAATTTGGATATTGGGTTGTTTCTCCGTCGGCCAATCCATGGGAGAACGTCCCCTTCTGCGTGCGGATGGCGTACCGGTGCACCCGATAGAGGAAACCCTTGATGACCCCGAACGTCACGAACCGCCGCATGTCAATGTTCGCGAGCATGTTTGCGTTCTGGGCGTACCATTCTCGCACGGTGAGACCTTGTCGCAGATTAGCGAAAAGCTGGACAATCCCGACGCCGTCAACGGGGTCGCCTTTACTCGTCAAGGGCCATATATCTTCGTCTTGGAGGGTCGCATTTGTCAAGCCGCTCGTTCGTCGCTCAGCGGCACCATCGATGATTGCTTCTTCTTGCGCACCCAGTGCAAACGCCGTATTCACGTACCTGGCGCACTCCTTTTGCATTTCGGTGTCCTTGGCGATCATGTTGGCAAATTCGGCGGTAGGGGCGTAGATCGCGTTGAAGCTGAAGATGTCGAGCAGTAAGATGCAGCCGTAGTATAGCAAATGTTTGACACACTTCTTCGTGAGCTTTATATCAGCGTCCGCTAGAACGGCGATCCGCTTCACACTATTTACACCATTGATGAAGGGAATGATTCGCAGCATCGTCAGGTCCCAGTTCTCGTCCACCATGGTCTCGATTCTAACGGTAAACAGGGGCACATGCCAGGGCTTGACGCTGGCCGGATTGGGCAGCGTAGGAAACAACTTGATGTTCAGCGTGTTCAATTCGTCGATAGGGATCATGCATTCACAGTAGCTGTTCAGGTCCTCCATCAGCATCTCACACAGGCTGTATATCTTGCCCGAGTTGGGGTTGGCGGCGTCGTCACTCAAAAAGTGCGACTGTTCCTCCAAGCTGCGCATCAAGTGCGCCAATTTCTTCACCACGGATTTGTACGAAGGCACATCAATCGTCGCAGGTTCGCCGAGGACCAGGGCGAAATTAAAGATGAATTCGTTGCGCGGGTAGTGAGGAGAAGTTAGGCATATGGGATACGACAGGACGAGCGTGGGAGGCGTGCTCGACGTGAGCGGCGGAGGCGACAGAGAGATCAGATTCCCACAGAGCGACTGACGAGGGATCACAAAACGCGAGATTGTAGAAAACGACAGCAGCGGAGCGGTCGGGGACGAGGTGGTGGCCGGGCCATTGGACGACCCAGATGGATCGCTCGTGGTCAAGATCGAGTCCTCAGGCACTTGGTGCACGATTTTGGGACCTGCACCCGTGTCAAAACTTGGGGCCAACGGTGTTCAAGGAGAGACGGGGCGGCGCGCCTTCATGAGGATCGAACTTGCTGTAGAAGATAGCTTTGATGGACATCTCGTCGTTGATTCGACGGTGCTCGCACCAAGTCAGGCAACTAGCTATGCCGCTGCAGAAGAGGAGGCTGCGCGAGGCCGGCTGTCTTCCAGCCCGAGATCCTTCACATTGCTCGAATCACAGTGTCTTTGGAAAATAGTCATCAAGGGTGCAGCTGCGGTAGGAAGAAGAGAGACGGGAGGAGTCGAGGCTTGCATTGCACAAGCAAGTCGCCGCGCCAGACCCCGTGACCCACCTCCGGGGCTGCCAGCCTCAACTTCTCAATGCCCTGAGATCTCAGCTCTCTGGATGACAACTGGATGACAACAAAGACTTCCAAATGTCGTCGACCAATGACTACAGGACATGATCCTTCCAACAATGCTCTAGCTCTCCGTGCATTACATACTCAGGACGAGGTCGCGCACCCGTTCCTATTGCCGCATCTCACCGCAGGCCGAATCCCACAACCGATTCCGCAGTCCGTGCTGATGACGTCGCCCTCCACCGCGTGTTTCATGCCTTAAGGGACGAGAAGCCGCTCGTGCTTGGCTTGTTCCGGCAAGGTGCGATGGTGACAGTGCAGCTCGCGTCGGCCTCTTGGAGCGATCGTTTATTCCGCCTTTGGGAGGGCTCTATGTTCACCCGTTCGGCTCCCGGGGCTTTGGCGAGCATTGGACGACGCCCATTCGCTCTCGAGCCGGAAAATACGCACGACCTCCAAAACCCCTGGAACGTGTTCCTTCCTTACTCATCGAGACTCAACACAATGATAGGTGCATCTCGAGCGGATCTGGCTCGAAAGGCCGCAGAGACAAAGTCAATATCTGGCCGAGCATCCGGGAAGATGGACAAGTATATCGAGGCACTAAGTATATCAAGGCAATGGCAGAAAGCCCAAGTTCACCTCGAGGAGCAGCACAGTCGCAAGCAAACCTGGGCACGACACAACACAAGAGAACCTGTCTAATATGGACCCCTTGAGCAGAGACATTATCCGAGCAGAGGTCGACGCAAATGACAGTCGACCCGACACCTTGACTTACATCGCCACTCACGGACCAGATATCGAGAGAGACTGGTCTCGATCAGACGTTTCTTCCCCCATTTCGCGCCATGTGACCCATACTTACACGGTATGACCGCACAGAGATTGCCTACGAAGGTGTTCAAGTGGCTGACAAGATGAGCAGAATGCCACCCAACACACACTCCACCCCGTGGAGCTCGAGCGAATAGCTAGATCACGGACACAACATCTTCTGACCGTGGGCAGCCGCCCGTCAACTGCTGCAAGACGGCGTTCGACAGCCACGGTACGGACACTAGGGGCCGGCAAGCCTCTACCGCCGAAAGATGAAATCGAAGGGTACGTGGTCGAATTCGAGGGCGTCGACGACCCCGAACATCCCCAGAACTGGCCATTCTGGTATAAGTATGTCTCCTTCCACTTTTGTGTCATCGCGGTCACTGACGAGCGTCTGCAGAGTTCAAACCTCCATAATCTTTTCCTTCATCACCTTCGTGGCCTCTTTCTCTAGCGCCATCTTCTCCTCTGCCATCCGCCAAGTGTCCCATGAGTTTCACGTCTCTACCGAGGTCGGCGTCCTGGGCATCACGCTTTATGTGCTGGGCTTTGCTTTCGGTCCCATCCTCTGGGGCCCTGGTTCCGAGCTGCTGGGTCGCAAAATGCCCCTCGTCGTGGCGATGTTCGGTTTTGGCGTCTTTGCTGTCGCAGCTGCAGTCGCCAAAGACTACCAGACACTGATGATCGCACGCTTCTTCAGTGGCTTCTTTGCCGCATGCCCTCTGGCCATTGTCCCCGCCTGCTTCGCAGACATGTACGACGACAGCCAGCGTGGCATAGCCATCACTGCGTTTGCAATGGCTGTCTTCTGTGGCCCCTTTGCCTCACCCTTCGTCGGCGGCTTCATCGCAGACAGCCACTTGCGCTGGCGCTGGACCATGTACATCGCGTCCATCATGGGCTTCCTGTCCACCGTCCTCACGTTGTTCACCAAGGAGACGTACGCACCGGCGGTCCTCGTCGCGAAAGCAGGACGAATTCGACGCGAGACAAAGAACTTCGCCATCCACGCGAAACAAGAGGAGGTCGAGGTGGACTTTCTGGAGCTCGTGGACGAGAATTTCATGCGACCCATCCGGATGCTGTTTACCGAACCCATCATCTTCCTCATCACTCTGTACATGTCCTTCATCTATGGTCTGATCTACCTTTTCTTGGGTGCCTATCCGCTCATCTTTCAGGGCGTGCACGGCATGAATGAAGGTGTGGGTGGCCTACCCTTCATCGGATTGATCATCGGCCAGTTTTGCGGCGGGATCTACATCATGATCGACCAGGTCGCATACAAGAAGAAGCTCGCACGCAACCACGGCGTGCAGATTCCGGAATGGCGACTCCCGCCCGTCATTGTCGGCGCCGTTGCCTTCTCCATCGGGCTCTTCTGGCTCGGCTGGACGGGCTGGAACAAGTCTATCCATTGGCTCGCGCCCACCGCTTCGGGCGTGGTGACCGGCTTCGGCATCCTTTGCATCTTCCTGCAGTGCTTCAACTACATCATCGACACCTATCTGATGTTCGCCGCCTCGGCCATCGCCGCCAACTCCCTGTTGCGGTCGTTCTTCGGTGCCGGATTCCCCCTGTTCGGGGACCAGATGTTTGACAATCTCGGTATCCAGTGGGCGGGGACTCTGTTGGGCTGCCTCGCCGCGGTGATGATCCCCATCCCCGTCGTCTTCTACCTCTGGGGCCACAAGATCCGGGGATGGAGCAAGACCCCGATGACAAAGGAGGCGTTTGGGAGCGAGGAGGAGGACATGAGACGCGAGAAGAGCGAGCTGGAGGTCTGAGTTTGTTACTTGGCCCGTAGCGGAAACTTGACGTTTTATGCATGCAAGTGTTGTGAGCGAGTGTAAAAGTTGCGTTCAGCTTCTTCTGCAAACGAGAACGAACCAACATGAAAATGGGTCACGGGAAAGGGAATCACGGTTATTAGAGCGGCATCCGGCACTTCTGACGCAGCACGGAGCATGGGGAGATACAGGTGGTCCTGGTCTGGGACTGGAGCGTTGGAAACGTTTACATTAATGTCTTACCTAAGTATTTATGGTACGAGTATAGTCGCCAATGGCAAACACACGAGCTCGGATCGAATACCTTGTACAGCTTCTCCTTCATATACTAGATGGACATGTACTCACTCCGCACAGGAATACGGGAAGAGTCACTCGTGAAAACAACAGCAGCAGAGGTTTCTGACTCCAATACCCTTTTTTGCGTAGGAGGTCTTTCCCTCGATGGGGAATTGGGGACAGTATCGAGTATTGTTCACCGATCAAGTGCCTTCATTTTTCACAGGGCACGAGCATGCTCTGTCGCTGAGATTCTAGTCCTAGTCCCGGTCCCGCTCGTGCTCGCGCTCGAGCTCTCGCTGGCCCCAGAAATGCAACATGTTCCACGCTAGCCTTTGTCCTTGCCGGGTATTATATGCAACATGCAAGAAACAAAGTTGAAAAACAGCAATGTCTCCGGAGACCGTATCCCTGTCCCTGTCTAGCAAATGCCCTTACCCATCCGATCCCATCCGGTGGCGTATCACTCCGCAATGATGCTTTTATCCAAATGCCGGCAAACGCCATAGTCGCCGAGTCTATAACTCAGCCATGCAGTATGCAACCAAACCATTTCCAACGCTATGCGACCTTGATCCGATTATAAGTTAAATGTCCGATGATGCTGTCGTGTCGTGCAGGTTACTGTGATCCTTGATGGTAGTCGTGGTACCGGCCGTCGTATGGAATGCTAATGTAGCGCCTCGTTGAACCAGAGTCCACGTTCCCTTGCTGGTGAACGAAGTGCCCCTCCAGACACCTCATAAAGTTCGTAAAGTCATCAGATTTCGTGTATGGTATGTCCGAACGCATTTTGCTTCGCTCTCTCACCTCATGTTCGCTTCAGCCTGTTCTAACAGTTCCAGCGTCAGAGCTTGCGTCGACGGACCGAGGTCCATGAAATCATCCCTTGGAAGATCCCATGGCAGTCTCCTCTTTCCCTTTGGCTGTAGCCGTGGTGACTCTGGCTTCTGTATTTTGATCTTTGCGCCCGGCGACTGTCGCTTGTACGTCTCTTTTCGGGGTTTGGACGGTAGGAGTGGAGGTGGAGCCATTGGAGCTGTCTTTTTTGCTGCTGATAGTATGGGTGGTGTTTGTTTCGACATGGCCATTTCGGCCTCCACTTCCTGGGCAAGGGCAATGAAATCTTCGTCTTCAATTTCGTTGAACACCGAGTTGAAGCTTTCGGAAAGACCCTTCGATAGTGGGACGCTGGACTTTGAGATCGGACTTGTTCTTGCTGAGACAGGGCTTGCTTTATGTCTGGGGGAGTATCGTGCCGGAGTCATACAGAGTGTAGCTGTAGTTGGTGAATTCTCTCGTGTCGATAGATCATCTGGGAGAGACCTTTGTGTAGCGCATAGCATGAGAAACGTCTCGTCATCTATACCATCAGTGAAATCTTCATCCAGACATCTACTTGATGTACAACGACGTCCTTGGTCTGAATCGTCTCCCTGGTTCTGTTTACTGCTTTCGCGGCATGTGCTTCCAAGTTCATTCTTGGGAAGCAGTATCTCTGTCGGAGAGCCTTGGGAGACTTCATTCCTAGAGGAGACAGTCGATGGAAAGCTCGAAATTGGCCGTGATTTTCCTGCAGGACTCTGTGGTGATTCTGTCTTGATTTCATGCAGAGATTGACTCGTTACTAGCCGTCGAGAATTGATCTGCGAAGGGCGCAGCTCTCTGAGTTTTGGTGACGCGCAAGGAGCAGACGATGTCGGTTTTGGTGAAGTGGGCACTGTTGAGTGATTGTTTCGTCCTTTTTGAGAGAGTTTCATGTTTGAAGAGGGGACAGAAGGAAGGCTCGCCGACTTAGGAGGATCTTGGACAGGTGCGACCTCCGCAACGTCTTCTGGTGAATGGTCGTGGAGCTCATGACGAAAAGTTTTCTCTTCTTGACCCTCAGTAGCTGGCTCAGCTGCTTGCATACCCTCTTCCTCCGCAATAGATTGAATTCCTGTCATCCTCTTCGACGACAGAAGTGCCGGCTTCTGTCCAAAGAATTTGTTCAGTCTGGGTTGACTGGCGGTCACCTTCCCCCAGGTCTCCTCGACACTGATTCGGCCTTCGTCCAGCATCTTCTGTCTGACAACTCGCTCCCTTTCAAGCTTCTCTTCCCGCTTGCGCTTGTTCTCCGTCCGTTGTCTCTCTTTCTCTAGCTCCTTCTTTCGCTTCTCTTCTCGGGCATCCAACCTGTCTGCGCGTGCCATTTGCGACGCAGTGTATCGGAAACCTCCCTCTTTCTTGTGAGCCCGCTTGGCCTCCTTCAGGGTCATCGGAGGCTTCACGGGCCGCGGCATCTTGGACGAAGGTAAGGATGTTCAGAGGGAAGCGGCTGAGTACAAGACGCAGTTCGCACGAAAGACAACCCTGGTGCGTTGACGCGATGGCTTGGGCTAAACAAATAGACGAGATGCACGTCACTTTAGGGCATGACGGAAGCATTTCCGCCTGCGGTCTGGTTGGCCTTCCTTGCTTCCCCTTGCCTTTTCATAAGGCTGAGTGCTCAACCACTTGGTCGTTGTGACTTCTATGATTCTTCGCCGCCATGTTCAGGCTGTTCCTCTTCCTCGTCCTCGTCTTCCGATTCTATGTCTTCGATAGGAAATGTCAGGATGGCCGCGATGCCTCCCAGGCCCTCCAATCGCCTTCCGCTCTCGTGGTCACTACTGAGTACTCTGACCTCTCCGCCCTCCACTTCTCTCACTTGATCCACGAGTTTGACCCATCTCCGTCTCGTGGCCACGTCCTGGCTCCGAAATAAGGAGTTGCTGATCAAGAGCACCCCTCCCCCACGACCCACGGCCCCCTTTTCTACGCAGGTCTCGACCTCTCTGGGTCCGTACCATGCCCGTCCGTCGTCTTTGCGTAGGAGAGCATAGAATTCGTCCATCAATGCAGTCTCCCGAGCATATTTCGTGTCCTTCAACCTCACCAGGACCTCTGGACTTTTGAGAACCTCGTTGAGACTGTGCAGGTGCCCGGAGCTGCTGTGGATCACAATAAAAGCGTTCCGCCTCACCAAGTCTTGTAGCATTTTGTCCCCTTTTGCAACGGCGGTCTCAGTGATCTGTTTCAGGAAGCCGGCGGCCGTGAACCCGGGGCTCGCAAGCAAGATCGGGAAACTCACGCTGCTGTCTTTGTGTTCCATCAGGCCTTGAAGCTGTCTCATCAGCGTGTCCAGCACGGTACTGTAGAATTTGGTCAAGCCTTTGTCGTGATCCGCGGATCTTCCGGCGCCTGTCCGCTTCCGCGGGACCGAGACCTCGACTCTCTGCCTCAAGACGGTCTGGAATTGTGTGATGAAGCAAATGTTGGCCAGGCCTTCCTGCATGACGACTGCGACCGCTTCAGTGCCCCTCGAAGGGTCTATGGCCTCTTCCAGCTGCGCCCGGGCGACACTGTCCCAACCCTCGGCCCCACCACTGCCTTCGACTACCTTCTCAAGGGTAAAGTTACGCTGCAGCTCGAGGTCCAGGGTATGGAATTGCCCTATTTTTGTATATCTGTTCTCTCTGGCAATCTGGCCGGAGACGTGCAGTTGCCCAACCTGGGGGTCGAAATCCAAGGACTTGACCCGTATAGTGAGGTTCGTGTGGACTCGTTGAGATGACGTAGATCCCGTGGACGAGGACTCGGTGGTTACTCGTCGTATAGCAGAGGCAGTGAGAAGGTCTGTGGGTCGAATGAGGTTGTAAGCATGCCACTAATGGAACTTTTCAGAATGAGCGCGACAGGAGCGGAGAGGTGATGGACGTACCATGTCCTCAGGTTCTTCAGGGCATAACGTGACACTCCCACTCCCGTCGTCATTGATATTTCGCTTGACCAGGCGCATTGCGACGATGTCTTAGTCCGGTGTGACTGAATTGCTAGTAACATGAGCGGTTGCAATTACAGGGCGGTAGGCACGCGGCTGGTGTGAATGTGTGTCCATGAAATGAGGGGCGCGATTGTGACGTCGGCTTGTGCGTGGGGTTTGAACTGCATTGTGGATCTTGGTCCCGATGCGCAGGCGAGCAAATTATATCGGCCAGTGACTTCATCTTTGGTATCTTGCACTGTCTCGCACAGCCTCTCCTTGGGGCGCCCTCGAATAGTAAATCGTGACCTGCGATTATCAACCGTCCAAGACTCTACTTCCGGCCTCTATTTTCTCTCCCCTTTCCGACCTCCATCCGCTCCAACTCACTCTACAGGCCACCGAGACACCGCCAGTCTGTCCTCCTTAATGTTTCTGCCAGATCGACCCTCGCTTCTTCCCGGGCAGCCTTCTAGCTCTGTCTTGTTCTTGACTGAACTTTCGCCTGCCGTGTCGGGGACCATGTCGAACCTCATTTTGACTTGTCTCTCCGAGTGTACCTGTATCGTCCTACCGATATTCGATCGTTGCGGCCTCTAGTCCTTTCGGCAGTCCACTCGTGGCAGAACTCCCGTCCAGATTACCCGGTCTGGTCGCGAGTAATTACTTGTATACCTGGGTACTTAATACAGGTCCGCATAGGTCCGCCAGAGTCTGTACTTGTTGTTCGGGAAACAATACGTGTTGACCTCTGCCGCCTGGTTTACTATTGCCTCTTTCTAACTCTCAAATTCCAGCTTCTTGAATGCTCAGAGCTAATGAGTGGGGACATCAATGCTCGTCGTTGCTTGAGCCTTAGATGGACTGCCAGGTCCACATATTCAGCCCCATCTTGTTCCCAGAAGTCACTGGCATCCCAGCGTGCAAGGTCTGGGGGTTGCCCTTGCCATCGCCACCGAGGTTATTCCAATACACGGCATTCCCCTGGATGGGCTTGAAGGTGACGCCGTCCTCGAAGGGCCGATCGCAATCGATAAACTGGCACCACCACTCGTCCTCCTCCGATGGTGGCGGCAGTCGAGGGAAATTTGTACCTCCCCCAGTGCAATTTGCGTGTATGTACACGAAGAAGGTCGACGCCACATTGCCGCCAACCGCATTGGCGTCGCCGTACCAGTCGTAATGGTCTCGATACTGCCCTGCGATGCCGTAGTTCTGCACGACCAGGGGCTGGAATTCACCCACGGCCTTGTAAAAGGGAAAGGCACGGGCGCGGTCCTCGATTTGTCGGATGATCTGGTCGTTGGGGAGCTTGGCCGTCATGGAGGATCGATAGGCCGAGTCTCGGTGGACTTTGCCTTCATCGGTCCAGAGGACGGAAGGTTTGAATCGAGGTTCGCTGGAATACCAAAGTTTCTCAGAGGCTCTAGCTCCTGGGAACTGCAATTGGGCATGCGGAGGTTGTGCACTTACGCGAGCTGGACCAGATGAGTCGCTTCTTGGGGAGTGATGAAGTCTTTTATGTACACCACCAAGGGCTCTTCTGACAGTAGATATGTCTTTGGTCCATTGCCATGGCCAGCGTTTTTCTTCTGCCAGAGATTCAGAAAGTCCCAGTCGGAATACAAGCGGCCGGCGCCGAGAATGACCGCCAGGACAGGTAGTAGTATGAGAGACAATCTCCCAGCTGGTGTCATGTGTGGCATCAGATATGCGTATGCGAGGGACTACCTTAACCAGCGGAGAGCTCTGAGGAACATTTGGATATGTAAGAAAGGGCTGGTCAGATCTTTGTTCCAAGAGGTCGATCTTGAAGGCGCACAGCAGAATGCCATCGTGCTCTCGGTAAAAGAGCCGACTGGCTCCTCCTGTACCTGCAGATATCATCTAGTGAGATATGTATCCTGTTGGCTTTTGAGGACAAAGGATATCACCACTTTGTACACAAGCCATGCTGCCTCAGAGTCGACACCTACAGTCGAAATGGATATTCAGATGCTGTTGCGAATATGGGTCGCAGTCTCCTGCTTCATCCATGCTTGTAAGGCTGAGCTTAAGTATACCGATCCCCGAACGTTGAAAGACCTTCTGTCAGCATCATCGAGCAAGGACAACATAGTCATTGCTGTCTGTGAGTTATGAGCCATCCCATATGTCTGCTGTCACTAAAGATACCTTGGGAATTCTAGTTTGTCTGGTGCGTTGCCTCTTTTCTATCCAGCTCTGATCGCCTCGACTCACACACTCGTCGTCGCAGCCTTGGTAGTACGTTAAACCAAATACCGCTTCGTCGTCGTGAGCCCTGGATTGATCATTCCCCAGTGACCGATGCAAAGATTTGGCGCCTGAATTAGAACTTGCCCATGAGGCACTGCAACCATGGCCGTCGGCCCAATTGCTACTTGTCAACTGCGCGACGGAACCCGATGCCTGTACTTCATATGATATAACTTCCTACCCGACTATTCGGCTTTTTCATGGCCCAAAACAGATTCGATATCGCCGGAGATTCAAGTCTTCCTCGTGAGTGTAGCTTTTGGCTGATGACTTTGCAATAGTTAACCTGTCCAGCATCGTAACCAAAGTGCTCCAGACTATAGTGCCACTGTTTTCCCAGCCCGACAGGCAAATCTTCGACACGTTGAAGTCCTTGGACATCCCACTGCTTCTATTTGCGGACTCCGAAGATGAGACTTCTCAATTGTCGACGGTGATATCCCAAGTGGCCGACAAACTCCGTGGCAAGTTCTTCGTGGCAACGACCACCGACCTAACCTTGGCCGAAGAAGAGAATGCCCAACCACCCTTTGTGGTTGTTTGGAATGCTCTTGACGAAGTCAAGCCGGTATATCGTGACGAGCTTGAAACAGGACCTATCCTCCGGTTCGCGGGAAAGATCTCGACGCCATTAGTCGGCAGGTTGGACTTGAAGTCATACATCGACCACACAAAGGTTCCAGACACCGTTCACTTTTTCTCATATGTTTCCCTGCTGACCAAACCTCCAGTCTGGCCTGCCCCTTGCGTTTATTCTTGCGGAGACCGAACAGCAGAGAAAGACCATCGCCGAATCACTGAAGCATATAGCTCTCAAGTACAAAGGCAAGGTCAATTTTGTGACCCTCGATACAACAAAGCTGCCCTTTTTGCTCGAGCCGCTTGGGGTGGACGCGGCACGCCTCCCTGCATTCGCACTACACCGCGGTGACAACGATGAGGCGTTTGTCTACGATCAGAATCGTCGAATCAATGGGAAAGACGTCGGGATCTTCATCCAGAGGACTCTCAGTTGGCCCGTGAAGGAATTATAGGCAGTTGGTTCGCCACAGAGCAGCGTCGAAATCAAAGCTCAGTCTGGCTGCTCAACTGAGGGCGATACCTGGTCTGCATCTCGTCCCCTTCCACTCAAACATCTCCCCTTTCTGAGTTAGCAGACTCATCATCCTTACCGTCCTGATCTGCTCGTGGATTCCGTGGTGCTATAATTGATGCCAACGCGGCGGTCAATTTGAGACGAATCCGAAAGCGAAAATATGTCCGGGAAGGAAGCTCTCTACTACGGGCGCTGATTCGTGAAGGTGTCCATTTCCAAGGAATGATTTCCATCTCACCAACCGCAATTGCACCTTACGATAGGCAAGCACTTCGTCTTCAACGATCTCCCAAATTGGATCTATGGCTTTGGCTGGTTCTCGTCGCAAGGCTCAGCCTTGGATAATCGTGAGGTTTGGTGAAGATGAGACTCTGTCGATGAAGTTCCTACCATATGAGGATGTGTGTTTCTCTTGCTTCTTTCCTGGAATCAGGATTCGATTGGCGCCGTTCAAGCGCAAACGCTTTGCTCCATGTTTCGTACCATTCTCCACCGAACATATCTTGAGCTCCATCTGCAACTCCAACTGGGCGTGGCCGTGTTACAATCTCTTGGACCTTTGTGAGACCTCTCTCCGCTGCGAGCATGTTTGCGATGATACGGACACAGTGCTGGGAGCTAGGCTGTTGGAGTGACGGCCGAACAAACGCAGCGCATAAACCACACCACAAATTCTCGAAGCACTCTTCAAAAATTTGAGCATTGTGCGTGCAATGTCGAACTTGAGCTGTGGACCTTGGGAGTCTGATCGGATCTGCCACGCTAGGACACCGTTAAAGCACCACCGTTATCAGCCCTCTGGCATTCCGAGCAGCCAACGTGGCATATTTTTCGCCGCGGGTGAGGAGGTATTTTGAGTGTCAGCTAGCCGGCGAAACAGTTTGCAAACTGTCCACTTAGCGCCGCCTTAGGTGGTACGGCGGCTGAGAGGGACACGAGCTCATTTTCAGGGGATCGCGTGGCCGACAAGCTCCTCAAACGGTGTGTTATCGGTGGGCTCGAGAGGCGAAGAGGAACTCTCGAAAAGGGAGAGGTCAACTCTTTCTCGACGACGGCAAGTGAGGAGTCTGTAAGATGTCCAGTTAGAGAAGCGTGCAGCCCGCAGCCTGCATCGGTGCGATCGTGACCAGCCCCCTCGGAGCAAGATGAGGAGCTTCAAATCAAATTGGATCCCCCACCAAGGGCTTGTAGGCGTCCAAGCTAGGGATAGTGGGGTGCCCCAGCCTCCCAGGCTTACCACCCCAAGGAGACACCTTGGTACCTAGGTAGGTAGGGCTCCTAGGTACTGGTGGCACTGGTGGCACGGCTTTGCAGACGGGCTCCACCGACTGCATCATATTATGTTATACCTGCCGCTCAACGCCTTCGCCTCCGTCCTCCGTGCCTGGAACCAATATCAACAGTTCGTTTTCGCAATCCCCCGCCGCCTACTTTACCCATCACCAGATTGTTCCACATCCTGCGTTCTGCGTCGTGTCCTTTCGCATATTTTCGGATTGATTGATACCATCCGATCTCTTGACAGCTGTCTTCTTGCACCACCTGCGCCTCTCTCAATCAGAGTCCGACCGCCTCAAGCTTTTCCGAAAGCTGTCCGCCTGCTGCCTATTACGCAATTGAGTCGATTTCACCTCTTGCCGAATCTTCTCAGTCTTATCAGTGCCCTCGCCTGGATCGCCTGCCATGGGAAGCTTCGTGTTCAAATGGTGAGTCGAGGCGCATCCCTACCTACTATTTTGTCACCGCTTCCGTCGTCCCCTGAGCCCGGCGCCAAGTTCCACCAGCCCGCTGACACAGGTTTCTAGGCCCCATCCCGAGGCCAACGATGTCCACGTTACGGGCACCTTCGATGACTGGGGAAAGAGTGTCAAGTTAGACAAGGTCGGCGCCATCTGGGAGAAAGAGGTGGATTTGCCCAAGGCCGACGAGAAAATCTTTTACAAGTTCGTCGTCAACGACCAGTGGATCATTGATCCCGAGGCTCCTCAAGAGGACGACGGCCGTGGCAACGTCAACAATGTGCTCCTACCCGAAAACATCAAACCCAAGGCGTCCATGGTGCCCGAAGCTCTGACCACATCCAGCGCAGCTCCCGAGAGCACAACAGCAGCCATGGCTGGCCAGGTACCCTTAGAGCCGAAGCGAGAGGCCACCGAAGGTGAGTGGAACGCCAGACCATTTAATCGCTGTCCTGAGCTTATCGTGCGTCTAGTTACACCGGCATCCGAATCCCACCTCAACAAAGAGACCACTGAAAGCAGCGTCCCAGGCACGTTCCCTGAGACTCCAGCCAAGGAACCAGATTCGTATGGCGTCAATCCCTTGCCGCCCACCAGTGGCGCAGGTAATCCTGTCGACCTTCCTGCAGGCGAAAAGGTCCCTCCTCCTGGCGAAGTCACGACAAATACCACCCATTCTGCAGTGACCACTTCCAAAGAGGACTACGAAAATGCGGGCTCGGGCATCCCAATCATTGGAGGAGCGCTTGCTGCGCTGGGTCTTGGAGGCGCTGCAGCCAAAAAGGAGAATTTGATTCCAGAATCTTCTCTACCCATGGGCGAGGAGGCAGGGAAATCACTCGATGCGGGTCCTTTCATCAGTTCAGCTGGAGCATCGTCGACCACGGCCGAATTGGCTGGGAAAGTGCCCTTGGAAGACAGCAAGCCGGCAACTGAGGTCAATCACGCGCAAGCAATCACATCTACCGTACCCGAGGTGGTCAAGGAGTCGATTGCGGAGGCACATACTGAGCCTGAGGCCACGGCATCTGCCGAAGTCGTCAAAGAAAAGGCGGAGGTAGAAGAGGAGCTGGTGAAGAAGGTGCCGGAGGCCGACGAAGCTGGAGAGCCCGCACCAACGATCGCAGCCGCCACGACTGAGACCGTGCCATCACCCACTCCAGCTCTATCCGGCGGTCCTGTGCCTGGGACCTCCTCCACGGCTGCGGCCGCGGTGGCTGACGGCGCCGATGGGACAGTCGAGCCCACGGAAGCTCCAACGCACAAGGTGGAGGCAGAGAAGACGGAGGCGGACACCACTGAATACGCACCGCCCCATGCGGGAGGTGCAGCTCCTGGAGTGTCGGAGTCCGCAGCGGCGGCGGTCTCTGACGGCACAGAGGACCCCACTCTCGCCGACGAGCCTGCAGTGCAAATGATGAACAAGAATGAAGCTGAAGCCTCAGGAGCACCAGCGGCCGAGCCTGCAGCAGCGGCAGCAGCTACCACTGCGACCGAACCCGCAACGGCCACCGCACCTACTACGGCGGCATCAGAATCCAAGAAGGAGGAGACCAAAGCTGCAGCACCCACGAGTGCCACTTCGACGCCGACCAAGAAACCCGAAACCACCCCAACCACCACACCTTCGTCCTCGGCGACCAAGGAGAAGAAGAAGAAGCACCGAGTCAGCTCATTCTTCAAGAAAATCTTTGACTAGATGCCAAAGAGAGCAGCGGGATGTCATACAGACCAGGAAAAGGCTGAGGAATGATGCTGCAAGCAGATCTGCAGGGCGGAAGTGGAGGAGGGGAGTGGGATTCGTGCGGGAGCAATTGGGAATGCATTGCGAACGGGTCGGCGCACCCGCTGGGGTTTGGACAGCGGATTCGTGTTGATTTGGGACTTGTTTGTCTTGTAGATATCCCCTTCCGTTGTGTTTGTATTGGGAGAGAGACGGGAGCTTTTTGTGTTCCATAATGGCTAATCGGAATGTGTTGATGCGGCTTCGGCAGTTGCTCATTGATTACTGGCTGAGATCATGGAGGGGGAGACGTTTCTCGTCGTGTTCTAGAAGCACCAGAAGGATTCTCGAAGCTGTGGAAGCACACGCAGCTCCTCCAGCGCAGCCGGCAACATGCAGCCCGATGCGCGATCCTTCTTCCCTAGGGCACATGGTGTAAGCTTGAGTCCTCTCCTGCGACTCGTCTTGTCTGCCAGTTTCACGTAGAACCCGTGCCGTGTGCTTCTTAGACCCTAGATCTTCGTTGCTCGGAGGGGGGAGCAGACTCCCAGGTGATCCGGTGGCTGCACGAAGATGCGTGTCGGGGCCAATCAGTGCGTTGGTTCGGCTCGCCGTTGACCGCCTAGTTGATGCGGCATCTGTAGCTATGACATCGCCCACCGAGCTCCCGGGTTGTTACTGGCTGGAGAGAGGTAGCTTCAGGAGCTTGAAGTCAATCGAAGGGAGGGGTTGACAGGCTGCGGACGGGTAAGGAGAGGAGAAGGAGGAGCTGCCCCTTTGCTGGCGCTGGCGCTGGGCTGGCCTGTGCTACGAGATCTCGTGGTTGGGTTATTCTTGCCCTGTTTTCTTTTTCCATCGAGCGACATGACATAGACAGCTGCTGGAGGAGCAGAGGGAGCTGTTTGTTCGATCGAGCAACGTTTCAGAAACCACTGGCGAGCTGCCTGAGCTGCCTGCGCTGCGCAGCTCGTAAAATAGACTTCAGCAACCCATTTCATTCCCCCCTCTCGTCTGTCCTCCCGCTGGCCTTCTTTCCTCCTTTTATATCCATCCCCCGGCTTTCGTCTTTCTCGCCTGCCCGCTTGATCGTGTGCTATCCAATCTCTGGCTCCTTGAACCAAAGTGGTCCTCGGCTACCCCTCCACTGCGTCATCTGCGACTCAGAGTTGCTCACTGCCCCACTTGCTCTCATTTCCTCACAACCTCGAACGAGCCTACCACTCCCTCTCGTGGTCTGGTTCGCTCCACCGCCGCCAGAATCCAGCACACCTCGCCCTTGACCAGTGGGCAGCACTTGAACCAGCAGTGGGCATCCGGCGGCCGCTGAGTTGCCTGAGATAGGCATTACGCCCTTGTCCATCCTGCCCCCTGTTCCCCCCTGCTTGTCGCAAACCACACGGCCCTGCAATCCGTCAGGTCTGAGGCCCACGGTTTCACGGACCACGTCGGTGACAGGCCACCCTACCTACCCAAAAGAGGGTCCTTCCGTCTCCTTCTAAGCACCAAACGACCTCCAGTTGAGTCAGTCCACAGGAGAGATTTCCTAACCGGAGCTTAAGCCAACGACGAGTCGCAGGTGGTCCCTAGGGTCTCAATACCCGCACCCAAACAACGTCCCTCCCCCACATCCTCAAACCTCGCCGCAAATATCCATGTCTCTTCCTGCTCCTCACCAAGCTATTGTTGATGCTCTGATCAAGGACTTGAAACAAGCCAAACCCGACGACCCTCTCCAGTACTGTGCCAACTACTTCAGTCGCCAGCTCGAACTCGAGCGGTCCTTACACAGAGCAGGAAGTCCCTCCCCGACCGCAAACGGCAAGATGGCAGACACCGCTGGCCCTTTCGACAAACGCAGCCCCTTCGCAGCCAAGAACAGCATACAAGAGGAGGATGAAGAACGCGACACCTTTGGCTCCCCTACTGATGCTACCTTCAAAGCTCGTGATTCTGGTCGGTCCCCTTTCGGCGGCTCTGGCTTTGGCGCCGCCGCTGGAGGCGCAGCCGGCGGCGGCTTGTTTGGCAACTGGCTGGGCAATCAAGCGTCAGAAGAGACGGAACCACAAGCTCAGTCGTTGCCCAACAACTATGCTGCAGGACGCAGAACTTCGGTGTCGGCTGAATCCATGCAACCGGACTCGGATTCAGGCAGTTGGAAGCCGCCCAAACACCCCAAGACGCCCGAGCAGTACGAGAGGCTCCGGCATGCGGTGGCCGGCAACTTTTTGTTCTCCAGCCTCGATGAAGAATCTTTCAATCTAGTGCTGGACGCGTTGGTGGAGAAGACCATTCCCGCCCCCAATATTAAAGTCATTACCCAAGGTGATGAAGGTGACTACTTCTACGTCATCGAATCTGGAGATTTTGACATCTACATCAACCCCAGCGGAGCGGTCGAAGCGGGGCCAGACGGCATGGGGAACAAGGTGGCGACCATTGGACCTGGTGGCAGCTTCGGTGAACTGGCGTTGATGTACAATGCTCCTCGAGCTGCGACCGTGGTGAGCTCGTCCAAAGGAGGCTTACTCTGGGCGTTGGATCGTGTCACGTTCCGGCGAATTCTCATGAACAATGCCTTCCAGAAGCGAGAAATGTACGAAGGGTTCCTGGGTGAGGTGCCTTTGCTCTCATCCCTCAAACCTTATGAGAGGTCCAAGATCGCCGATGCCTTGGAGACGGTCAAATATGAGCCAGGTCAGAACATCATCACCGAGGGAGAGCCCGGCGACGCCTTCTATCTTCTGGAGTCTGGACATGCTGTGGCTTACAGGCACGGGGTGGACCATCCAGTCAGAGAGTACGGTCGTGGTGGTTTCTTTGGCGAGCTGGCCTTGTTGGATGACAAGCCTCGTGCCGCCAGCGTGGTAGCAAAGGACAATGTCACGGTGGCTAAACTCGGAAGAGACGGGTTCAAACGGCTTCTCGGGCCTGTGGAGAGTATCATGAGACGTGAGGAGTATGAGAACGCTGAGGAGATGGATCCCTTGACCCAAGAGAAGACGGTGACATAGTTGTGGGTGTCGGTCGAGGGGCTCTCGACTAGGTCGTGGACCGGTGGATCGCAGGACTGGGGGGGACTGGACCGTGGCGAAATCCAGATATCAAATACCAAGCAAACGACGCTGCAGAGAACTCACAAAATGAGTTGGGTTCAAACGGAGGCGGATCGGGAACCGCGAGGCTTCTGGGTCAGGGTCGATTGAGGCTGCAGCGATGCACTCGGAGGCAAGCGCAGGCTTGAATGAAATAACGGAATACCAAGGGCGGCCATTAGCTAATGAAAATGAATTTTCTACATGCATTCTGCACCCACATGTCCCCCCTGGTTGATCTATCCACATGTCTCGTTGAGAATCAGCTCCTCTATACTCGACACCTCTTCTGTAGTGGTGAGTGAGGGGTGTTGGGCATGTGGCCGGGAATGTGAGTTACGTCAGCCCCTCGGCAGAGTTTCCCTCGGCAAACCTGCATCTGACGACCCCGTGCCCCGTCTCCGCTCCCCCCTAATTGCCCGGCCCCGGTCCACTTCCTGGCCTTTCCGATGCCCATACAAGCAGGACTTAGGTAAGATGGTAATATCAGACCAGGCTGACATCTCCTGGGAATCTTTAAATGCACCGTCCTGTCCTCATCTCACCGTCCTTTCTTTCCTCTCCTTGATTTCACCCACTTCAGAATGATTGCAGATCTTGGGACACTCTGCAGCTCTGCGCGGTCTTGGTCGGCATCATTTCCGGCCGTAAATGCCAGCCGCGCCCCCTGACCGCGACGCAATGTGTCGATTACTGATCGTACTTCGAGGTGCCTGATTGGCTTCAGCCGGCAGTCACTCAAAGCAGCAACTTCGTTTGCCCCCAATGACTGGAGCACATTGGAGGCTGGGTGACGTCCGTTGACGCTTTTCCTCGCTGTTTTGACTGCATGTTATTCAGCTTGCGCCCTTCCTTCTCTTTGGGGAGTCAAACTCCTTCGCTGTCTTCCGCAGTGTCTCCCTTTAGCCCGAGGTATCCCCTTACCCAGGTAGCCGATGTTCACTAACCAGATAATGCTGCTCTCTCTGAAATGGGGTGCTGCGGTGTTTGCCATCTTTTGACCCGGTCGACCAGATCGTATCTGAGGAAAGGACCTCGCACGTTCACAAATCCTCCTGGTGTGGCTCCCTGTGAAGAAGCTGTTCAACCGGTTTCCCAACTGATGGCGTGACATTGAGGCGGAGCAATCAAGCGATCCATATAAATTTCAACATCGGCCTGCTGTAACCGTGAGTTGCCGTGCTCTTTTCGTCGCATACAGCCAGCGGACTCCGAAGCTCTCTTTTTGACACCCATTTTCATCTCCCCGAACACATTGGGGCCACATTGGCTATAGCAACTCTACTCTTGTACTCGGCTGTGCTCGAACTCACGCGTGCCTCTATGTCAGCCTCAGCGAAGGACGAACACACCGCTGAGACGGAGAAGATGGGCGAATCTGATTCAGACAGCTCCTCCGTCCATTCGCTCCCTGTTCCCATTGCCACGATCCAACCTGACCTCGAGAAGACGGCAAGCAAAGCGTCGCACCGAACCTCGAGAAGTGGCCGCTCCAACCATGTCCCAACAACAGCGCAGGACTGGGATGGTGAAGACGACCCAGATAATCCCCTGAATTGGCCCTTGCCCATCAAAATCTACCATACTCTGGTCCCTGCACTGCAATGCTTCACCATGTACGTGGAACAATGATGGCGAACCCGTTGCGAAGAGGCTAACCTGAGACAGTACTTTTGGCTCCTCGGTGTATACTCCCAGTGAGCATGAGCCCTGCCCAAAAAGGATTGCTTCATTCTGACATTCGCGTAGGCGTACCAGAGGTGGCTCGCCACTTTGGCGTTAGCACTACAGCCGCATTAGTCCCTCTGACTGTCTACGTGATGGGTCTGGGATTCGGCCCAGTCCTCAGTGCTCCCCTCTCAGAAACCTACGGACGCCGCGCAGTCTACTGGTGCTTCTTCCCGCCGTCTCTCCTCTTGTCTCTCGGCGCCGGTCTCTCGAAATCATACGCATCCCTCGTCATCTGTCGCCTCTTTGCGGGTCTGTTGGGCTCAGGCTGTCTGGCCGTTGGGGCCGGCACCAATTCTGACCTATTCTCCCATCTTCACCGCGCCGTTGCCAGCGCGGTGTTTTTGCTGGCACCGTTCTTGGGCCCTGCATTAGGTGTGTAACTCTCTATCTGTCAAGTGGGCGGCTGGCTAACAATATTGGCACCTGTAGGACCTACGTTGGGTGGATTTGTTACTATGAAGAAAGGCTGGCGTTGGACACAATGGCTGATCCTTTTCTGGGGAGTCATCGCCTACGCCATCTCACTCCCTCAGAGAGAAACGTACAAGAAAATCATCCTGAAGAAGCGAGCACAGAAACTTGGCCTCCCGCCTCCGCCGAACCCACTGCCACCTGGCATGTCGAAACTTCGGTTCGTTTTGGTCGTCACGATTATGAGGCCGCTGACGATGCTCTTCACCGAATCCATAGTCGCGTTCTTCAGCGCCTACACCGCCTTCAACTTCAGTGTCCTATTCGGATTCTTTGCCGCCTTTCCCGTCGTGTTCCAGTCGCCTTACCCCGAGATTCAGGTCTACCACTTCAACACCGGTGAATCGGGTCTGGTGTTCTTGGGAATAGGTCTAGGTTCCGTATTGGCGACCTTCATTTTCATTTTCATCGACCGCCTGATATACCGGAAGAAAACGCTCAAGAGAAGATCGCAAGGAGATTTCACACCCTTGCCCCCGGAGGAAAGACTCTGGGCTGCAATGCTTGGCTCCTTTCTCCTGCCGGTCGGACTGTTCTGGTTTGCGTGGACCGCTAAGAAGGAGATACATTGGATCTCGCCAATCATTGCAACCATTCCGTTTGGTATCGGCAATCTTCTGGTTTTCTGCTCCTGCGTCTTGTATCTCATCGACACGTACGGCCCGTTGACGGGTGCCAGTGCCGCCGCGGCAAATGGATTCTTGAGATACGTGATTGGCGCGGTGTTTCCCCTATTTACAGTGCAGATGTGAGTTGATCTATCCCTCAGAGGCTGTTGTCCTGCTGGGGTTCGCCTTTTACTGACTGGAAGCAGGTATCGCGGCATGGGCGTCGCTTGGGCGACCAGCCTATTGGGATTTGTCACCATCGCTTTGCTGCCCATCCCTTGGGTCCTATACAAATATGGTCCAAGAATCCGACAGCGAAGCGCGTATACGTTGGTGTCATGAATTTGACCTCTGCAGGTCGACCAATTTGCAGACGATCGCAAACGTTGTGGATTCTTCTTTTGCACATGGATTTTCCTTTCACTTATTGGAGGAGTCCACTCTGACGCTCAGTCACCGGCGAAGAGTGGCAAGCAAGGTCCATTGCAGTCATTCGGCATCATTTCACTGTGGCGCGGCAGCGTGAGAGATTTGTTATGGAGGATGGCATTGGAGCACACCTCATTTTTGAAGTTGAGTGTGGGGCGAAATGGAAATGCATGTACGTTTATATATAGATCGGGATAGACATACAGGGTACATAGCTAATAACAACCTAAGAGACTATGCTCTCACAAGACTCCCAGCCTATTCAACTCTACTATTCCTCGAACTCGTCCTCACGAGAAAGGAGAGTTGCCCACCTACATGTCTTATACTCCATCTTCGAGTCGGACTTTCAAGGAATCTCGACGCAGTTCGCTGGCAGAGGACCAAGCCCCGAAACCGCCTTCCCCTCCACACATACAAGGAGCTTTTCTTGCCAATTGTAAGTGAAAGGCTGAATGGGCCGGCTTTGCCGTGCTTCCAAATTGCTTTTTTCCATCATCAGCAATCCAACATGTACTGAACTACACCTGAGGATTACTGTTAGAGACGGCCTCTCATGCGACCTAGGAGCAGGATGTTAAGGAGAAGGTCTGCCGAAGATCAGACAGCCTGGCGAGACCAGGGCAGGAACGAGGCTGAGCCACGTGATGATTTAAAAAAAAAAAAGGGAAACCCATGATATGTTGATATGTTGGCATGGACCATATCAACATACTAACATACCATCTCCCACTGCCTCTTCGGGAAACCCTCACAAGTATATAGCCCCGCTCATTACCCTTCCATAGTTACGTTCCCTCGTAGCCAACTCATGACATCTGCTTGACTATACTGTTCTTCAGTTACTTGACTACATATACCTTACGTCCTCTGGACCCAGCTCATGCAATAAAGGATCTGTGACTGAGGAGCCTAACCCGTTTAGGTTACACAGAAGCAGCTCTGACAATTACATGTTGTAAAGACCAAACCAATTGAGTTCCTTGGAGAGACATCTGCAAAACAATCACTGGATACCTAGGTAGTAGGTACCAAGGTACGTGTAATTCCGTCCTAGGACTGGCAATCTAAAACGTGGCTATGAAACTGATTAACGGCTAAGGTACTTTAAACTGCCACCAAGCTTTCGCGCCAAGCCGTCAGGAACCTAAATATCAACTTCTCCGCCGAGGCACTGGCGGGCTGCACTATCTTCAGCCTGATCATTTTGCATTTGCAACCTCACCTGCCGCAGTGTCTTCGGGCGTTCATATTATTGTATTTTCTAGTAGATTTGTGAGACTCGGGCGGCATGGCAGAAGCAGTAGGGCTTGCTGCTAGTGTCCTGGGTCTAGCTCAGGTAGGCTGGACTGTGGCGAAAGGTCTCCACGATCTCGGCGAGGAGGTCGGCAGCGCTGGAGAAGCCGTCCGCATTTTTGCCAACGATTTCCACCTTTTCGTGGAGACGGTCCAAACCTTGGGAGATCTCTTCGAGAGCTCGCCACCGGTGTCCAGGCGTGCACAATCAACAACAGAAGAACTGCTGGACGTTGCGATGGAGCAGGTTGTGGCACCATTTGAGAAGATGCTCGTCGAGTTAGAGCCTCTTCTCGTCAAGTGGCGGGATAGTCCGAGTCGAATGATGCAGCTGGGCGTACGACTTCAGTGGGCATTCGGCTACAAGAAGAGAGTTCTTTTCTACCACTCGGCTCTCAACGCGTTGAAGGGCAACGTCTCTCTTCTCCTGCAAGCCATGACGCTTCGCGGCCATAACCCGCCTCATGTCCAGTTGTAAGTAGCAACGTATTGGACGAAATCTAGCTTAATGTCGGTTCCCAGTATCTTATGCCAATCTATCGAGGACGCGAAAACCCTCCTCCGAGGCGGCTCTAGGGTCGGGTCCTCAAGGCTGCAAATTTCTATGTACGAGGGAACTGTCAACGGACGCGCGATCGTGCCTGGTCCAGCGACGGCATCGAAATCTCATTCGATGATCGGTGCAATCTCCGGAAAGGATCGGCGCCAGCTATCCACAGAAACGGCCCTAGTCCGTGTCATCGACGCTGACGACTTAAACGACGCCGATGAAGTCCCCAAATGTCTTACCGGAATCAAGCTGCTCGAGCTCGATGATGTGATTAACTCCGAGCTGGACCGTGAAGATAACGAAGAGCAGCTTGAGGCATTTGGCGCTATCCGTGCGGTACAAAAGAAGGTGATCAAGTTGGCCGACGAGGCCACGACTACCGCCACGCTGGCTCCTGACCAGACAGACAAGGCTGCAGGGAGTAATACTTCACCGTCGAGAACTAGCGCAGAGAGTGGCGCAATCTTCCAGGGCCCAGAAGGTAAAGTATCAAACGAGATACCAGTTATCGTTGCACCCCAGGGGCACGCCGATGAATCTAGAAGCAGACAAATGACGCAGCCAGAAGCCGCGAAGAACGCAGAAAGCACCCCAAAAAAGACAGAAACGATTCGTATCATCGACAGCTTAGGCTCATATTTTGATATTCCTTATGGGCTTGTTAGTACCTGGCAGGCAAGTGCTGCTGTACTCCTCGCACGGCTATATGGCTACTGACTTCTTTCGAAGGCTATGAAAGCCTTTTTATTAACGGAGTATAACCAGGTCATGGGCGACGACTTGGATTTGGCTGGTCGCACTTCTAACCCTGGCTTTGAGATATTGCGAGCGATGGGAATGGCGATTCGAGAAGGGCATTTCACAATCACCTATCTCGAGAACATCTCTTCTTATGGGATACTGCTTACCAAAGACTGGGAAAGCCGTGTGAAGCCCGGTTGGACACTGACATTACACCTCGATGACCACAATCTCGAAGCGATCAGACTTCGGGGCAGTCGCACAAAACCTTCGTTGAAGAGAATCAGGTTGGCTCAGATGGCAGCTGCCGAGGCTGGAGGTGACAACCTAAGGAAGCCGCAGGCACAACTGGGGGTGGCGAGCTCGAAATCAAGACCCGATTTTGGTCCAGGATCCCAGCAGGGAGAAAGTCGTAAGATAAGCTTTTCCGGCATCAGGAGCAAGCTTGGAGTTTGGACGTAGGTCTCGCGAAAATATCAAGCCGTAGATCGGGCAGGCCTACTGGGTGATTGCAACAGCCCGTACTGTGATCAGCAGCAATCATGATGACATCTGCTGCTGATTAGATTGGCGAGTGTGCTCCTCGGAATGGATTATTGCATTTTGCTCTGCAACTTTAGGATTCATCCCTCCAGGATTTACTGAGTACTATGTGCTTCGAAATAACAAGGGCAAAGAGGGGGCTTATGGTGTGTTGCAATCGAAAATGATGATGGTCGACCATGTCCGCATGACGCATTTCCCTTGCCTCAGCAACAATGGCAAATCGAGTATCACGATTCCTCAACATCTCGATGACTTTATATGCAACCGAAAATTTGATTCCTAGCCGTGGCTCGCGGTTACTACGAGCGATGAAAAGCGAAGGAACGCTGAAGAGAACAGAGGACGCGGATTTAACTCAGCAGACTGTATACGGGGTTAGCAGCTCCTCTCGTCGTTCCCTCCGCGGCTTTTGAAAACCTTCAATGGACCGCGGGAAGAAGGGATAATACGTACTCCCAATCACCCCGTTCACTGGAATGTCAATGCTCGTGGTATAGCTCGCGGCGTCGCTGAGCAAGTACACGTACGCCCCGCCCAGCTCCTGCACCTCGGCCAGCCGGGGCATGCCGCCGTAGTATTTCAGCTGCTGCTCCCAGTCGGGCTGCTGGGGCACCCAGTACGTCATGGCCGTCTTGACCAGGCCCGGCGAGACGCTGTTGACCCTGATGCCGTGCTTGGCCCATTCCATGGCCAGCGTGTGTGTCATGTTCCGCACGCCGGCCTTGGACGCGCCGTACGGGGCGGACGGGACGCGCTGGAGGAGCGGAGTATAGATCAGCATGACGGACAACCCACGATCGAGAGGGGGGTGGGACGGGATCACATACCTTGTTGGGACGGTACGAGGCCATGGATGCGGTGAAGACAATGGCGCCGCCCGTACCCTGCTTGATGAACTGCCGCGCGGCGACTCGCGCGCAGTAGAAAGCGCCAAAAAGCTGAAGAACAGTCAGCCAGGGAGGAAAAGAAGAGCCCATGTGGACAGGGTCTGGGACGGACGTTGACGGCAAACAGAGCCTCGATCTCCTCCTGCGAGAAATCCAACGCGGCTTTGTGATTCGTCCGTCCGGCGTTGACGATCATGCCGTGTAGCGCGCCAGCTTGGGCGACGATCTGGTCAACGGCGACCTTGACACTCTGCTCCTGCGTGACGTCGGCCTGGACGGCCGAGAGCCTGCCCGCGAACCGCTTCGACACCTCGCGAAACTCATCGCCCGGCTCGGCCACATCGATCGAGTAGACCGCCGCGGCGCCATTGACTAGACAGCACTCTGCGATCCCGAGGCCGATCCCGCGGTTTGCGCCCGTGACTGTGGAACATCGAGTCAGCACACCTCGATCGAAAACCCCCGCTGATAAGCCGTGCGTGGAGGAGACGTACTGGCGATGACTTTGCCGGCGAGCGTGACTTGCGTCTGCACTGGCTGAGGGCTCTGAGTCAAGTTGTTCGGGGCGGGAACGACGCCGTTGGTCCCATTGGTATGTTGGGCGTCTCCATTCTGGAGAGGAGTCTGAGGCGCCGTGGAGGACATGACATGAATGGAGGAGAAGAAATCTCGAACAACTTACTAATTCTACCAAGAGACTTGCTGGAAAACAGACAAAGGAGGGCCAGAAGGAACAGGGACCGAAGTGGGAAGTTCTGTTCGAGAGGGATTCCTTCAAGGCTCGCGAGAGTTTTTATTTACCTTGTCTGCACGTTCGCGTTCATGTAGCTTGCTCGGATCGGCGCCCGTGCCGTTCGTGCAGCACAGACACCACCAGCATCATCGCCTTTCAGTTGCCGATATCTTTCCTGCATCGTCTGGGGATTTAGTTCGTAGACGCGGAAACGCCAGGGGGTTGTGGATATTCAGCGAGCCACTTAAAAAGTGTTCGGCTCGAGGCTGATGATGCTCGTCTCGTGGTAATTATGCCGACCCACCTTCTTCTCTACGGAATGCCGGCTATCCAAACACCTCGGGTAAAGTTTTGCGTTAGAAGGCTTCTATAGCTTGAGGAGGGCCCCGCGAACCGTCCCGGCCAGCTGGGCTCGCCACAGCCTCGTTTCATTCAGCAGAAACATCTCCCCCGACCGACCGAAGCAGAAGTTGGCCACGCCGCCCCGCACGCGGATTTTCCCCAGCAAAACTCCCCCCGCCGACCAGACGTGGACGCCGTCACCGCATCCGCTGTACACGTTGCCGTCCATGTCGCACTTGATGCCGTCAGGAATGCCCGTGTCGCAGAACGCAAACAGCCGTCGGTTCGTCAGGAACGGTTGGCCGGCGTAGTGCTGGACGTCGAACGCGTATCTATGAAATTGATGAGCCTCCCGAGCCTTATACCGCCGCCAAAAATAATACTCACATTGTAGCTGCTCTGGTGTCATCCAGGTTGCCCAACCCTCGAATCCAGTCGGTGTCGGTCACGTAAACGGTCTTCTCGTCCGGTGAGAAACAGATCCCGTTCGGTCTGCCGAACCCATCCGCCATGGCTCGAATGCCGCGTGTTGTCGGATCGTACCTGTAGACCTGATTTGGAAGACGCGGTTTGGGTTTGAAGCCTCCGTCGAAGCCGTAGCAGGGATCGGTGAACCAGATGCTTCCGTCGCTGTGGACGACGACGTCGTTGACCGCGTTGAACGGCCGTCCGTAAAAATCCGCCACGACCGGCTCGGCCTTGTAAGGAGGGTCGATGTCTACAAAGTAGAGGCCACCAGGGCCGGATCCCGAGCCTTGGGCACAGACCAACCACTTCTGCTCGTTATAATTGACACCTCCATTGGCCATCTCGACGCTGGGACAACTGATCTCCTCGCTCTGCACGCTCCCATCCTGCCGAAAAATGATCTTGGATATCTGCACTCTGCGACGACCTGCTGCGTCGACTAACTGGCCGCTTGTGATGAACAGCTCGTTTTTCTCGGGAATAAACACGCCGGCTTCATGAGCGAAAGGGTAATCCTTCTCGAGCAGGAGCTCGAGTTTGGGGGCGTCCCCTGTGAGCGTGTGGAAGGCTGGATCGTGTACCTGAAAGTGCTCCATGTTCTCGCCGATAGAGATGTCCCGGCAAGGTCGAGAATTTGTTATGCTGCGTGCTCCGATTGCGGGGATGAGGAGATCTGAGCCTGTGGAAAACCGCCTCAATGACCGTCTCGAGACTATCGGCTAATGGCGATGGCTTTTGGTTCAATAGCCGTAGACGGACCCCTCGGGATTTGTCCCGATCACCCTGTTACCGAACTGTCGCCCGCCTTCCGCGGGCGTTACTCCCTTATACAGAGATTATATGCACCTCCCGACTCCATAGATGAAGGGCGAGATACAATCCCAACGACGATGGCTCGGCACACAGCGCAGGCCACATGGCGACAAAGCAATCGACATCTTCAAATTCTGCGCGAGGCCGAGCAAGGCCAATACGGCGTGGTGGCGGCGATAGCCTACAACCTCGAGCATATACTTGGATTGGTTCAAGCGGCCGAAAAAGCCCGTTCACCACTCATCATCCAATTCTTCCCCTGGGCGATCACATTCTCCGATGGTGTCCTCATCCGCGCCGCGGCCGATGCGGCCAAGCGCGGAACCGTGCCAATCTCCATACACCTCGACCACGCGCAGGATGAAGCGCTCATCAGGCGGGCCGCCGACACATTGCCGTTTGACAGCATCATGGTCGACATGTCTCATCACGAGAAGGCTGAAAATTTGGCGAAGACGGAAGAGCTGGTCAAGTATTGTCAGGAGCGTGGCATCGCGACCGAAGCAGAACCGGGTAGAATCGAAGGAAGTGAAGACGGTGTCATGGACACAGCCGGGTTAGAAGGAATGAAGACCACAATCGAAGAAGCCAATGAGTTTGTGGCGACCGGCGTCGATGCTCTGGCGCCGGCAATCGGTAATATTCACGGCGAATACGGCCCTCAGGGACCTAATCTTGACTTCGACAGGTATGATCGCTGACACCGAGGGGATGCGTCACTGACTGGTCCCAGATTGGAGGAGCTGCGAGCACACCTGACGGGAAAAGTCAACATTGCTCTCCACGGTACGAATGGGTTCGCACCAGAATTGATGAAACGATGCATCGTGGCGGGAGCTACCAAGATCAATGTCAACAAACTCGTACTTGAGGATTATTCTGCACACCTGGCCGCAAATGCCGGGAGGATCCCACAGACGACCCTGATGGAGCAAGGCGTGCAAAAGGTCGTAGCGCTCACGACGAAGTGGATGGAGATCTGCGGCTCGGCAGGCAGAGCTTGAGGAGTGCCCGTGCGCTGAGTGATCACGAGACTGGAGTGTTAACCGGCATCAGAAGTGTCCCAAATAGCCTTCAGTTCGTCGTCCATGGGCTTCACTGGCCAACCACTCCTCTGCCTGCAAAGTCCGATGAGTCTCAGAATTTCGTGGCGTTTGCGTTCGTCCGATGTGCACATTCCAGCTGAATGAAGTGGTGAGAAAACATCGGTTTAAGGACACTGGACTACCTACCTATAAAGAGACATTGTGAAGAGGCGACGCTGGATCCATAGTCCGTCAAGGTGACGGCAATTCCGCAGATAGCTTCGGCGTACTTGTCCAGTTGCTTCTGTCGTCGCATAAAGCCATTGAGTCCGCCACCCGACGGTCTGTGTAGGACGAGCAAGATTCGGGCAGCATTATACATCTGCATCGCGACGCCTGGGGGGTTCGGTCAGTGAACCGTACAAATCTGTGGCATGTCTGTGGCATACCAAACATAGGAGGCTGAATCCATCGAGGTTTGAAGACATCTCCCGAATTAGTCTGTCTCGGCAACGGCATGAACTCAATGGTGAGGTGTCGCTCCCAATCGTCCAGCATCGAGTGCAGGCGATCGGCGGCATCAATTCTCGATTGAATATTGTTTTCCTCGCCCGAATTTTCGATCTCTGCGCAGTAGTTGACCACCTTCGCCATCACAAAGACCGCCCGAGCGGCCAGTTCCCAAGGGTTCAATTCGCCGAAGGTTTTGACCGGCCTCCAGAAGGTGAAGGTTTTGCGTTTGTCTCGAAATGCGGCCCACACGTCTTGCTGCAGCCACGCCCACCACACGGCGGCCCTCAAACCGCCCGTGTCTCCGTGGATGACCTGGGACCGCTGGATGCCGAAGACGCCTTGAAGGTGTCTCTCCCAATCCCGGCGGGAGCCGTCCAACATTTCGTAGGCCGAAATGATCAGCGCCGTGGCGAGAAGTTCGAGGCTTGTGAGGTACGAGCTGTACTGCATGGCATTCTGGACGTAGTGTAAGCTCTCATGATAGTACCGGAGCGCGTCGTGACGTTCGTAGAGGTTCTCTGCGGCGACAGACGAATTGAGAGAGAGATATCGGATCGAGAGGGCCAGAATCGCCCCGAGAAGGCCGATATTGAACATGGCCAGGCGAGGGACGAGGGTACAGAAGTGCTGCAGTGGATCAAAAAGGTCGATCCAGTGGCTGATACGGGCGACAAATACCTCGAACAAGTGTTGCTCGTTGTCCTGTAGCGTGAGGGCATTCGGCGACTTCCACAAGGAATAGTCCGGGACGCTCTGTCGCGAGGCTTCTTGATTAGAGCCCTGTCGCACTTCCCAAGTGGTGTGACCAGTAGCGAGCGCCCAGGGCGGTCTTCCGGTCGAGGTGTTCCAGAAGTTTGCGGTATCCGCCTGTTGGCCTGATGCAGGAATCTGGGCCTGAGGGACGTTGTATCCTTCGGTGCTGATGGTCCCAAAGTCTGCATCAGTTGCCAGCATCCCAAACCACCGTGCCGTCGCCACGTCGACCAGCGAGCCATACGAGATTTCCGTCCCGGCGTCCGGGCTGTTGCTAAATAGATCCGGCGCCTGAAAAGGTGGGAGTTGAGGGCCCCCGCTAGTGGAAGCATCAATTTCTTCGCCCATTGACCGGGTATTCTGATACTGCGTCTGCAGCGGAGATTGAGTCTGAACGCCACCACAGTCTAAGCCGGACGGCCGAAAGTTCTCATGCTGTGGGAAGGTCCTCTCCATTGGATCAACTGGTTGTTCGCCATTCGGCGTCGTCTGCCAGAATTGCTGACTCTGGCCAGTCTGGTTGCTTTCAGTAGCCTGGTTGGAGGTAACTGCCTGTTCACTTGAAGCAGATTGTGTCGACAGATCAGGGATGTCGCCTTCAATATCCGACATACGAGGTTGGGCTTCCGGATAGGTGCAACTCTTGCCGCTCCTCGAGCAGAGTCCGCAGCGAGGACGGATCTCGTCGCATTTGAGATGCCGTTTGCGACAAGTGAGACTGTCAGGCACGATGCAATTAGGTCAGGGTCTCTTACTGAAGAACAGACTTACCACCCAGTCTTGGTTCTGATCCCCTTACTGCGGCTTTTCCGTGGACGGCGGGTTTTGTCAGGCATCGTCGTGCCCTTGATCACGAGCCCATCTCGTGGCTGTCGAACTCATGTAGCATGACACATCTCCAGGTGCATGAATCCCTTTTTCTTGGCATGCAGGCTCTCCATCGACAGTGAATGCGACGTGATGCGACGTGCAGTCACTCAAGCTTTCAGACTCGCCAAGGACGAGCGGAGAATGGCCTTTACGGCAGGTTTGTTCGACCGTAGCAGTGTTTGCGCGTCCAAAGAAGCACAATGGTCGACCGTAGTGACAATATAAAATAGTTGTGTAGTCCTTTGATCAAGGACATAACCACGACATGGAATTGAAGACACGCGGTTTGTCCAAAATGGAGTCCGAACACCCAGAGCTCCCTGAGACTCCTGCGACTCATGAGACTCAATCCAGCGCCCATCTGTGCAACCCCACTGTGACCCCTCAACAGCGACATATCACTGCGCCCCACGGCTTCTCGTCGACTGTGCCACAAGGCCTCGATCCAGCATACACAGCGCTGGAACTCATCATTCGAGAAGTCAAGGCCCGAAAGTCCGGTCTCGGTCCCAGGACCTTTCAACCCTGGATGGTATTCCCCTTGGCGCCTACTGACCTCAGAGCACTTGACCTATATTTCCAAGGCGATGGTTATTGGGAAGACAAAGTGAGGTAGGCAGTACACATGCTACTAAAGTTACCCTTTGTTTGGGCGCACGGTTGCTGATCGACTGCAGATGCGACTACTTTGGATCGAGTCAGCTGTTTGTCCTCCGCTTGCATTCCAACCCTCACGAGGTAATCCGAGCGGAGGTGCGATACAAATTAGTCTCCTGCCTGCGCACACTGCCTGGTCGCTGCCCAGATGAAGCTTCTGGAAGATTTGCCCACAAAATCTGCGACTGCGGTTCTGCCACCGTCGAGCTGGCTGTTGGCACTCACTACAGTCGACATGATCCAGACATCTCCTTTAGACATCCTGCCGCTGCCTATCCGGGCGTAATCATCGAAATTGCATCTTCTCAGAAAGCGGAAGCCTTGGAACAACTTGCAAACGACTACATTTGTGGTTCCAGCGGAAAAATTCACGTTGTGATTGGGATTGAGATGGAATTTGGGGGCAAGAAGGGTGCGAAGAGCAGGAAGGCCACTTTCTCTGTCTGGAAACCGCAATGGACTACTCAAGATGGAAAACAATCGGTCCATGCAGAATGCACTGCCCGTGAGGTGAGCGTGAACTAAGCTAGCCTACCTTATTTCGGTGATTTTCTGTGCTAACTTGACGTCTAGATGTTTCGGAATGAGAAAGGTGTGCCCAATCTGGACGCCGAGTTGAGTTTCTCGCTCAGCGAATTCGCGCCTCAAGCCGTTGTCGATCGTTTCGAGGGTTTCGTCGACCACACTGTCCAGATCTCGGCCAAAGAGCTTTGTGCTTATTGTGAGAGTGCAGAGCAGTTGGAGGCCAGGACGGCTGAAGTCGAAGACATGTGATGCAGGGTTGAAAGGATGTAGTTGCATGAGGAATACGAAGTCCCGGAGGAGCGCTACACCGAGTCTGACAGAGCATCCTTGCACGAGCGATGAACCGAAGCTGAGCTTTGCTGCGACTCTTAATTCGGCCTGTTGGGAAGTGGCCAGGGAGGGAGTGATTCGTGGCCTAGTGATACCCCCTTCAACCAGTTGACGCTTCAATCATCTTCCAAGTTCCTGTCGACAATGCCCTTCCCTGAATCTTAGTGGGACTTTTCATGGGCGTCCCAATGTTTAGACATACTCCCTCCTCTAATTATTCAGTGGGATAACTCAGTCCGCTGTGAGCTTCTAGTTTTTAGGCAATCGCTATTCATATTGTCATGTAGGCCAGCATAGACGGTGATAACAGGCTAATCTCGATTGGCCATTAGCAAAAGCCACACTTGAGCGTATTTGGCTTAGTCCTTTCAGGATTCCTCGAGAAATATGGGCCCCAATACTTAAGTGTCTCCGCAAAGGCGATAGCGCAGTTGAACGATGTTTACACTCAACATGGACGCCATTCTGATCTTTCTTTCTCGTGGAGTGAACCGAACTCCGTCATACCGACGTCGATATCGTTCCGGAGCCGGATGGGTAAAGTATGAGCACCCTCGTTCATCTCAAGGAGCTGCGCCGGGTTTTGAGGTACTTCGTATGCCAAGGTTGATGCGTCCTGTACTCCTTCAATCATATACCTGATTGAATGAGTCCTGATAAAGGGTGTAACTATTGGAGATATGCGAACATTCCTCCATCGGCCAAAAGTCCGGCGCCCGTCACGAACCCGCTCATCTGTTCACAAGCCAGAAAGACCGCTGGACCGGCCATGTCCTGCGTATCTCCTGCCCTACCTAGCGGTATCTTGGCCTCGAGAGCCTTCCTCCTCCCCTCATCGTTGATCTCTTCCTCGCTCAACTGCGTCTTGATGGTGCCCGGCATCAGCGCATTGCACCTGATCTTGTGCTCGCCCATGGAAATTGCCATACTCTGAATCATCGAGAGAAGCCCTGATTTTGTCGGCGTGTAATGGGTCTGCATTCGGCCTCCTTGCAAGGCACTAATTGAAGAAACGGCGATGATAGAGCCACCGTGGCCCTGTCGTACCATCTGTCGGGCGGCTGCTTGACAGGAATAGAACGCGCCGTTCAGGTTCACGCGGACCGTCTTGTCGAAGAGCTGGTGGTCAAGCCTATTATCTATGTCAGCGGGGTGCTTGCACCAGAGACGTAACACTCACTCGAGAAAATCGGCTGGCTGGAAAATTCCAGCGTTGGCGACAAAGACATCCAGCTTCCCGAATCGGTCCACTGCTGCTTGGACGAGTTGCCCGCCTGTTTCCGGGTTTGAAACATCGCCAGCAAGGTCGATCATTTCGCCGGCGGGATACTGATCCTTCCTTGCTATGCTTTCCTGTCTGATCTTCGCCGCCTCTTCCAGTATATTCTTTCTGCCCAGCTCATCGCGAGGAAGCCCAAGATGGTTGACAGCGACGTTGCAACCCTGACGGATGAACTCAAGAGATATGGCGCGCCCGATTCCTGTGGTACCGCCAGTGATTGCTGCTGTCTTGCCCCGGAGCAATGGCCATGGTATTGCACTCATGGTTAGGTCGATATCTAGTAATTTGACGCCAGACACAAAAGATATATTGCCAGCAAGTCTGGGGTGGTTCCCAACCCCTGGAGTTCTGAACAGGAAAACTATATCAGGTCAAGCGCACTGTCGGCATTTGGTAAGTTTTGAAATTTCAACCCTCAAAAGTCGGATGCCAAGCTCCGCCGCAGGCAGCACGATGTAGTGCTTCAAAGTGGAATGCAAGTTCAATAGCCAAATGCCAGACTCTCCCCGCAGGAATGAAAGGATGATACTAGTGTTCGGTAAAGTCATTGAAAGTGCGGTGATGGCCGATCCAGCTAGACCAATCACCAGTAAAGCAATTTTCCTGAGACTCTCAAGCGCTCGGGACCCCGCCTCGAATCGGCTTCTGGATGGGGTGCCTCGAGACGGGTCGAATAGTGGCTGCAACTCCACACAGCCTTGTCCTTCCTGAGCCAACACAGAACCTCGCAAGGTATGCACAGTCAATCTCATCCGAGTTAACGAAGACAACTTGAAAACTCAGATATAAGATGTCGGCTTCAATAGAGAGCATCTCTGCAGCTAGACACGGGCAGTTATTCGCACCGAGTGGCGACTGAATCCTGACCACCACCATGCCTCTTCGCACACCGGACACTTCGATGCCCGTTTCCAAGCAATTTTCACTGGAAGGCAAAGTCTGCGTTGTTACTGGGGGAGCACGCGGGATCGGACTTGAAGTCGTACGGGGATTTGCCGAAGCCGGCGCAGACGTCGCGTTCACGTACTTGACCAGCTCCGGCGCATCAGAAACAGCAGGGCAAATTTCTCGCGAGACAGGGCGGACTGTGAGAGCCTACAAAGCGAATGTCTGCAACCGCACCGAGATCTCTGACACCATGGCCGCGATTTTCAACGACTTCGGTCATCTGGAGGTGGTTGTGGCCAACGCTGGTGTCTGCGCTCAGATCTCCAGCCTCGACTACACGCAGGAGACGTGGGGCCGGGATTATGCTGTCAACGTTGAGGGAGTCATGTGGACGGCGCAGGCTGCGGGAAAGATCTTTCAAGCGCAGGGCCACGGAAATCTCATCATCACCGCCAGCGTGAGCTCGGTCTTGGTCAATTTCCCCCAACCACAGGCATCGTACAACTCGAGCAAGGCCGCCGCCGCACATCTGGGCAAGAACCTCGCGGTGGAATGGGTCGATTTTGCCCGCGTAAACTGTGTCAGCCCTGGCTACGTCGCAACAAACAGTGAGTCAAAAATGATAACCCTTGTCATTGCCGGCGGCACTAAGTATACCTCTAGTGACTTTGAGCCAACCAGAGTCGATCCGCAGTCAATGGACGTCTCAAGTCCCCGGGCGCCGGATGGCCGAGCCTGCGGAGCTGAAAGGGGCAAGTTGTCGCATGTCTTTGAGTCCACATGGCAATGCTAACTGGCCTTTCTAGTTATATGTGTTTCTTGCAAGTGAGGCGAGCAGTTTCCTCACCGGTGCCAATATTATCTGTGATGGGGGCTACTCGCTGATTTGAGCACAAGGCTGAGAAGCTAGGTCTTAGAACGGAAAACGGCCAAACGACCACGCGAGCTCTGACTGTTATCTAGCAAGAGGCATCTCCAAAACATGTAATAGTTCGGATCTGTGAATGACAAGCAGAGTTGATGCATTTGTATTCTCCTGGCGGACATAAGACTAAAATATATTGTACGGACATATGCATAAATGCACGCACAAGTCGACAGGAGAATGAACAGAAAAGGAGCCCTAACTGGCTTCATCGTCGCTAGAGGCCATTGTGGCAACCACCACAAGGCCAACACAGCGGTGATTGCTATATTCCCACTTTCAGGGAAGGGAGAACCGAGGCCTCGTTACATCCGCCAATAGACGAGACATGGACTGGCTCGACACGAGGGCCTGTGCCAAGAACAATAGCTTACGGCCAGAATCGACCATCAACCGACCTCGGGACTATGCCCGTACCCTGTCGTCACGAAGGCTGAACTATGGCATGCGAGCCGCCGAGTTCGAGAGTCGACACTTGGAGTGTTGATGGTAAATATGCTCTGACGCCTTCCTGCGATTTGAAATCAAAATCACGTCTGCTTTTCAACTCTCCATGGCTCTGCTGCGACGTTCCAGTCCAATCCTGCAGACGACACGCCGGTCGCGGCGGACTATGACCACCCGCGCGACCAGCTTTCGGCTCAACACCGGCGCCAAAATTCCTGCCGTCGGGTTTGGCACTTTCCAGGACCCAGATGCCCAGGTCGAGGCAGTATCCAGATCTCTCAGAGCAGGGTATCGATTGATCGACACGGCGCGGGTGTACGACGTCGAGAAGCAGGTGGGTGAGGGAGTCAGGAGATCCGGTGTCCCGCGGGGCGACGTCTTCATCGGCACAAAGCTGTGGTGCAACTACTTCCACCCGGACGACGTCGAGCGCGCTCTGGACGACTCTCTGCGCGACCTAGGGATGGACTACGTCGACCTCTTCATGATGCACTACCCCGTCACGTTCAAGCGAGGCCCCGAGCGGTTCCCGCGGGACGCCAACGGCAAGATGATCTTGGGCGAGACGACTTTTCTGGACACGTGGAGGGCGATGGAGAAGGTCCTGGCGACCGGCAAGACGCGGGCCATCGGCGTCTCGAACTTTAGCAAGGGCGAAGTCGAGAGACTGATCCATGAATGCGACGTTGTAAGTTCCCAGGACATTCCCCGCCCGTGCCTAGGCCGGCGCTCCGAATCCCCTGGCTAACAGGTTCTCACACCAGGTCCCCGCGGTCCACCAGATGGAGGTTCATCCTTATCTCCAGCAAAAGGCCTTCAACAAGTGGCTTCAGTCCCAAGGAATCCACGTCATCCAATTCAGTCCGCTGGGCAACATGAACCCGTTCTACCGGCACACGGGATGGAGCAAGGACATTGCGCACGCGACGAGGCCCATCACGGAGAGCCCCGTGCTGCTTGAGATCGGGCAAAAGTACGGCAAGACGCCGGTCCAGATCGCCCTGGCCTGGGGCATCAACTCGGGCCGCTCGGTCATTCCGAAGAGCACGATTGCCTGGCAGATTCAACAGAATATCGAGGCTGATTTCGAGCTGGATGCCGACGATATGGAAAAGATAGGCGAGGTGGATCTGAAGGCGAGATTCAACGATCCCAGTCTCGACTATCAGTACCGGCTGTATAGCGACCTGGAGGGGATCGAGGGGACCAAGGATGGCAGAACACATTGAACTCTTGGGCGGCATGCCGCACGCACGATGCGGAGCAAATAAAAGTGTTGGTAGTATTGAGAGTATACCTTATGAGTACAGAGTATAAAGTGGCACCCGGCAGCTCCTTGAAAAGGCGGCGGGCGTGATCCATACAATAACTCCTTTCACACAGTAGATCACATGGGTTCGATATGCTCTGGACCTGTAATGATAGGAACAACTTTAAGTCAATCCAGCTTGAGGCTGTGGCAACGCCGGAGCAATGAGACCTAGTTTATAGCACTATTAGCCAAGGAGAGGATCCGGTCTGAGGAATAATAGTCTCAGGTATCGATTGGGGAAACAGGATCCCCCGAAAAATTTCTGGTGCAGGGAGAGCTAGTATTCTCATTACTCTCTATCCCAGCTGCGAGATTACTCACATATCAGTTCCACTTATTTTGAGATATACATTCATACTCTTGTCTTCGCATTCCCGATACAAGGACAAGTTATACACGAGGATGGAACAGGGCTGAGAATTCTGGGTGGAGAATATATTGACGCCTTATCTAGAAGACCTGTGGTTTAGAAACACTGGCGTGAGAATGGAGAACAAGGGATATGATGGCTTTTGTGAATCATAGGCTCAAGATTGATACTTCGAATCCTCATGCTCGGCACTATTTATCAGACAGAACAGCAGGCCGTTGACCTTAGCTACCTACACAGATGGCAAAGCTTGCAAAGCGCTCTTTCGACGCTTAGTATGAGTCTTCAAACATGTATGAAATCGTTTCGTGCGGGTCTTCAGCTGATCCATTGCTTCTCCTTTACATACACCGAACCCACAAGAGCTTTTCCTGGGCATTTTGTCTGTCAGGTTTTACTTTTTCTCGCAGTAAATAGACAACCTTGATCCCAACACGACTTCGAACTTATGCATATCTTACTTTCCACCACACCCATGTCACCAAAATCGTAGATTTTCAGATCCAACTCACTCCTTGGGGGCTTCAACGTCGTCCACATGGACGCCTCCCTTCTCGGCAAGACTCTCACTGACGCTGGATCTGCGGACGACTTCGGGGTTCTCCTCTCGGCGCAAGCGGAAGGCTTTTTCGGCCTCCCAAGCCCAGGGCTTGGGGGACGAGAACAGGAAGTCCATCTCCTCCAGAGAGCGCTGGTTGGACTCGGGATACAGAGCCCAAACTGGAGCGTGGGGTCAGTCGGTGCTGTTCGATAGCATGGGGGGCAGGGAAGGAAAGGAGTTAACTCACCGATCGGAATGGATACCACATTGACGGCGCCAAACACGTACATCATGTTGTTGTTGATCCCTTTCACCATCTCTGGGAGGAGGAGGGTCAAAGTTCTGAAGCAGTGGTTAGTTTTGGCCTAGGATATCAGACCCTGAAGACTTACGCGCAACCGATGCTCCAGCCGACCACGCCCCAACTATTGCCCATTGCGCGGCATCTGACGGGGAAAATCTCGGCTGGATAGAGCCACGGGACCTGACAAGAAGGATTGTGTGTCAGATTTGGGCAATATAGAATCTCCTCGTTCCAATGCTTACCGTCAACCAAGTGGCACCGAAAACAAAGGTGTACAGGATGACCATGGCCGCCGCTGCCGCTCCATAGGTTTTGGCAGCAGTAGTACGGCCATCGGCGGTTGCAGAGAGACCGCCGGCGGACAAGCCTCCCACGAGGAACATTGCGATCCCCTGGGCCACACTGCCCCAATAGAGCGTCTTACGACGACCGATGCGGTCCAGGGTGAAGACACAGATGAAGGTGGAGAACATGTAGAGAACGTTGTTGAGTCCAGAGAGCCATTGTGCCTTGTGCTCCGTGAAACCGGCGATCGTGAAGATAGCTGGAGCGTAGGGTCAGCGCTGAAGTACAAGCAAGGGTTAGAACGAGGACTTACTGGGCCCGTACATGGTCACTCCCGAGATGCCTGTCCAGCTCTGCATGATCTGGAGCCATATGCACAGATGGGTACGACGAGTAATGTGCAAATTGCCCTTGCCGGTGCCAAAGAACATGCTGAAGTAAGTGATATCGTGCCCTTTGCTCTTCTCCATGCCCACCACATTCTGGATGTCTCTCAGCTCCGTCGCAGCTATGCCGGTGTCCTCGCCCGAGATGCCCCGGAGCCTCTCAAGGACGAAGAGGGCTTCGTCATCCCTGCCGACCTTGCAGAGCCATCGCGGAGACTCTGGGAAGAACCAGCAGACCGCAAGGAGCCCAATGAGGGGAATGATCTGGAAGGCGATCGGGAAACGCCAGCGCAAGGGGGATTCTCCGTTGTGTACGAAACTTACTCCGTAGCCCAGCTGTTCGCATCAAATCAGCAGGAGGTCAGTCAAGGGTCGGTCGGAGCGCTCACCCAATAGGCCACCACGACACCGAAGATGTTGAGAGTGAACTCCATGGCGATGAACTGTCCTCTGGATGTGTAGTCTGCCACTTCGCCGGCATATGTGGGAACGATGGCGTTCAGCACTCCGGTCCCAAAGCCTGTGACGACACGCGACACGATCATCCAGTCCACATTCTGTGCCGCGCACTGGAAAGAAGCGCCGATGATAGCGACGGTCGCCCCCAGGGCGATTGTTTTGATTCTTCCGAATTTGTCCCCGACGGCGCCACCAGTAAGGCATCCCACAAGAGTGCCGAGATAGAAGACGCAGACGATACCGCCCTGGAGAAAGCTGCGGGTGACGATGACCGAGCCATCTTCGTCGACGTAACCGAGCTTCATGACATCGATATAGTCCTTGGAGATGTTCACGCCTCCCATGACTCCCTGGTCATATCCTAGAGATGCATTAGGACGACGTAGCGGTAAGACGAGCAATAGACGTTACCGAAGAAGAAGATGGACATGCCAGCCAGGATGTTCACCGCAATGAGAAGCGCACGCTTCTGCAGATGAGCGGCCACCATCCATCTTCCGCGTTGATGCATGTTGTTTTCAATGTTTTCAAGCGTCCGAAGTTCTTGAACCAAAAGAAAGTGTCAGAGGATTTGGTTGGTGTTGATGCAGTTGATGAGCTCCACATCGACCGTGATGCATTGCTGCTCACTTTATAGTCAGAAGGTAGCATACCTGGTCTATATGGCTATCCGCGAGAGAACACTTCCAAGCCTTCCCCGGCCTCCGCAAATTCGACCCCGAACTCGATACCGTGCCACCCCGGTAGTGGCTTCTTAGACAAGGGAGTGACTCGTCTCGAGGCGTCTCGGCTAATGCTCAGGGGTTAGTATAGCGACCAAATGCCGCCTCGTCATGATTCTCTCGTCTCGGCTATTGTCGTCCTTTGTCATATCGCTTTTGGCCGTTGTCTATGAGTAGTATTTGTCCCGCTGTATGTCGCGGAGGTTATGAAAGTGATGAGGCGTTGTTCGCCGAGTCGCCGAAGTCGTCTCCCTATGAGTGCCACGTTGTCGGGACCTGCCAGGGGGGTGTGGTAGCGCAGCCTCATCCTGGATGAGGTCGCATAGTTTTCGTGATGGTGCTCGGTGAGAATTTTGGCAGATTATGATTTCGCTGAGACTTGAAATGGAAGAAACATCGCTAGCTTTTATCAAGTCTTGGATCCCGAAGCGTCATCTAAGCACTTCTTTCCGTCGAAGTTATCACTCCATCGCTCGCACTGCCTTGATTGTTTCTCCTCTGCCTTTGTAGTCGTTGAAGGCGCAGTAAGGTTGGAGAGAGTGTGTTGCCGCAGAGTCGAAGGACTCCCTCGGTACCTAAACAAACGAGATGCTAGAAATGATGGCTTCATCTGCCCCGATCACTATAAGAAGACTTCCCGTGACAGAGGTTTCTACCTTACCACAGTCCACCGGTCCCTAAATTCTTGCTTTATATCTTTATTTGGGGCATTTCCTGTCCGCAATTCGGATGAAGCCAACCGGTCCCTGACCTACATGAGCATCGGCATACCATGTTTTCACACTCAATTGAGCTCTTTAGAGGATGATTGCGATCTGTAACTGAGCTGAGAAAAACCCCTCCAATGAGTAGGTTTCACTAACTACTGTGTGTAACGTGGCTGTATTTCGATCCAAATGACATGAGAAGAATCAAGACGCCACATGGAAGACTGTGTTTTGTTCGAATGGCCTCCCTGTCGCTCATCCTGCTACATCCTCGGCCTTCTTCGTCCCATCCACGCCTATCTTCCCGGCCTCCCTCTCTCCCTCCCCACCCACCTCGCCAAACAGCGTCGCGATCGCCTTCATGGTGGTGTTCCCACCGCTGAAAACCACACCGACATCCCAGGAGCCCTTCCCTCCTTGTTTCCTCTGCCGCTCGGCGACCATGTCTCGGAACTCGCGATTGAACAGCACCACGGCCAGGGGCACACAGCCACTCGGCTCCACGACCAGTTTGAGCCGCTCAAAGACCAGCCTCATGGCCTTCTTGATCTCCTCCTCGCTCACCGCATAGAGACCCTCCACTTTCGTCTTGTCCGAGACGATCGTCCAGTTGATCAGGCCGACGGGTGTGCGGAGACCGTCGGCGATGGTCAGCGATTTGACGTGTTCGATCCTCTTGTTTTGCTGAAGACCGCGACGGGCGTCGTCGGCGCCTTGGAAGGACGGTTCGGCGCCGAACACGAACGTCTCGGGTTGCGACGAGAAGAAAGTCGCGACGCCGCCCAAGAGCCCGCCGCCGCCGATGGGCGTGATCACCGCGTCGAAGCTAGGACTGCCCTTGTCACCGCCCGGAGCGACGAGTTCACGTAGCTGCTCCTCCATCTCCAACCCGACCGTTCCCTGTCCCAGAATGATGTCGGGATGGTCATACGGCGGCACCAAAATCGCACCTTTCTCGTTGATGACGTCTGCAACAACGGCTTCCCGCTCCTCGGAGGTGGATCCACTGAAGATCACGTTCGAGGTGTACAGACGCGTGCCTGCGATTTTGGATGTGGTGGATATCGAGGGCATGACGATGTAAGCGGGGATGGAGAATGTCGAGGCCGCCAGGGCGAGAGCTTGAGCGTGGTTTCCTTTGGCCAGGTAAGCGTGGCTCAATGTGGCATTGTACAGAGATTTAGACAACGTGTGCATCTCCGCTAGTTGTGCGCGGTCTCACAGAACTTTTTGCATTGCGAGACTGATTTCCAGCAGCACCGGTCGCAATGGGAGTCCGTTACACTCAGGCAGTATCAGGAAGCCAGAGACTCACCACTACTGTGTGTCACCACCCCCCTCCTCCTGACCTCTTCAACGCCCAACTCCTCAATCAACCTCGTCACGGCGTGAAAAGCACCTCTGGCTTTGAACGCCCCGATCTTCTGGAAGTTCTCGCACTTGAAATACAGCCGGAACCTGGGCGGAGCATCATCGACGGTTGACTCCGCCGAGTCGAATGGCGGTGGATCGTCGGACAGAAAGATGGACGGGTCGCTGGACGATGCAATGGCATTCAAGGATCTACTCGTGATAAAGGGCGTTTTGTGGATGTAGGATTTGATCTTTTCATAGGCATCGCGGATGGAGGACGGCGCTAGGGGAGGGGAGGTGGACAGATCTGCCATTCCTTTCAAGATCACTTTGTCTACTGTGTATCTTCGGTGTTCGTTTAGGGACTTCAATGCTGATGCTTCTAATGTCGTGTAATATTGGGGTTATCTCTCTCAAATGACTTCGATCAAGGTCACGGACGCGGGAAGTGAATATCTGAAGAGACTGACATGAAGGATCGAAGCAGGATGGTCAAGAAGCCCGACTGAGCAGAAAGAGCACCGAGCCAACGGAAAGAAACTGACGTTGCAAAAAGTTCATTGAAATTCCACGATCCAAAAAGCATGAAATTTGGTAATCGTGCAGATGTCCGAAGCTCTGCCGAGATCGGACTTTTCTCAGCGCGGCCAGCATCTGGGCCATTGAGATGCTTGCAGGCGCACAAAGCGGCCGCATTGCTGCTGCGAAGATCCACGTTCACCATCCCAAGCCCTCGCCATTTGGTATATGCTCAACTTTTGATTGGAAAAAGACGCCACATAAAGGTAACAAAGGTGCACCGAGACCCACTACTGGTTTTCAGGGCGGAGAGAACTGTCGTTCTGTTAGCAAGTAGTTCCAAACCGGTGAAAGAGCGAGCAAGTTCACGTACCGAACGGCCTTTCCGGCACGCCAGATCTCCAAGTCCCGGATGTCTTGCATCTCCTTCTCGTACTTTTCTCTGTAGTCAGGTGCGCTGTTGAACTCCAAGCTGCGCTTCGTCTCGCTACCGTCCTTCACGCTGTCGTAGAGCTGGTTGAACAGTGGCTTGAGAGTGTCCTTGAATTTGCTCGACCAGTCGATCGCACCGCGACGGGCGGTAGTCGAACAAGCGGCGTACATCCAATCCATACCGTTGGCACCAATGAGGGGATACAGGGACTGGGTGGCTTCCTCGACGGTCTCGTTGAACGCCTCGGACGGCGAGTGGCCACGCTCGCGAAGGACCTCATACTGGGCCAGGAACATGCCGTGGATGCCGCCCATCAAGCATCCTCGTTCACCATACAGGTCAGAGTAGACTTCCTTCTCGAAAGTGGTCTTGTAGAGGTAGCCGCTGCCAATCGCGACACCAAGGGCAATGGCCTTCTCTTCAGCTTTGCCGGTCACGTCTTGGTAGACGGCGACGGACGAGTTGATGCCTCGTCCCTCTCGGAACAAGCTTCGCACGGTTCGGCCGGAGCCCTTGGGTGCGACGAGGATGACGTCGATGTCCTTGGGGACATCCACTTTCGTGAGGTCTTTGAAGACTGGGGAGAAGCCGTGGGAGAAATACAGGGTCTGGTTCGCAACGTCAGCTCTCCTCTAAAACACAATTCGCGCTTATCTTACCTTGCCCTTTGTCAATTTGGGCTTGATGGCAGGCCAGGTCTCACTCTGCGCAGCATCACTGAGCAGGTTCATGATGATGGTGCCCCGATCGATGGCTTCGTCCACATCGAACAGGTTCTTGCCTGGGATCCAGCCGTCTTGTTCCGCCTCTTTCCACGACGCGCCGTTCTTGCGGACGCCGATGATGACGTTGAGGCCATTGTCTCGGAGGTTGAGACCTTGACCGTGACCCTGCGACCCATAGCCGATCAAAGCAAGAGTGTCGTTCTTGAAGTAGTCCTGGGGTTGTGGTCAGCCGAGGCGAGACTTCTCTCTTCGGAGTGGAGGAGTCAGCATACAAGAAGCTTCTCACGCGGCCAGTCTTCCCGTTCTGTACAGAGTTATCAGCAAAGGTCACCTGGTGGTGAGAAGAAAGGGTGTTTAGCGCACCGTAGACAGTTTCTTTTGTGCCGGCAAAGTCAATTGTCTTGACGCCTCGCTTTTGCTGCTGCTGCGTAGGAGCTGCAAATGAAGGGCGCTGAGTGGCAGCGACGAGAGGTCTGGTCGCAAGAGCAGTAGCAATTGAGCGTTTCTGCACGGCGGGCGAGCTGATTTTCTGCTTGGAAGCAGTACGCAGGGTGCGAGCGAAGGTCTTGGAGGCCATTTTGATCTGTTTCTATGAGTGTGTGTGGGAAAAAGAGAAGGACTGAATGGCAGGAACTTTGGAATAAGTACTTGGGGGGAAATTTTTCCCTCGGCGGCTCAGTAGTGGTAGTAGCAGTCTTACTCACAATAGCACCACCAGCTTTGCTGAGCTTCGCCAGCCTGCGACTCGGATTTTGGCTTGGCTCCGACAGCGGCGAGGCTGGCGGACCGTGTCGGAGCGACTCTAGTCTCCCCGCCCCGCAATCTTGAGTCCAGACACCTGCATTTGCCTCCACACAGTTCATGCCTGCGTTAACACGGGGATGTGATGCATATCGATCTACTTGCCTTTGCGTGTCCACTTTGGAGGCGGTCTAACACAGTGGTAACCACCAAATCCGGTGTCGGCACCAACCTTCGCATGGACATGTGTGTGCTACAGCTTCAGTCTGCCTCCAAGCCTCACACAACCTCAATCTCTCGCGATCATGACCCTTCTCCACCTATACGCATCGTGTTGATGCCGACTCAGAGGTACCTGTGTCGTGAAGAGTATGGGCCTGAAGTGGTACATGTGAATATTGGGAACTGGTCTCGGTGGCTAAGTCCCGAGTCGACCCAACGCAAAGGCGTTCACGCAAATTCTACGAGACGCAGCCCCAATGAGCATGATTTCTCGACACTCTCACCTCTCTTCCTAATCGTCCTGGTTCACGGTCCCTCTCAAGCCTTTCGAACTACGTCTTGGTCGACCGCAAAAGTCCGAAGTCAACGTCGATGTCATCTGTATTCTTCCTATAGCTCGAGGTTGAATCTGCGGGAACACAGCCGCCGGGAGGTGACAGACATCTGCTGGCCAGATGTCGCACTAGATAACAAGCCTTTGTCCCTTGCTGAAGCTCACCATATACTTGACTAATCTATCTCATCCTGATCTGAGCGCTCTCGAAGTGACCTGACAGGTGTCTTGTACACCGTGGCACTGGCTGTGCAGCAATTCAGGAATCAGCATCCGCATTGAACACTTTGTCTCCAGGAAACACTGTGATTCCGGGCATGCACACAGAATATTTGGAGATGCCTGACAGCTATCAATCCGTTAGCCTAAATATCAGGCTGACAAACTGCTAATATCCCAGCTTCACAAGCCGCTCGACTCGAGCAAGTCAGCTAGCTATCAAGTGACCTGGCTCAACTTCGGCTCAACCTCAGCGCGAGCCGCTCAGCCCATTCTACGGCACAATTGTGAGTTTTATTGTTCCAGCTTGAACCTACGCATCGTCTAAATTGATCGACGGTCATTGTTACCGTGAAATTCAAAGCCTGGTCTCTTTTTCGATCAAAGAATGACCCGACCTCCGATCTTTGCGAAGTCTACGAAAGGATCCAGCTTCGTGACATATTCAAGCGCAATGGGAAAGAGAGCGTGAACGGCATTCTTGGGGATATTGCAAGGCTAAGAAGATCCACAGAATGTCCACTTTACCGATTGGTTTTGTATATTGCTACACGCACCATTCGACCCTGTAGCCAGTGGACGGAGGACGGAACCCCGTTCCTCGATGATCTCCGTGTAAGAGCCTCATTTGAGATTTCGATGTTGGATGTCTCGACCTTTTATGGAACCGACAGTGAAGATGGGATTCTCAATTTGCCTCCAGATAAAGTCCATGTAAGAGTACTGCGAATCCGGCTCTCAGGCGCCAGAAGTCCAATTGAGCGGTCATTCAAGATCTTACGCTCACATCTTGCTGAGACTCATTCCTAAAACATCAATCCTGGTCCAGTGGACTCGGACTTATCAAATCGTGGCTAACGCACTGCACTACCTTGCACGGTTCGCAGCGCCAGGTCGAATCTTCCCATCCGACCCAAAATTCGATCAAACTCATCGATGTCTACCGATGCCGACTTGTCTGGGGGTACACAACCCATCGATACTTGGCTCTCAGCTACGCGTGGGGAGTACCGGAGCAGAATTTCTATCTATCGCTTGTGCAAAGCACCATGAATGACGATAGCGACTCGACTGCTCGCGACATAGGCGAGCAACCTGCTGCTCTTGTCAATGAATGCTTGCTTAAGACCCTCGAAAATGCAACCACCCTGGCTCAGGCACTCGGCGAGGGATATCTGTGGATCGACGCGCTTTTCATCTATTTCTATCGAACAGCAAGGAGCAACCTTATCCTTCTGAGGCTTACACCTTTTTTACGAGGGGACCGACTTACCCCCGAGCATCACATCGAGGTATAAGGGGCCTGATCTGGCTCCCCTGCGATCGGCGATACCTACCTCTCATCTCGATATTTGCTGAACCTGGAACAGCGTAGAGAGGGATTTACAGCCGCTCGGCTTCGCCCGAAATACCTTTCCAACTCGCCTATTTCCAGACAGACCCAAATAGTTGCCTTCGCCTGTTGCTGTCATGTGAGGCAGTAGTCGTAACCCGCCAATCATACGCGTACTATATGCTGCATACGTTGTCTTATATCCTAGGCCGCTATGGAGGGTAATACACCGCGGTCCCGAGAGCGTCCAGAGCTTGCTCCGAGTTTAAGCGGCAGTTTCCTCGCATGCACGTCAGGGGTGAGGCAAATACGATGGCCTGGACCGGGTCCAAAAAGCCTACAAATGCAGACTGATGAATAACGTTCGTGCTTGATGCATCCGGCCTGGTTTGGCTATTCGCAAGGCAGGGGGTTATCCGCTTGAATGATATCAGGCACCAAACGACCTATCAATTTCTTCCCTCATTTTTGGAGCTGGCTTCGGACCTTCTGTGAGGCTTCGACGTCCATTCGCTGCGTGATGTACTGCGGAGGTGGCAATGATGCTTGCTTGGGCACATTTTTCTCACCGGTCAAACTGGAGCCGCATGCTGCCTCCCACCGTGACCTATGGCTCGCTGACAAATGACCAGACTGCCTCATCAGTCCAGGCTACGTATCGTCGAATTGATATCTATCTATATAATCATGGCTGCTGAAGCTGTCTCGGTCGCCCAGTTTTCTGCTCTCTCGTCACTTCTCGATGACCATATGATATCCAGTTTGTGGATAAGTCTCAGGTTAATCCAACGTCGAGCATCAGCGCCTGCACCAGGTATATATGTACCGCGTCCATCACATCCACTCAGCAAGCTAAACGTTAGTTACACCCTGCTTTTACTATGGCTACGGACCACACTATAAGCAGGCGAAGGGCATCTGGGGAAAGGCCTAGGGGACAACCTCCCCCGCACGGAGAAGGTTCTGAGAGCAACAGAGAGCTTGAGCAAGCGCAAGACTATACAAAGGTCAAAGTTCTGGCTCTTACGTTCGAATTCACCGATCTGAAAATAGCTGGTGAGACTAAAGGTGTCATAAAGGCGTTCAAAGATATTGGATACGGGGTTGAGCACTATGAAATCAAGATGCAGAGTCCTTGGGATGGGCAGGATGGGCAGGATGGGCTTAAGAAAACGTTGAAGAATTTCTTCAGAACAAACAGTGGAACTCCATTGTTCATCATTTACTATAATGGACATGGGGGTATCACCAAAGACAAGAAACTCTTCTTCTCTAGGTTAGTATTAGTTTTCCATTGGACGGCCGACGAGCTCAGTCTCACTAACTTGCTTTTGTTTTTCTGTCTTTCAAGCCATAACATACCCGACGATGTAGCCGAGCTGTGGGAGACGATCCAAAAGATCTGGGGCAAACCAGGAAATCTCCCTGAACTACTAAGGAGCGAGGAGTAAGTTACCGCCCAGATCACCGTATGGGAACTTTTCAGAAAACTAGCTGATCACATCCAAGGAGCCCTTTCCAAGAGCCCGCCGAAATCTTCTGGGAGGAAATTAGTAAACTGATCATGGATTGTCGATACGATGTGCTCACCATCCTTGACTGTTGTGAGGCAGGACTAGCTGCCGCATACAGCCTGGAGCCCAATGGTTCGAACCGCACAGGGCCGGCAGGAAACCGAAAAGAACTAATTGGTGCATGCGGCTGGGGAGTTGACGCCGAATGCCATATGAGTCCAGCTCTATCCAAAGTGATCGAGGACGGTTTTCCAAATGCGAAGTCCTCTATGTCTACACATACCCTCATCCGCGGGATGAACGAATCACTGGTGGTGAAGTGGAAGAACGGCAAGGGTCGTCGACCTGCGCAGGGTGTTCACTATCTCCTTCGAAGAAACGCTGCAGACAAAATGATTCTTCCTAGGTTGAAAACCCCTACCAAGGCCTGAAGGCTGCGGCAGGAAGGTTGGAAGAAGGCCGAGGTTTGTTAAACAAACTTTGGCATGGGCATCCGACGTCCTATTTGGCGCGATCTCTCCTTTGGGTTGCATGCGATAACAATATTAATACAACATATTCCCGATTCAGCCGGGCGGAACATGAAAATCTCATTGCACAAGCGAATGTTCTCGTCTTGGTCTTGGGCATGTTCATTCAGTAACGTCGAACACAGCATCTACGATGGATACTACTCGTGGAATCTAGACAGTTTTGAGCAAGCATTGCGACAGCATAAGACCTACCGCCCGTCGAAGTCCAGCCGTCCTTCCTCGACTGTCCTGACTCCCAAGACAAAGCCATTATTTTCAACACTTTCGCAATCCCCGTGTCCCGCGATGTTTTCCAGGATCCTTTTCAACATCCAGCCTTTTCGCCCCAATTCATCACTCCTCGGGATCGAGGGTTTAATCGCTACCTTACAATCTTCCTTGGCTTTGAAGTCCAAGGACTGGACTTGCGTGACACGGGTCTCGAATTGCTTATGGTGGCGAACGAAGCTCGTTGGGACGAAGATAGGCAATTCGAATTCATCACATTGCTCGTGATTACACCTCAAGACGATGTCTACAAGCGTGCCGACATCGCAACTATGCCTGTCGCATACTTCACGAAGATCCTGCCGAGCTGTCCGGATTTCTGTAAGAAGGGCGTTTTTCGCTTAGAATAGATCTCCAACAAAAAACCTGGATAACCTTTCCGAAGATATCTCAAGGCCTGGTCGTGGCACATTTACAAAACCCATCTTAAATGTTAAATGATTTGTCGTTACCGGGTGTTTCCTCTGTGGGCCATCCCTGAGCAGCGTTGTGTCCGTTTGACCCGCCGAAGGAGTGAGTATGCAGAGATACAGCGACCTGAGTCGGCATTGACTTCTGTAGTAGTATATCCATTGCGCCTAACTGTGCGTCCATTTCTAACTTTTTAGTCTATTCTATATTGCATGGCGAATTTGCATCAGGCCTGCGACCAACTCCCTCCGAATAAATCTTCCCAAGCACTGACAAGCAAATGCATCTAGGGCGTCCTTTTGTGGCACTACGCATCCGTTACCAAGAAAAGAAAGGACAAAAGAAAAAGAAAATATCACAATGTCCTCAACCAGGTACAGATTTGACACATCCCAGGACAAAACGGTTGCTCCCTCAAAACACCTTCCACAAAGTAAATGCCTAATACCAAGCAATCTTGTCTGCACACCAGCTGTTGGGGCTTGAAGTAGCCATTGTGGAGACGCACGGCCAGTCTCGAACACGATGACTTGTCGTGCTCTGAGTGGTAAATCTCCGCCCCTGGAGGCTTAAGACCCTGACCGTGGACATACTGATGCTGACGAGTCCGTGTTGGATGGTCGAGGTGAAGGAATGATATTGTGTTGATTGACTAGAACTGGACAGACGTCAGCTGAGGATAGTTGACGGACTTCCAGCACTTACCTGTGGGGAATATTACGGTTACGACACCGAGAATAGACAGAAAGCAAGTGCCAAAGCAAGTGCCAAACACTCCAGCTCACAGAGAAACACAGAGAATGCGGGAACTTTCAATGTTACTGAGGTTGTTGATACCAAGCCACGGATCTGATATCTGTTGTTCAGCGCTCTGTGTTCGCGATCATCGCAGAAGCAGGGGTGGCGGCCATGCCCTTCTCCACCTCGCCGTCTGGTCTCTTCTCTCCACTACTGACGGTTTCGACGGGGCCGTCGAGCACACTGCCCTCCTTGCTGTCCTTCGGGCTGGCGAGCTCTTTCTTCCCCTTGCCCACGTGCTTCGGCACCCGCGCGAGCCAGTACAAGAACACGGCGCCGGCGACGTTGAAGGCGATGTACGGCCACATCAGCCCGAAGTTGCGCCACATATCCTGCGGATGCGCGGAGACGCTGGCCAGGAACGCGTCCGTGGTCGAGATCTGGCAGTAGCTGCAGTTGCCCGTGGCCGAGGCGTCCTGAAGATATCCCCCGGCCGTGGCGATGTAGGGTCTCATGTACTCCGCGCACGTCTGGCCCGACGGCACCGGGAAATGGAGGTACTCGTTGGCGGCGCAGGTGACGTTGGCATGCGCAACGGCGGTGCTGAGCATGCCGTCGATCAGGTACGTGAATGGCGAGACGCGGTACATGAAGATCCAGAACCCGGGCAGCGCCTTGGGGCCGACGAGGACGCCGCAAAAGACCAGCGTGAGGGAGAAGCACAGATTGGCAATGTTGCCGCCCGTCTCGGCCGTCTCGATGGCCGCGATGACCATGTGGGCGAACGTCGACGTGAAGAGCAAGAAGGTCAAGATCAGGAGAAACATCAGCGCGCCGCGTTCGTGGACCGCATCGGTCGGTTCAGCGTTCTTGTACAGCCCGATCGGATAGTACCAGGTGAAGAAGATGAGAATGGCACAGAGGGTTGACCACGGCAGCTCGACGATGATGTTGCTCATCATAAATGCCTGCCACGAGTATGTCTTGCTTGGCCGTTCGCGGACCTCATAGAGTGAACGCTGAGTCACGAACAACGGCATGATTTGCTGCACGAGCTGGCCGAAGATCGTCATCAGCATAAATATACCAAACATCTGATTTTGGAGACCCTGTTGCGTGATCTTGGCGTTGAAGAAGGAGAAGCCGATAAACAGACCCTAACGAAGTACTTGATCAGCGGCGAGGGACGAAAAAAGGGATAAGGGACATCCTTACAGAAGCGATGCAGAGGGACAGTTTGCTGTAGATGTACGAAGGTGTGCGCCAGTATTGTTCAAAGACACGCTTCAAAACCTCATAGAGCTGCTCGTAGAAGGGCGCCGCGAACTCACGATAGCTGGCTCGATCGGCTCTGTTTGAAGTCGCCCGGGCCAATTGACAGCGCTCCGCCTTCATCTGGGACAGTTCAGCATGGACTTCTCTGTATTCTGGGGACAGGCGCCAGGTATCGACCCAATCGATCTCGGTGTGCGAGCCTGGTGCGGCCCCAATGACTTCAAGCATCCACTCCGCGGGATTCGCGTCAGGCGGGCAGCGATGGGCGCCATTCCGCTCAAAGTAGTCGATGAGAATCCTCGATGATTCCCCAACGGGCCCAAAGTAGACGGTACGTCCACCCTTGGCGAGGAAGAGGAGCCGATCGAAGCGTTGGAACAGCATCGCCGACGGTTGGTGAATGGTGCAGAGAATGGCCTGTCCATTTTGCTTTAGTTTCTCGAGGAGATCGAGGATAGACCACGATGTCTGCGAGTCGAGCCCCGAAGTCGGTTCATCCAGGAAAAGCAACAACTCCGGTTTGGCTGCCAACTCCACGCCGATGGTCAGACGTTTACGTTGTTCCACGTTGAGACCTTCGCCGGGGACCCCGACGACGGCGTCGGCGTACTCGGACATCTCGAGAAGCTTGATGACCTCGTTGACGTACGCCAGCTTCTCCCGCCGTGGGACGTGTGCCGGTTGACGAAGGAGTGCACTGAAGCTCAAGGCTTCTCGCACCGTGGAGGTTTCCAAGTGGAGATCTTGTTGCTGGACGTAGCCGGTCTTGCGTTGGAAAGATTCATCTCGTTGTTGACCGTCGACCAACATCTCGCCGGAGATGACTCCCATGGTAACTCGAGTTGCCAGAACATCCAGAAGCGTCGTCTTTCCTGCCCCGGACACGCCCATCAAGGCGGTCATGGTGCCCGGCTTGACCCACCCATCGACGTGGTCCAAGAGCCGCCGTCCACCGTTCACTTGAATGTCGTAGCAGACGTCACGCCATTGGAAGATCGCGGTTTGCCTCTGAATGATGGTCGACATGTCCTCGGAGTGTTGGTTCTTCGCCGCCGTGACATTTGATGTGGTATCGCCGGTTTCAGTGTCTTGAGGCGCCTTCATTTTCAGCGTAGCTGGTGTCTGCCCACGACGGAAAACCAGAACTTCGCCTTTGGATTTCTTAGCCTGGACAAATTCCGCGGACACCAGGTAAGTGAGGAACAAGCCTAGCATGAATGCGATCAAGATTCCAAAATTTCTCCACTTGTGCGAATGGTAGTACTTGTAACTGCTGTTGATGAAGTCGTCCCCGTTGACAAACGTTCGACCGGGACGAGACCCCACCGTCGAGCAGACTCGATTCGAATTTCCATACCCTGGACCTGACGGCACGTACACGGCACAGTCGAAATTTCGGCCAGAGAACTCATTTATCATGAGGGCCTCGAACCCATAGGCGACGGGATCAAGGTAGTTGATCCACCGCGCCCAGCCGAGCATGTAGTTGACCGGAATGGCGAAACCGGTATAGATGACGATGGCGAGGATCAGAATGGCGGCAGGTGCCAAAGCCTGACTCAGCGTTCGAGAGACGGAGGCGATCGTTCGAAAGAGCATGCTCATCACCAGAGTCAAGGTGAACGAAATAAGGAGGAAGAAAAAGAACGCCCCGGGCTCTCTCCTTAGGTTGGTCAAGAAATATAGGGTGACGTTGAATATTATCGTGTTGGTAATCTTATAAGGCATGTCCGTTAACATGGACGCAAAAGCCTCGCTCGAGGGATGGTACAAAGCGTACCGCTGGTGTTTCTCGACGATCGGCCGTTGCGCATAGAGTGTGAGGATTTCCAAGGCAGAACTGAAAGCGTTCAAGAGAATGGCAAAGAAGAGTAGGGCACCCCGAGAGTAGAAAGAATTGGTGGTGCCGTCGAGATTGTAAAAGATGGAACCGATTATCAGAGCAAAGACGTTGTTGCCGATAATTGAAGTCAGCGTGAGACTCGGGTCGGCGACCAGCCTGCGGAACCCACGCCAGAGACAGAGCCTAACCTGTTGACCGTACGATAGAGTGTAGGGCGACGCCACACGCTGCCTCTTCGCTTGCTGCAATCTTCTTGATTCTTTGAACCTATTTAGGTCCTCACCACCAAGGGGGTGCCTCTCATCGAAGTCTTCGATGTCTGTGAGGAGTTGGGCACGTTCGGAACTCTCTTTCCAGGCCTTTGCGAATTCGTCGGGCGTGCATGGTACCCTATGCTCAAAGCCTTCACGGACAATTCGCTCATCGGAGCTCGTCATGGACGTTAGGAAGTCGGCGGTGGTCTGACGATCGGGACAATGAAAGCCTAGGCGGACGAAGTAGTCTTTGGCGTCCTCGGTCCTCCCGAAATAGATCTGCCGCCCCTCATAAAGTACAAGAACCTTGTCGAAGATGTCGTATGCGGCCTGAGGAGCTTGATAAATGGCCACTGCGGCTGTGGCGTTGAGGATTTCGGTCGATAGACGTAGGGTTTTGCAGAACTCAATGGCGTTGGCGCTATCTAGGCCGCGCGTGCTGTTGTCCCAGCATTGTAGAGGCGACATGTTCAATGCAGCTTCGGCTATACTGACACGCTTCCTTTCTCCTCCACTCACCCCTCGAATGAAGTCGTTGCCCACTCGAGTGTTGAAAGTGTGTCGGATGCCAAAAGTCGCCATAATGACATCTCGCATGTGGCACGCGTATTCGTGTGCGGAGATGTTTCCCGGCCGATGCCTCGGCGCCCTTGCACGAGTGGCAAAGTAGAGGGTGTCCGCGACAGACAGTTGAGGGAAGTGGATGTCCTGTTCGGCGGTGTAGATAGCCTCGCCGCGGAAGTGCTTGTGCATCTGGTCAAAGGAGATACCTTGGTAATTGATGTACGAATCCTTGTCGACATGGAAACCATGGGTTTCGCCGGCCAGT